CAAAACCAATCGTCAAGAAAGCATTCAAAGGATTTAATGGAACCATTTTCGCTTATGGTCAGACTTCAAGCGGAAAAACTCACACCATGATTGGAAAGAATAAAATGCCTGGAATCATCCCATTGGCAGTTCGTGACATTTTTAATGAAATCAACAAAACTGAGGATCGAGAATTCGTCGTGAAAATCGGCTACATTGAGATTTATAACGACAAAGTTTATGATCTCTTTGAAGACGGTAAAACGGAACTTTCCATCTTTGAATCCAATGGACACGTCTTGGTGAATCAAAAAGAGTACGTGGCTGTATCAGAAAAGGAAGTCATGAAACAATTTGGTGTTGGAAACAAATGCAAAAAAATGACTGGGACGAAAACCAACAAAGACTCGAGTCGATCGCATGCAATTTTCCGAATAACGATCACATCTCAAAACAAGAAGAAGGCGAAAGATTCACGCACTTCGAATCTATTCTTAGTGGACTTGGCTGGGAGTGAAAAACCAGATGCGTCAGCAACAACAACATTCAACGAAGGCCTGCACATCAACCAAAGTCTTCTTGTTCTTGGAAAAATCATCAGAGAGCTAGCGAAGAAAAATTTGAGTTTGAAGCGCGTCAACTTTCGAGAATGCAAACTGACGAGAATTCTCTCACCAGCACTGGGTGGGAACTCTTATGCTTCGGTGATTTGTACTGCGGCTCCAACGGTTCTTGATGAAACTTATCACACACTTTGCTTCGCGCAAAATGCAGAAAAGGTAAAAACAGTTCCGAAGTTCAATCTTGTCAGCAGGACGAAATTTTTCTTCCAAGCTTGCCAAATGACAGTTTCTAGTTCTTCATCTTCATCATCTGAAACAAATGTAGCAGTCGATTTGAATTTAGAAAGACAACTACCACTCAGTCCAATAGCAGTACCGGAGAGTTCATCAGGCATCCCAAAGAAAATAAAATCAAAAATGTATCAGAAAACATCAACAAAGATGTTGGCAGTAAATAGTACACCGACAGTAAAAGCAAGTAGAAAAGTTACAATCAAAGATGAAGAAACTTTAATAGAACATCGTGATGGGATGAAAAATCGTGTGGAGCCGTTAGGATTGTCTGGAAAAAAGAGCGTCAAAGAACCAGCAGACTCTCAAGGAGTCATTCAAGAAGGGAAGGACAAGATCATCAAGAAATTGCAAGAAGAAGTACGCAAACTTAAAGCTGAAAATGTTGAGATGCGAGCTGAAATCGAAGGCAACAACGAGATTGTTAACGAAAAACAACAAGAAATTGAAGAGTGTAGAAATAAAGTCGTCGAGTTGGAAGATGACATCAAAGTTTACGCTCTTGCTATTCGTGACTTGGAACTCGCTATTCGTGAAAAGGAGAGTCGAATGATGAAAGTGGGCGAAGAGAAAAATGAAATGAGATCAAATTTCAATGAAAAATTTGATGAGTTCAAAAAAATTCTTGAGGTGAAGGACAACGAGATCGTTGCACTGAAGGAAAAGGCAAAAACAAAAAATGTCTCAACGGAGGCTAAGAAAAACGAACATCTGGACAACTTCTTGAAAACTGAGCAAAGCTTCAATCTCAAATATGAGTCAGCACAAAAGCAGTTAAGGATTACGCTGAGTCAATTAAATGATAAAATTGCTATAATTAAAGAAAGAGACGACGAAATTGAATTGATTCGAAACAAGTTGAATGAATTTGGAAATAAGGAAGCAGATAAAGACACGCTTACTGTTGACATCGTAAACAAGGACAATGAAGGTTCATCAGGTTCAGAAGGTTCTACCAAAAATAAGGAGACCGAAGATTCTGCCGGTTCTCAAGGATCATCCGAAAACAAATCATCGGAATCAGAAGCAGAGTCCCAAAAAACCGTAATCAGGAAAGGAACATGTCTGACATGTGGACTGCACTTTCAACGGCAACCGGGTCTTGAACGTCATATTAAAATAAAACACTAAATCATCACACAATTGTACACATATTGGTACAAATGAACATTAAAGTTCATAAAAATTAAATAGTTTTTCATTCAATGAAATTTTCATTTTTATGTTTATCTACAACATTTACATGTTCTCAATCATTACTTATCTTTAAATCTTTCGAAAAACAAAGATCATGTATTAATATTTCTGAAACTCATCAGAACTCATAATAAAAATTGTCATTTATACTTATCATAAGTCATATTTAATTTGTGAATAAATCTATTGAAAAAGAAAATCGTATTATCGTATTTACTATTTTACAATCTTAACTATTTTATTTCAGGTGACATTTTATATACTTCAATTGACATTGAACTAAAAGGATTTGAAATGCAGTACTTCTGAACATGTTAAATGTTGAAATCAACAAAAGTTCTGAACTTTTTTATTCATCATTATCATTTGGAAATTTCATTTCATGTTGAATTTTTCATTCTTGAACATTCTCCTCGTGAGCTTTTAAGTAATCTTGAAATAAATATGCAACATAAACGTTGTCTTAAGTAGTACGAAACTGTTGCTTTTGAAATGTTTGATTTATCATCTTTGAATGTCATAAATTAATTTTAGATCCATTAGCAATTGTTTTGAATCCTGAAAATATGGGGAGTTCCCAGCTTCATCAGTAAGCATTTGATTTTATTATCCGCGTCTTCTCTTTAAAAGCATTTAAAAAGAAATTAAGTAAATAGAGACGATGGCTCGTTCGTGAAAATGCACTTACCTGCATTCGCGTATTTGTATTCTTGTAATGATTTATTTCTGTCATTCAAGATAAATATTCTGAAAATTCTAGAAATTTTCCAGCTGCATCAGATGTGCATGTCATTTTGTTTTTCATCCGTTTGTCGTCTTCGCGTAAAAAGCAATTAAAGAGTAATTAAAAACCGATCGCGATTCGTGAATGTTTTATGTACCTGCATATATGCATCTATGTGTGTGTTAGTGTAAGGATTTATTTATGTCCTTTCTTATACACTCAACACATCTCCAAAAATAATTCGCGAGTCGCGGCCGAAGGTTATAAAAGACGAAGCATCGAATATTTCTTATCATTCGATAATTATTTTCTGAACTAGAAAGTCGATCTAAAGAAATTAATTTCTAAGAAATAAATTTGTGTTTTCACAGTGAAAGTAAAAAAAAAATCTAATAAAAAATGGCAAAAATTAATGTTGGAATCAAATTTCGTCCAAACTTATCAAGTGATGTTGAGAAGCAGGAGAAGTGGATTGTTGATGGTAAAACGATCAAATCTGTTGATAACAAGCATACATTGCAATTTGAACACGTCTTTGGATCCACGTCTGTTACTGAAGAAGTTTACGACGCGCTAGCAAAACCAATCGTCAAGAAAGCGTTCAAAGGATTTAATGGAACCATTTTCGCTTATGGGCAAACTTCAAGCGGAAAAACTCACACCATGATTGGAAAGAATAAAATGCCTGGAATCATCCCATTGGCAGTTCGTGACATCTTTCATGAAATCAACAAAACTGAGGATCGAGAATTCGTCGTGAAAATCGGCTACATTGAGATTTATAACGACAAAGTTTATGATCTCTTTGAAGACGGTAAAACGGAACTTTCCATCTTCGAATCCAATGGACACGTCTTGGTGAATCAAAAAGAGTACGTGGCTGTATCAGAAAAGGAAGTCATGAAACAATTTGGTGTTGGAAACAAATGCAAAAAAATGACTGGGACGAAAACCAACAAAGACTCGAGTCGATCGCATGCAATTTTCCGTATAACGATCAAATCGCAGAAAAAGGATGACGCTGAGGATTCACGCACTTCGAGTTTATTCTTAGTGGATTTGGCTGGGAGTGAAAAACCAGATGCGTCAGCAACAACGACATTCAACGAAGGCCTGCACATCAACCAAAGTCTTCTTGTTCTTGGAAAAATCATCAGAGAACTAGCGAAGAAAAATTCGAGTTTAAAGCGCGTCAACTTTCGTGAATGCAAACTGACAAGAATTCTCTCACCAGCATTGGGTGGGAATTCTTATGCTTCGGTGATTTGCACTGCTGCTCCAACGGTGCTTGATGAAACATATCACACACTTTGCTTTGCTCAAAATGCAGAAAAGGTGAAAACAGTTCCTGTTATAAACACTACGAAGAAGGCAGAAGAATTTCCCCCTCATTTGCTTCAAAATAGTTCCTCAACTCTGCCCGTTACACTATCTAGTAGATTTAAATTTGTTTGTGAAAATTCGAAACAAATTTCACCTTTCAGCACATCTACAATATTTAAGAATTTTAGGAGTGTAAAACCTGAGTTAATTAAAAAGGCAGCAACAAGGGCAGTAGCTGTGAATAGTTCATTGATATATAGAGCGAGTGCAAAAGTTTCAGATAATCGTGAACAACCGTCGTGGTATTGCGAAGGGTCAAAAGATCATGTGGAACAATTTGAATTGTCTGAAAGTACGAGCGAAGAAGAACAAGCAGATTACGAAGGAATCATTAAAGAAAAGGACAACATCATCAAGAAACTTAAAGATGAAGTGCGTGAACTTCGGACTGAGAACATGGAGATGAGAACAAAAGTCGAAGGGAATAACGAGATTTTGAGTGAAAAAGAGCAAGAAATTGTAGAGTTAAAAGAGAAAATTGCTCGCTTCGATGAAGAAATCATAATTAATTCTTCCGCCATTCGTGACTCCGAAGTTAAAATTGGGAACTTTGAGAATCAACTGTTGAAAATGACTGAGGAAAAGAACACAATGAAAGCAGAGTTTGATCAAAGAATTAAAGAATGCAACAAATTTCTGTATGGAAAACAAGACGAGATCAACGAGCTATGCGATAAACTGTCTGCTCAGATGAACTTAACAAAACGGAAAGCTGATGAAGAAGCTGAGGAATTTTTGAAATATGAACGAAATCATCGTCTTCGATTCAAATCTACAAAAAATCAAATGGAAATTATGGTGAACCGTTTGAATAATAAATTTGATATAATTCAAGAAAAGGAGAATGAAATCGAAGTGCTTCGAGGAAAGTTGAACGAATTTGAAGTCAAAACATTAGGTAGATTCAAAAATAACAACTTTGTCAAACAAAAAGTAAATGACTGTCAAATATCAATTGAAAAGCCTCCAGAAGATGACAACCAATCCAAGAAGATAACCGTTAGAAGAAGTACTTGTTTATTTTGTGGAAAACAGTTCCAACGACGATCCCGACTTGTACGCCATATGAAAACAAGTCACTAAATTATCAGAATAATCATAATCGGATATTCGTTCATAATTCTTTTGTGTCTCGAAAACTATTGACAAACTTTCTATGAACATTTCATCCTTACTTTTTTCCTACTTTTTCATTAATTTTTTAATTATTTGAATTTTTAATCATAGTGATTTTATTAAATAGTAAATTTTACGTGGGAAGACGCTTTAAAACATGAAACCGCTTAATTAGCAATATTTAGCTTATTTCTAAGAATTATTTAACTGTAAACTGAAATTATTTAATATTTCTTTTCTAAATTAATGTTTTATTTCTGAATAAATAAACTCTATAAAAGTACAATTGAAAACCTTTTTATTAGTCATCACACTTCAAAAAAATAATTATTTTCAGATTACAGACCATTGTGGATTGAATTTTCAATTAGAGAAGTAAACTTTTGTTGAATTCTTTTGGGATTTCTAGTAAAATTTTACTGATACATATCAACATAATTTTAAATTAATTAACCACGCGTGTAAGTATTTAGAAATGTTTTATTTCTTGTCATCATCTTCAAAAGTTTTTAGTATTACAAATCCTGATCATCAGCTAATGCAAAGCTTTTTAAAAATTTCTAAGAATTCTCTAAATGTGAGTATCAGATGAGCATGTCATTCTGCTTTTCGTTCGCTTGACGTCTTCGCGTAAAAGGCAATTAAAGAGTAATTAAAAACTGATCGCGATTCGTGAATGTTTATGTACCTGCATATGCATCTATGTGTGTGTTAGTGTAAGGATTTATTTATGTCCTGTTTGAAATTAAGAAACGTCAGCACGATCACGAGTCAACAAGCACAGAATTCTTTTTAAACTTGTGGAAAATATTGAAAGATTGATTGAAATAAAATAGGAAAATGTTTGAAGATGTTTCATAGAAGTTTTAGTTTTTCACGTAGTTACGTTGGGTTATGTTACGCTTTGTTGGGCTACGTTACGTCAAATTAATGCATTCATTCCTTGAAATTCACTTAAATAGTTGTAATTAAATACCTTTAAATAAAATAATTCATTTCAATATATGTAATAAAAATCAAAACAAAACCAACTTTTTTAAGCAATTATCAATTTCAATTTATTTACATTCATTCACATTGACAAACAAAAGATAGAAAAATAGCAAGGCAAGATACAAGTCACAGATCATAAATTTAATTAGGTATATTTTTATATTTTAAATGCAACATTTTTTCTCTTTCATATTAGCCACTAAAAGCCAAGCTGAAAGCGAAAAAAACTTTTTCAATAAACTTTCTATTTATTCGAGTCTCGTTTTTTCTTAAAACTTAATAGAGAGATTTTTCTTCTATCCTCGTCATTGTAAACTTTCAATTTTTTTGCACTAAAAACTAAGAATGTTAACTGAAAATGTTAACAGAATCTAATTTTTCCCTTTTACTTAAGATAATACTTAAATACTTTTCGTTTGTAATTTCACATCGACATTAATATAAAAGTAAAATTTGAAATTTCTCATTGAATTAAATCTCCGAATAAAAGTTTAAAGTAAAATTAACTTAATCGATAAAATGTTTTCTTACTAAATAATACTACTGCCATCGTCATCTCCTGGACTCAAAAGATTTGAATGTTGGAAAAGATAATGTCGTGTTAGTTTAATATTCTTCGGCTTAGGAGGTGGAGGTGGTTTTATCTTCGGTGTTGGAATGTCAGTTCCACGCACCTGTTCGTAAAGCTGATCAATTCCATCTTCATCAGACTGTTGCGGATGAATTAAGAAGTCACTTGAGCAATTAAATTCTGAAGCGTGATTTCCATTATCTTCATCATCGTCACTTATGCTAAAGTTAAGATTGTCACGTTCTGCGAGTATGAAGTTTAAATCGTTATCAGCTGGCGCATAAAGATCTTGACTTCTAATGCTCAACTCAGAATTTTGATAATTAATGTCACTGTAATTTGTTGGGCTTGAGTTGCGATTTGATGTTGAATTGAAAATATTAAAATTAGGCGTGTTGTCAGGGTTGAGAAAGACTGGAGTGCAATCGTGTCGATTTGCATCAACTGATTGATTATTCAACAAATCATCCATACTGGAATCATCAACAGTGTCATTGCTGACAGTAAAATTGCTTTCATTTCCCATATCATCGTCGATATTCTCCAAATCACAAAGTGAAGGTGCAATCAGTATCGGACTGTTAGATTCATCACGATTCATCATAAGAGACGACGTCATATGATGTTGATGATAATTATTTGTTGTACTTGAGGCAATTGCTGCTGTTGGTAATAAATAATTTTGATCAATTAATGATATGTTGTTGAATGAAATTGATCGTGTATGTGTTTCCTGATAAATTAAACTCGTCACTAAATTTAATTGATCCAAAGATTTTGACTTCACTTGAGATGGTTTCGTTGCAACTTCATTCAGAGATTTTCCAGAAATCTCCAAAGAAGGTGATATGTAAGTTTCTTCTCGTGTCAAGTTGAGATGATTTTTTTGCTTCGATTCATCTTCCAATTGTTGATTTGGAGGTGAAGGAAGACCAACTGTGTTCATAGCATCGTTTGGATTGTTTACTTTCACCATTAATGGTGTCACTTCAGCCTCTTGATCTGACGTCTCATTAACTTCTGTTATTTAAAAAAAAATATATTAGGGTAAACAAGGTATTGTGAACACAAAGTTTTTTGTAAGGTATTGTGAACACACCTAATTTCGAATGCGATTTTCTTCGCTATTTTGCATTCAAATGGATCAAAACTTTGCATAGAAGTAGAGTAGATAGTTCAAACTACTTCTATACAAAGTTTTGATCCATTTGAATGCAAAATAGCGAAGAAAATCGCATTCGAAATTAGGTGTGTTCACAATACCTTACAAAAAACTTTGTGTTCACAATACCTTGTTTTACCCTAATTATATAACAAATTAAGGAAGTTAAAATGAATTTCTTACCTTCAATTGTATTTTCCATAATATTTCTCGTGTTAACATAAAGTGGACCTGGAATATTTTTATCAACAGGATTGTTTAAATTATTGTGAACATCAGAAGATTTCTGCTTCTCCTCATATTTCATCGCAACAGTTTCATGAGCTGGTGATTGATTTTCAAGAAAGTTTGTATAAATATTTGCAACATTTGCTTCTGTGTTGTTCACTTTACTCTTCAATGTACTAAATCTTAAACCTTCTTGGCAAATATCCATAAAAAGTTCACTTTCATTACAACTGTCAGACATAATGTTTGCGTTTGAGAATTGTTTTGCTTTCATCTTATTCTCATCAACATGAATATTTGTGTTGTTGACTTTACTACTCGTTCCAAACATCTCACTCACAGGTTTCGAAAACGACATAATTGTTGATGAAATGTCACTCGACGCGTCATTAAAATCATTCCTTCTTTGAACGTCAATATTGTTGAGTTTTAAGAGTTTCTTCTGTTTCTTGAAGAATCTTCGCGCCGCATTGCTTTGACTTGGGTTGTAAAACATTTCAGCATTGCTGCTATCATCGCCATAAACTGATGCTTGTTGATTAACTGTATGATGTCTTTGCATTGTCAACATAAAATTCCCTCCATTATGTTTCATCTCCGCTTCTTGTGAGTCTAAATCCGCTGTCGATTTTATTCGAACCGATCCAACACTTAACGGTCGATGTCGTGAATTTTGACTTGCTGATCTTGATAAGTTCATTGGCTGATGATAAAAAACTGAACCAACTGCTGTTTGATCATAATCTTTTGACACTGTCAGCTTTTGAATGTCACCGCAACACTTAATTCTTGACCAAATTGCACGAATATCACTACGAGCAATTCCATAGAAGAACATTATGAAACATCCCAAGAATGTCGCGAAGATGGCAAAAGCAATTGAGAAGATTTCTTCTTCATAAATTAATCGTTCATTGAATGGAATTGAAACTCCCATTCCAGCTGATATCCATGTCAACAAATAAAGCGCAACGACAATAATGTAACTTTTAAGTTGTGTACGTGGTGAAGCTTCAAGATCGTCTGCTGAAGAATGTGTCGGTTGTGTGCTTAAACTTCGCACACTTCGAATACTTCTTGCTGCATTTACAGCATTGTTCGATTCCAACAAATCAATTTCCAATGCTTCAGTTCCTTCCGACATGTGAGTGTTACAAATCACTCGATTTCTTAAATGAAATCTGATGCAAATGAACATGATAAGCAGGAAGAAAATAAGAATTGAAGCTGGTAGGAACAAAGCTCCTAACTCTGAACTTGAATCCATGAAACAGTGAGTATAACTTGCATATTCCTTGAAGTTTACCGCTGAGTTTATTCCACAAATCAACAATCCAATGCCATATCCAACAAGATACAATCCAAGAATTGGTTTCTTCGTTCTCGGCTCTTCTCTTGGTAATTCATCTTCAATGGCAATTCGATCATTTCTTGACACTCTCTTGTACATATTTGAGACTGACACGCAAATCCAAAGAAGCACACATAAGCTCAGATAATGAATGGAAACACCAAAGAATTGACACATTTTGTAATCTTCCGTTTGAAAGATGCCAACAGCAAAGATGAAGACGAGAGAAGCAATTGAAAGCCAAGTATTGATGAGTGAATGTTTAATTCTTCGTCCCATCATGATTTGATTGAAGTAAAGAACGTAAGTAACAATATTAATCCACATTGTAAAGAATAAAATAAAAGCGCCAAGATAGAAGCCAAATGGTGAAAAGCGAAACTTTGCGCCAGCATTTTCATCAGGAAAGTCATTTAGTGCACCTGCATGTTGAACGAGACCATAAAATCCAAGACGATTACATGAGAACATTTGAATTCCATGTGAATAATGAAGCGATTGACATCCTTGATTAAGTGACCAACCACCAGATCCATCGTTCATTTCAGGATCCCACCAGACAGGTTTTGGAAGGCTGATATTGTCATGAAATGGTGCAGCCTTCAAAGCAATAAAAATTGAATCAGAAAGATTCTTCGGAGCCATCGGCGATGGAATTGCTGGCCCAACTAACTTTGCTCCAATAATGTTTGATGTTATTAAAAAATTTCCTTGCGATTTGTTTTGTGGAAAGAAATTATTATTCTGATAAACTGACACTAACAGACGATGAGTTTGTGAACCAGAATATTGTGTTGCTGGAAATTGAATTGAAGCTTCGATGTTCTTCTCATGAAACGCTAAACTTTGAGTTCGACTTGCTGTGTTACATTGAAAGATTCTTGAATTATCGATTTTTATCCATGAACATGTAATTCCAACTATGATGTCCATTGGAATTTTGAAAAGTTCTATCGCTAAATTTTGTTTTTGTGAATCTGCTGATGTAGTATACGAAGCAGCTTCTTCAGCGGCTTCGATTAGCTTCTTGCATGTTCCATCGATAAATTGAGCATGCTCGAGTAATTTCTTAGGAAACTCCATAACATTAGAAACAATATCAATAATGATTGAACTTAATTCCTTCTCCATATTTATGAATTCTAAATAATTTTGAACAGTTTTTCCTATGTAAATAACATCAACGGGATCTTTGAATCTTTCTCGTGAATTCTTCGCAGTGAATGTTCTTAAGCGTTTAGCTGATTCAAGAACACTTCCTCTAGCAATTGTCAGATTAACTTTCGCAAATTGCTCAAGAATTCTTGTGGTTTCTCTTATGTAAGGACAACTTGAGTCATCAACATTTTCCCATAGCCCAGTTTCATTGCATCTGCGAGTTGCAGAACTACTTCCAACACCGTCAATTGCACAAGGAAGTCTTACTGTATTACCACGAATTGTTCGAGGCCATGAGAAAATTCCTTTGTTGTCACTCGTCTCTTGAGCAAAACAATATTTTGTCTTATCACTTATAACAAGAACTGAAACTCTCTTTGACAGATGTCCATCGTCTTTCTGTTGTAATGTGCAATCAAATAATCCCGAATGATTTCTCGTCACGTGTGGAATCTTTAAAACAGAATATAAAATTCCAGAATCTGAGAAATGTCTTTCATCAATTGAGACGGATGGAAATTTCTCTGTTGGATTTAAGAACACGACATCTTCTTTACTTCCCGGTGAGACAATCTTTTCAGACCATCCCCAGAAGACATTTGATTTAGTTGCAAAATCTTCTTGCTCTCTCATCGATCCCAAAGCAAGTCGTGGTGCTCGACATGTTAATGTTAATGAATCTCCTTCAAAGATCAATTGAGTTCTGTCGGGAATCAGATCAAGTTGTGGTTGATTAGTTACCGAAGCAGAACAATGAATATCTATTCCAATATGGATTTTTTTAATTGCATGTCCTTTGAATTCTTCTGGTGTTGCACATTTTGGTGGTGGTTTCAATTTAATTGAATAATTTTTAACATAATCAACTATCCACAAAAGTTCACAATTGCAAGCAAGAGGATTTGATGAAATGTCTAGGATTTTGAGTGATTTGAGATTATCAAAGGCACCTTGGAAGATATTTGTGATTTGATTGTTGCTGACATTCAATCGCTGAAGCTTACTAAAATTTCCGGCAAAAGCATCTGCTTCAATATACGAGATTTGATTATTAGCTAGTTCTCTGAAAATATAAATTCAAATTGTTATGTTGCATAGTCCTGTAGTATTCTCGATGATAAATACTTACAAATGAGCAATTTCTGATGAGTTTTCACCAAATATGATTTCTTTAATATCTTTTATATTTTCACATTTAACTTTTAATCCCGTTTCGACGTTATTTTCACATTGGCACAAATTTGGACATGGAATTTGGACGTTATTTTCACTTTTTCCACTACTTACATAAATTATGATTATTAAAACATAAAAATATAGCTTTAGATTAGCCATTTTTAGTAAATAATTTGAAGTTTATGTCTTCTCCATTTTTTGTTTATTCGAATCTTCCATGTTCGAAAATTCTTTTTATCTTTTTGATCCGTGTTTTTGAACCGTAACAACACTGTTTTGATCCGTTATTTTTAATTTCAAATATTCGGACTCGAAAACTATTTTCCGGAAAATTTGATTAATTTTTTCATTACTTTTCATTACCTACCTAGTTCTTTGTAGGGCTAAAAAAGAACCTTCGAGTTTTTTGAAAATAGAAGGAGAAATAAACAAAAGACTTGAAAAATACAAATAACAATAAAGTGGAAATGAAAATTCATGAACTTCAAAACCACAATTGAAAAAGAGATCACATTTGTGAAGTAGGCACAACTCAAATATTTTGTTAAATGATAAAAATTCTCAATATTCACATGAGTGTTAATTGATAAAATTAATTTAAAATTTTGCTATCATTTCATAAACTAAGAATCTAAATAGGTAGATAAATTATTTATACAAATTATTTATGCCTTAAACGTTATTTATCTTGATTTACAGTTTTATTTAAAGCATGAGATTTTTTGAAATATTTTCATTCACTTAAATTAAATTTAAATGATTTATGTGAAATGATGTCAGCTGTTGGTTTTATTTTCTTGGTTCTGTCACTTACTGGGGTAAGTAGCAAAACTGCAATAGATCACCGATTAATATTATGAAGATAATTTCAGTTAACAAATTGTAACAATTCGCTTGGTCAAAAATGCGCAAGTGACACAACCATGATGAAAGAGTGCTGTCCAATAGCCACGAGTAAATCATTTCATATAAAAGAATGTGATGAAACTTTTAAAGATCTTGAAAGCGCTTCTGAATCAAATAAATTACGAGCATTTCATGAAAACCTGGAATGTATTTACAACGAGAGAAATATATTTGAAATCGACGATTGTTATACCAAACTTGATGAATATAAATCATTGATGAGAGAATTTTACAACGAGCCAGAATTACAAAAAATTTTATCAGATGGTGCAGACAAATGTATGGAATTAATGAATAAAGGAACACGTAAGCATCTTAAAGCTGGGAGAGAAGACGTCTGCAACGTTATTCCAGTTTACACGTATACATGTGTTGCTAAATATATTGCCTCGGTAAAACATTTATTAACATTGCATTGCTTCGATTTATTATAATTTACTTTATTTTCATGTCAAAATTTTTTAGCAATGCCCACCACGTTATTGGACAAAAAGTGATGAATACTTTTAAGATAGAATTTTAGTTTTACGTCACTTATTTATTTTATCAATTTCAGGTAAAAAATGTGAAACTACAAGAGCAAATCTTACACCTGTCGAAGTCTGTTTTCAGTCGTGATAACAATAGAAATTCATTTTCCCATAATTTTAAATAAATAAAGCAATTGAAAATTATAAAAACTGTACAAGCTTAAATAAATGAATAAATTGTATGTGCTTACTTAAAATTTAATTTATTGCTTTTCAAATAATGTTGTTAATATTTATCCAAACTCATTAAACTATTTTAACAAGAATAAATTCTTGTGTTCTCATTCAAATTCCATATTTACAGATATAAATAAAAAAATTAATTCAGTTCTGCTGTTTACTTTTAAAAAAAATTCAGTTTTTGTTGTTGAAACGTTTATTAAACTCTGAAAAACGCTATTACCTAATTTCCAGATTGTCAATTTTCCAGGACTTTAGCAATTTCATAGAATATTTGAAAATCAAATCAATGATAAACAATTTTTTATTCTGTAACTAATTAATTTGACTGAAAATAGGAAAAATATGCAGAAAGATTCGTGATAAGAAAAGATTATTTTGATGAAAAATCTCCCAAGCGAAAATAATTTTTAATTTGTTTCCTTGAATATTTAATAAAACTTTTGTATCTTGATGAATTTTTGACTATAAATTTTAGAGCAATTTTATTAAAAATATCATTACGTTGAAGAACAATATTAAAATGACTTCTGTTCATCATGTTCGCTGGATGGTTCTTATTGTGGTGGTGAGAACTTGATTCTAGTCATGCTTTCAAATGTCAATAATTTTATTTATTTTCAGGCAGTATTTTCAACTGACCACGATTACTCGCAACAAATGAAATGTTTTAAGGATAGCGAAACATTAAGAAGTTGCTGCCATTTAGACACAATTTCCTTTCCTTACTCAGACGAGTGCGAAGAAAGTTTTGAGAGATTGGAAAATTCGACGGGGAAATATCGGAAAATGAATGCAACAGCTGAACATTTGTTATGCATCTTCAAGGCTAAACATATAATTAAGCACAAATCTTGCAATGTCAGTGAAAATCATTTGATGACCGCTGTGAAAGAGAAATATGCTCAAACAGATTACAATGAAGCAGCAATTTTAGCTGTTGATGAATGTGTAAACTATATTGGGGAGCTGAAAACACGTTTGAATAGAAGTGGAGATGAAACCTGCTATTATTTGCCTTTTGCTCTCAACTTTTGCATCACAAGACATATCGCGGATGTAAGTAAATTTATAAAATTAAAACACAAAGTGACATAAATTACTTTTCTCTAATTTAGAATTGTCCTGAATCAAAGTGGTCTAACAGTGAGTTACAATTTGTTTTATCATAAACTTTTAAATTGTTTTGTTTGCTTTCTTCTACAGGTGAACATTGTGACAATACAAAAAGCAATGCAACACTTTATAAGGATTGCCTTCGAAAGTGGTAAATTGGAATTCTTTCATAAAACGACATCAGCATGGAATTTGAATAACAATCATTATTAATGTAAACAATCAGATCATTTATTTGATTAATAAAAAAGCATAAATCTTGGCACAAATATTTTAAATATGCCTAAATAATGGAATAAATTGAAATAAAAGTTCTTTGATTCACAAGTAGCAAGATTTATTTTTAAACGTCTTTTCAACTTCAATGAAGAATACAACTGGTCACAATGATACAATGAAATAATCTCACAAAAGCCGGATGAGTACGAATGAAGGAAAAAGTTTCCTTTAAGGTACTTTGAATCCTTAGATATGATGTGAGATTCTGCGCATTTTAATATCGTGTAAGTTGTTCTTTCATTTATCGCTAGTTTTGAGCTCATCAGAAAGTGTTACAGAAATATTCTAAAAAACTAATCTTAACTAATAAAATGACGTGCAACTTAACAATAAATTTTTTAAATGATCAAACAATTTACTGTCCTGGTCAGGTTTTATCAGGTAATGTTTTTTTAACGAAGTTAGGAATATTCTTGATAGTGCTTGATAATCATCCAACGAACTTTATTTGTTTAGGATGTGTGACAATAGAAATTATGGAAACTAGCCAATTTAGTGGTAAGAAAAGAGTTTTAATGAACTAACTTTAATGTTCTGGAAAGTCTGCTTGAATTATTGATTCGATCCTAAATTTAATCTTAGAGACAAGAATCTCATTTATTCTCGAAATGGCGCCAAGAAGTCTAAAGCTTAATGTTTTGGCCCATTTCAATTTCAATAAAGAAGTCTTAGAAAATTTTCATTCCTTCTAGGCCTTCGCTTGACTGTAAATGGTTTAGCGATTTGCAAATTTCGAGATTCACATGATGAATCGTTTTTTCGTCGTGATACGACTTTTACCGGAGAAGAACGTTTTATTAATGACTCAGTTTATCTGTTTGGAACATCTCGAGGAGATTCAAAGGAATTTAAGCCTGGCACACATAAGTATCAATTTAGCTATCGAATATCACATACAATACCTTCTTCAGTCAAAGCTAAACATGGAAAAATCCGATACAATGTTGAAGCAAATCTTCAAACAAGCTGGGAGTTTGATGTTTATGCGAGACGTTCTTTCACAATTATCAGATTTGAAGATTTAAGCTTTCGATTTGATTTGATGCTTCCCACCAGTGAAGAAATTGTAACATCGTTTTGCTGTTGGTCATGTAAGACAAAACCAATAACCATGAGGGTTAAATTACCATTCACTGGATATGTACCTGAACAGAGTATTCGTCTAAACATTCTTATTGATAATCGATGTGGCTTTGATGTTTATCGAACTGTCATTTCTTTGAAGAAGAAATTCACATTTATCAGTCAACAACCAAGCATTCGAGTATGGCAAGAACATAAAACTTTAGTGAAAAACATCATAGATGGTGCAAAAAACGGACGAGATACCAAAATTTTGGGAATCATAGAAATCCCACCATTTACACTTCCAACAAATGATGACATCAGTAAAGTAGTGAAAATCTCTTACAATGTTCAAGTATCACTTGATGTTGTTGGATTTATTAGCAAGCCCAAAATTTCAATACCTATTATTATTGGATCAAAGCCATTGAAATTTGGGATCACTCAATTTTAAATAATTTCGTATTTAAGGCAAAGCCAACATTTGATATCATTTTTAATTGAATCATTTTTCTAAAAACCGCTTTGATGAAAAGAATTATCTCATAGATATAATATAATATACATTGTTGCATGTCGTAAAATTGTATAAAATAGAAATAGGAAAAAAACGATTTTATGAAATTTTCATGCTTTCTACATTAAGGCGAGTTTTTGGTGAGTTGCCAATGATCCGTTATTGCACACTTTCTGAACCGTAACGGACAAGACTCTTTGAACCGGTAAACAAACAAACAATATTCGGAGACATTTTATCAATATTTTGTAGAAAATCTCTTATTGTATTTTCAAAGACATAAGCAACTAAATAATTTATTCTTTAATTCCAATTATTATTAAAGTTCTAGAAAGTGTTCACATAATAAAGAATAATTGAATATAAACGTAAGATAGGCTTCATATGCTTTCAAAATTTAAATGATTTAAACTTTGACGAAATAAACATTTAATTTACAAAATTTCTTTGTTTGTTTAATTCGCCATTAAAATACTTGATTTTCCAGATGAGTTCACAAGGTGTTGACATTTTTTCAATGTTAAACAAAGCACAAACAGAGTTCAATCAACAGCAAAACTCAGTAGCAGCTTTCTTCAGACAGGCAAGTACAAATGGAGCTGTTACTAATAACAATGCTCCGACCCGGTCGATGCCAATGCCAATCAAGAATTTAAATTCTCTGGAGCAAATCGAAAGACAAATAAGAACATCACCACCATCAATCCGTGAGTAATCCTTTGATAGATTAAACTAATGTCTGAATGATTTCAAAATTTTCTTTTTTAACAGACGACGCCCAGAACAACAACGCATTACAAGCAACAAATCAAACAAATGATCTTGCAAATTCACCGCTGGCTCAGTTTTTTAATTCAAATAATTTGAATAATACTGCTGGTTTTCAAGCTCCAACACCAGAAGTTAAAGCTCCTCAAGAGAAACTATTAAACGGACAAAAGCCAAAAGTTACAGCACCGCCTGGTTTTAACAACAAAGTGCAACCTCAGCAAAAGAATCTTTTGTCAAGTGTAAACAAGGAAACTACTAAATTGATAACTCCGACAATGTTTACACCGTCAAACAACAATGAAAAAAAGTCACCAGTTGCAGAGCCGTTGACTAAGAATCAACTGCTTCAGGCCTTGAATTATCTAATCGAAAACGACGATGACTTTATGAAAAAGGTCCACGAGGCTTACATAAAATCACTTAAAGGATTAGCTTCTTAATTCATGAAACAACACACAAACTATTTAAAATGTCTGCATTTTTATTAAGTGTCTATCGAATAATCTTTAACATTCATAATGAGGTTCTGAACGGAAGTAAAAATAAGTTCAAAGCTTAAGAGGAAATTCAGAAGACTTTTTACGAAATTTTAATGAAAATGAATAAATTTTCCATATGAAAACATTTTCCATCGAACGATCTCGTTACAATGCGTTGTCACTTTATTAGAACGCATTGGTTAGTTAGGTTCGATTGGAATAATGTCCAACTGTTAAATGTTCTTAAAATATTCATAGAATCAATTCTCTTTGATGTACCTTACTTTCAAACTCCTTCTGTTCTTTATTAATTATTAAGGATTAGCTGATGATACAAAGTGAAATTAAAAGTATTCGATTAAAAATAAAAACAAAGATTTGAATAGTTGTATTGAAATTAATGTTTTGTTTTCTTTCATCTGTTTAGTCAAACAGGTTTTGGTTGTTTATTGAGATGTGCTTTAAGAGTGTTAAAAACAACTTTTTATTTTATTGAGTCTGTGGCATTTAGCATGCAAGTTACTTTCAGTAAATATTTAGAAAATAACTAAAGATTATTGTCAAGAAATTGTCATATAAATTCCTTCGAGATGGTTGAGTGAGTAGAAAACAAACTTTTGATATTAAAATCTTTCCTAAATATTTCATTTCAGGATTAAAATACCAACGGTAGAAACTTTCCTGAATTATTTTCCTTTGGAGATTGGTGGTTACGCAATTGGAGCTCTAAATCTTCTCGCAAATATCTTTGCTTCTATTTTACAATTAAGAAAGACAATTGAGATGAATTTGAAAGAATTTCATGGATCTACTGAGAGTCCTTGCAAAAGTAATTAAAAAAGTAGTTCAAGTATTTTATTTGTATTGCACACTTAACTCATTCCAGCGTCATATTATGGATTCAATGAACTGATGTCATCAAACACCGTCTTGTCAGCTTTTATTTCATTTTATTTGATATCTGGTGTTCTTACTGTATGAATTTTTTTTTCAAATATTTCATTTCACTTATCGCATATTTTCAGCGCAACACAGCGAAAATTCTTCCGTTTATGATTTATGTTACAACATACGCTCTCACTTCGGTCATTCACATGATGTCTGTACACGAAGGACATGTTGCTTTTGGTTTCCTTCTTGCGACTTTTCATGGTTACAGTTTTATCGTCATTTATTCTCTATTTATGAAATTCTTAGTAGTTGAAGATGGAGAAACGACTGAAAAGTTTGAAGATGATATAGAATATGGTGAAGACGATGATGTTGTTCACATAACAAGCCCACAAACAAATTCTTAGAGGGAAAACTTTTGAAAAGTTTCATCGAAATTTTCTTTTAATTTTATTTCATTATATTAATAATAATAATAATATCTCTGCCTCCAGTTTTACATTATTTCTTTATGTCATTAATAATTATGTTTTATGTGAATTTTACTCTCGTTAAATAAGTTGTTAGCGTAAAATAAGATTTTTTCCAGTTATTTTCTCTTTATTTTTATGTTTTATCATTAAATATCCTGGCTAAAATGGCACATTTTTCTCTTCAATAGAATTAAAAAAATATTTCTTTTTGTTTTTTATTTCATTTTTTGTGTCGTTTTGATCTGAGATTTAAGAATTTTCCTTTTTTAACGATTTTAACACGTTTCAACTTATTCCTCGCATATAAAACCAAATTTGATGTTACATGTCAAAAAAGAAGCGGAAATAAACTGTTCACATGAATTCTAAAGGATAAAAACTTTTCCTTCTGTTTGCGTGAAAAACAACACGGAAAACTTTCAAGGAAATACAATTTTCCTCTTGTTGTTGTTGTGCACATGATATTAAAGAAGGGAAAAAAGGAGTGCAATGAAAACGAATCTTCGCCTTGCACGATTCACTTTCATACGAATGAATATTGATTATCGACAGCTCTCGACTGCTCATTCGTTTCCTTTGATGTTAGCAGCACAAGCAAATGAGATAAAATAATTAATTTAGAAATTTGATATTTTAGAAGATTTTAATTTCAATTTTACCTGAGGCTCTTGCATCAAATCCAAATCGCATGTTTTTATACGTACGCTCCCTGCCATCGTGATTACTTGATTCTTTAATCGCAATTCGATAAACAAAATTACGAAATGAAAACAAAAACAGTAAACGAGAAGAAATAGGAAAAGAAATTTGTTGGGGGAGAAATCAATTAAGGATTCTTAGAATTGAAATTTCAATAATTTTAAATCAAAAGAAGAAAAGTTATGAAGTTGCCAATCAATAAGCGTTAGAAAATTAAATACGTAGGAAGAAAACGAAAGCTTTTGACATATCAAAGCACCGTTGTCATAGGTTTCAACAAGCAGGAAAATATATTTAAGCTACCATTTCTGTTAAATTAAAAAACTTTGATTCAATAAATGAAATAAGTCAATTATTATTTAGAAACTAACAAGTTCTGAATGTCAACCTTCAGATTTCATTCAAAGAAAGTTTTTCCTTCCTTAAGAATTTATCTGAAAAGTGAAAACAACAAGCAGAAACGTCATCGTGAAGGAAAACTTGATCCAAAAATAACAAACAAAAAGAAAAGGAAAAAAATTCTTTTAAATCTTAAAAGTCTTATTAAAGCCATTAATTAACTAAAAATCTATTGATTATCTTCTTGCTAATTTTTTTGTTTAATTAAAAATTAATCTTAAAATTAAAAAAAAGAAACCATAATGATTCTCTTAACTTAAATATAGATAGGGGTTGTATTCATATGCCTAATAAATATATGTTATTCATTTCTGCGCTCGCTCTTGTTACCAAGAGCAAAGCTTTAGTCTTCAAAATAAAAAAGGGAAGAAAAAAAGTTATGATGATCATGTAAAAATAAGAAAAGAATTTTACAAATGATGCTATACAATAGAATCATTAAAAATTAATTTGATTTTATGTAATTTCGAAACATTCGAAACACGTCCTTATCCTCTCGGCTTTAAGGCTTTCGAAATTATTAATTACAAAAAAAATCAAAAATTTATAAAGATCTTTCCATTACAGAATCAAATGGAAAAAGAATTAAGAAGAAAATTTTCTTCATTCTAACGCCTCGCAGCAACAGCAAAGCGACATTGAAACATTTAAATAGCAAAGAAAAGAACAGAAAAATGGCAACATTTTTTCGGTTTCCACAACAAATGTACATTGTGTGTTCTCTAACTAATTATTGTTATCTCACATGTCGTGGACTTTGAAGTGATGTTCGAGGATTCACGACGTATTCAGTGAGCCTGACGTCAGCTACACCGCCTTGTTCCAATGGAATAGGATTTTGACGGAAATGCTCGAGCATTTCTGTGATGCTTGGAAACCATAAATGTTGAACGCGGCATTGACCTGGAGAAGAAAAAGATAAGAAAATTATTGTCAAGGAAACTCTTTTAAAATGATAAATAAAAGTTGAAAGCTCACCTAAATCATTTAGCGTCATTCGTAGATGCTTTGCTCGTCCTTGAAAGTTGAATGTTAGCACATATTCACCTTTTCTCGTCTCACTTTGTCTCACAAGGAAAACTCCATGACTTCCTTGTCCACCATGAAGCACCATCGCACTTGCATCCGAGCGTGGTAATGTTCCATGGAACCTAACATGGAAATGCATATCGATGAACAAAAGCACTATAAATAATTTATTCTTAATCTTACCATGGATATTCATTCATTTGTGCTGTTAAATCTGATTCATGTTCCAAATCATCTTCATCAAGATGAAATTGACTTGACGCTTCGGGTCTCCTTGGCGGTATTTCAGGCTGTGATGACGATGACATTTGATTATTATTCATACTATTTACATTGTTGTTATTCAAAGTGGCGCCACCACTTGCTGATGTATTAGCTGTCGATGATGAAGGAGCACAAACATTTGACGTCGTTGTATCTGTTATTGATCCCGTGGAAGAGATGAGAGAAGTGTTAGGTAATGAAGGATTTGATGTTGTTGGGTCTTGTGATGGTAATTGCGATGTCGGTGTAGTCTTCATGCAATAACGAATTGTTGCAATCCAACTCTTCATGTCCATCGCATCTTTTGCCTCAATTAAATATTCTTGTCCGCCATCAGCTTTCAGGACGAACGTATTTTCTTTGTCAGGCATTTCAAGTGCAGTTGTTTCACGTGCCTCGTGAATTAAGTAACAAAAAATGCCGCCTTGTGTCTGAAATTGAGCATCATTTCAATCATTTATTCATGAGAGATTCTTTTCATGTATTTATTTTTATCATTTTTTCTAATTCAGTTTTAAGCTTACCTTGGGACTTTTATCAAGTGAATGAAACTCTAGCATGTACCCACCAGCACATTTGACTAATACTAATTTACATTTCTCCCACTCGAGATTCGTCAAGTCCTTTTTGTCGTTCTTGAGAAATTCTGGCGGTACATAGTTGACCAGTCCCTCTTTTCGGCACTCGACAACAATTTTGGCTAATTTTTTCTTATTATGTTCAGAATTTGAAAGATCCATATCGTCTGATGACTGCTTTTGGAATATTGTCTGAAACGGAACCTAAACGTTGTGGAGCGGAGTCGAAATGTTAATCGGACCGGCTCATTAGCGAATTACAATTCATTGTTACATTACCATTAGCTTTATTACCTTTCCTTTTCTTAGCGCCTTGAATGATAATCTTCGAAAGAATGGTTTATGATTAATTTTTGGCGAGTCGTGATCTTCCGAGAAGTCGCTGCCTTCACTCGGTGCTGTTGTGCCATTTGTGCCCGACTATTCATCACATGCAAAACGAGATAAAGAAAGAAAGAAAGAGCGATTATCAATTGAGAATGAAAAGCCCTTGAGTCAATCAAAACTGAACTATATGAATACCAAAAGGCGAGTGTCGTTTTGAACGCAGTTAACGAGAGAATATTTTTTGCGTGACAAAATTTTCTTTTAAGAAGTTCTTTTTTCTATTTTTGTATTGCGAGGCGTCGATAGTTTCTACATTGAACTATTAAAGACGAAGCTTTCTTCTTATTCTGACAAACTTTGTTTTCATTTATTTATTTTTTTTGTCATTTATGAATGGAATAACATTATCATCCTCATTTGTCAGCAAAGCCTTCAACTTTCAATTTTAAGTGTTGACATATTTGCAAACAAATATTCACAAACACACACAACAAATTGCTATGCTTTCTTCTTTTTTAAATCATAATTGACATATTTTTGAGTAAATAATCAAATTAATTGCTTCATGTCACTTTAAGAAATCTCTCGCTGATACTTAAACACTCAAGTAGTTCAATGATCACCATCAAATCTTTTTCTTTCTTTTTTTGTTGTGAATCCTCAGAACATTAAGCATTGATATATTTATTCTAAATACAATGTGTTGGATGAAATCTTTGTTTGGACTTCGAAATGAAAATAAAGCAACAAAGTTCTCCGGTCAAATCACCCCGAACAAAGCTCAAAATACAGAAACAGTAAATAAAAACGTTTACATTAATCTTCAAGAGTTGTGGTATCGAAGGAAAATCATTTTGAAACATTCGATCGATTTCCAAGCAACAACGATCGAATCAAATTCATTTGCAAGTAAAATTCTCGGATCGAGAGTGTTGTATAACATAAGCGTTCGATGATGATTCACCTTTTCAGTAGCAGCTACGCTTTGATTCTTAACTCTAACTTCAAAAAAATTCTTCAACGAATTCATAGTCAATTTTTTTCCGAAATAAATAATAAAACAAATTTCAAATCACTTCACACTTAGCGGCCGATATCGCTGTTCACTTTTGCTTTTTTTTCTTTTATAATATTTTTAAAACCGATAAGTTGTTCTGTCTGTTTTCATTAAATATTTCTTCTTTTCTACGATCATTTTTTCTTTTCTATGTACATTGTTGCACGAATTTAAGCAAGCAGCTCGCACAATATAAACATCACAAAAAAGAATCTTCAAACTTTTTGCTTGCAATTTTCTTTGGTTTAGTTACACAAAAATTATCTATCCGTAGTTCAGTAAAATTTTATTTATTTCCTTTTCTTATGAGACGAGGATGAATTGATTAAACATGAAAAAATTCCATGCAATGTTCAATGAAGCGACCTTTTAGCAACGTTAAGTTTTGATGAGTTTTCTTTATTCTTTCTTAGATATTTAATGTGGGTTGGATGGTTCGACCACATGAAGCTTGTTCATCGTACACTTCTTAACGCAAATTAACCATCTACACAACTGCACCTATGGCGTTTTCGCAATGCTTTCTTGTTCACGACTTTATAATTTCAATTCATTTTCTTTTTTATATTATTCCCTTGATAACTTTTTTTCTTGATTTATTAATCTGCCGGCTTTTAACGAATCACACAAACGCGTCTTGTTTCCATGCTTGTTGCTTTCAACTGATACGTTTTTTGAGCGAATAAAATGAATAAAAGCAGAACAGAAATTGGCTTTGTATGAGCAATTTCCACACGCTCTTCTGCTCAGAGATGTTACACTTTACTCTGACTTCGTTTGAACGAAGAAAAGAAATAAAAACATGAAAAATTTTGCTGACTGCGGTTCAAAAGAGCAGACAAGTTTCTTCTTATCACACTCAGGAAAAAATTGAAATAAAATTTTTGTTTTTCTACTCTTAAACTGCGTTTCGTTTCTCTCTATCTCTTTTCCTACTGAAATCCCTCACTCATCTTCAGTTTCAGTGCCGGTGTTTACAAATACTGGAACATTAAGCTCATAAATTTTGCAGATGGAATGCTTGAGATCTCAAAAATATGAAATTGAAACATTTTTAGTCTTCTTAAAGATTCATTTCTGGCTAAAGATTTAAATGATTATGGGATAAATGCTGGCGATATTGTCTCAACATCGAACACTTTGAACAGACGAAACACGAGATGAAGGCTGATTGTTTATTAATGAATTTTTATTTACGTTTAGAATATTGAAGTTTGTTTGATCTTCACAAAAAGTATTTTCCTACAATGTTAGCAAATATTAATTATTTTCTTACTTTTTATCAAAAAAATAAATAAATAAAAGACAAACGAATTAAGCAAATTGTTGATGAAAATTAAAGAGAAAATTTGACTATTTATATAATTTCTGAATGTCGAAGGCGTTGAATTAATAGGCAAAAAGGCGTAATAAAAAATCTTTGCGTGTCAGGATAATCAGAAAATCACTCAATCAATAAATCATGCAGCAATAACTGATAAGTTGGCAATGTAGTTGTTTTCATTATCCAATCGCTTAATTAAACATTAGCAAATATAGCCATAAAATGAGAGCAAATACAAAGAAAATGAAGAACTTCTAAAGCTTTTTGTGATTTAAAATATTTTCACATAAATTGGGCCATTATAATATACTACGCAGTGATGTTAAGCTTAACTCACAAATACTATAAATAAAAGCCTCGTGGATACTTTTCTGAAGGTCTTTTTTTCTTGATAACGTAGCAACGCGCAAGCACGAACCCAAAGCTTATTGCAAAAAACTATATCAGAAAGAAAAAAATGAACAGCGCCGGTTGAATTAGAGTTCTACATTTTTATCAATTGATTAAGCCATAACGTAATTGAAATTATGAAATACCCAGGGGGAATCTAAATAACTCCACTTAAGACGCTGTTAGGCGTATGAACGTCTTAATTGCTTTCGTAGTTGTTATGACGCCGATTTAGCTTTATGAGTCTAACAGACGAACATTATGCGAGTTGTAAGTACCAAAAATAAATGAAACCCGTGCCAGAATGTCTATCATTTATCAATCCAATCTTAATTAGGGTTGGGAAATGCGGAATTGCTCATGAAGGTCAACCAGATTCGATCGATTTATATGCTAATCGAGTTGTTGAGTCCACAACTATGAAACATATTCTTGTTCCATAACAAGATTGAGAATTCTCATTCTGCTCATTTTTGTTTTCTTTATTGCATTTTCGACCGGGAATTTCTTTCTTAATGTTTGCGGGATTGCGGTCACTGAACAGAACAACTTTTTGTTCCGACTTTAAAATTCCATTTGAATGAAAATCGAGCAACATTGTAGATTGCTAATACATAAATTAAAAATTGTTGTTTGTATATGGAGAAACAAACAGATCGATGTTTTCTTATGAAGCAGTCAATCATTATTGCTTCGCAAATGCAAAATAATTCCTTCCTCAAGTAAATTTTATGTGAAACTTTTAAGATATTGTTTTGTATCTAAAATTGAATTATAAATTATTAGAGAAGGAATATGAATAATTCTTATTAACAACTTCTTTAAAAGAATATTACATTAAACTAAGTAGATATAAAACAAGTAGACATGCGAGTGCAAACAAGATAATAAAAACTTTAAAAATAGGTTTTCAAGTGTCTTGTAATTCTGTTTATTAAGGAAATTATTTTTGTCATCATAAGGTAGAACGTTTAATTGCCACATGTAAGCTTAGAAAAAAACTTCTGTTCTGTTTATATTAACAAAGTGAAATATTCTTAAATTTCTTAAAATCATTTCGACAAGGGAACGTGAAGTTACGGAAACAGGCAACAAAGTAGCTATCAGGAAAATGTAATTAATTGTTTTACAATTAACAATATTATCATTAAATGATCCAAGAATTGGTGTACAAATAAATTTCATTGTTCGTTGATTTTTATTTTCGGATATCTCATGACAAACATTCTGTCGCAGACAATTTAATGAGGGATATTTATTGCAACATTGAATTCATTTTAACATTATTTTCTTATCAGTGTTGTTAGTTGTAAGTTAATTATGTTACTTGTGTTGAACTAAAAATGAGGAAAATGAAAACGAGTTTTGCAATTTTGAAATTTGCAAAGAACGAAATGTCCCTGAACATACGTCAGTCAATGAATCATTAAAATATTTGTTTGTTAACGACCGGCATGAGTAGGCCTGTGAAAAATTACAATCAAAACAAGCGAGAAGCTAAGTTTACTTTAGAGAAGAAAAAATTCCATTATAATTCTAATGGAATTTTACGACTAAAGAATGCCGAGGAATGACGTAATGTAAATTGATCGCTTCACTACTACCTAGTGGCTTATGAGAAATCACAAGAAAGTTCTGGTTAACAAATTTTCAATTTGATGTTGGAAAATATATTCTCAGATGTCAAAGCGAGACAGACAACGAGTAAAATATTTCGAAATCATTTATTTGTGTCTGTGCAAGAGAGCAAGCGGAGAGTAAAACAAAACACAAATTTGTAGCAGCTATAAATTGTGTTCATTTTATCAATGAAACTTAAACGTAGTGGAAAGAGATCACGGTTAATATTTTTACGTCATCACCATCCACATAATTTTACTACAGAAACTCGTTGCGATAAGTCAAACGAAAATGACTCAACCTTGTTATATGAAAAACGTAATAAATCAAATGATGAGTCGCATAAATTTCTGGAGACCATGGAAAGGAAAAATTGCGCCCGAAAGTTACAAGGAGAGAGAAAAATGATGTTTTACTCTGTTTGAGACTACTCCCATATTTTTTCTTTCATCTTCTTTTTTGTTCTTCCGTGGGATTCATGACTTTATTTTATACGTGTGTCCCAAATTATGGCTGAGTAAAAATGAATCGTTGATTGAAGACTCACCTTGCTGTTTCCTTGTTGTACACTGCGACGTAGATACTCGTAGTCAAAGTTCTCCGAAAAGCAATCAATAAATTTTTTTAATAAATCTTTATGTGAAATATTTGCACGAGCTTCTGTTTGAAGCGTTGAATTGAAATACTGGACGACTGATCTCGCAAAGTCACTACTAGCAGCACGAGCATGACGCTCACTAAATTCTATCCAGCCTGTGCCAAGTTGGCCTGTTTCTTGAACGGTTTCCATGCTTTTTCAATTCATTTTCACAAATTTAGTCTTTATTTCAATATTTTCGTGGGCATGGATTCAGATAAACACTTAACAAACATTCACTTTTAAGCTATTATAGAGGTTTTTTCTTCTTTTCCTTATTCCACTTCTTTTTGTTACGAGCTTATGTTATGATGTAACGTTTTTTCAGGACTTAAGAAGCGATATTATTGTTAGAATTTGATAAAAATCTTATCAATTTGAAGTTTGTTTTGAACGAAATTATAATTTCAATTCCATAAGAAAATCACCAACGGAGTGTCATGAATTCACCAATGAGTGGTAAAATTGTAAACCATTGACAAGAATTCTCCCGTGTATCAGTTTGGTGAATTTGGTGAATAGTGAGATTAGATGTAAAACGGAGTTAGATTAGTCATTATAGCATTTCGAAGGTAATAATTTAATCCCTTAATATTGCACGCTTCCGATGACAGCACGTTGACAAAATTATTTATTGTTATTGCGCAATAATATTTCATATTGTGAATTGAAAAATCAACCTTAGGGTAATGCATCTCGTGAATAAAAAATTAAATATTTGCTCTATAAAATGTAAGCAAAGAAACGATTAAACAAATTCCTACATCATGTATACATAGTTCTAAGCAAATCATTTTAACGGAGAGCAAAGAGAGACGCATCTCAATAAACAGTAGTGTATTAAATACATTCCTTGATATACAATGTTTAATTAATAGAAAAGCCTCGGGTATATTACAGCACAGTGAGTTATTTTAAGTGAAACCCTGATAAGTGCACCTTGATTGCTGCTGCTTCCGACTGTGATTTTTTGCTGTGTTGCATCAAATACTCGCCTGAATTCAATTGCAACCACATTTTGATGCAGTTTCGAATCGATACTTTAAAAAACATTTAGCTTATTAGTTTTTAAGTGAAGTTGAGATAATAAATATAATTTTAGTATTGCTATTAAAATGTTTTTTAAAATCGTTGTGGGTTTATTGATTCTTCTGTGTTTAATTGGTAAATTGAAATTCAATTCCTCGAATTTTTATATCTACGGAATAAAAAAAAACTTTAACGTTTAACAGGAAACACTTACATCATTTCAAGTGTTCTTTTAAATAAAAACCTCAGAAATTGGATTGGATATCACGTGCTAAGTATTGTTATCGTGGATTTTGTTACTGAAGCTTTTTTCAAATCGTCAGCAGTTTTAATGGTAAATATTTTAAAGAAATATTCATCGATTTAGTGACCAAATGTCAATGCATTTCAGCTAATGCAACAGAACACTTTTGGAGATTATCTTTGCTATCCAATTTATATCGCTTTGCGATCGAGTCAAACAATTATTCTACTCAATTTATTGATCGTTCTTTTCTGGATTAACGTAGCGTGTTATGAAAAAATGAGAGTTTTAAATATCACGAGTAATTCTAGAACAATTTTGACGATTGTCGCCTTGTGGATTGGAACTATTACTTATGTTACATATGAAAAACTTAAACCACATTCGGAACTTAATCTAAAATCGTGCCGAGATGATAATAAAGTGAGTAGCAAACATTCATGATTGTATATTCAATTGAATTTTTATGAGAAATGTTTAGCTTCTTTTTACATATGTTGTAAACATCGCGATCGCTTTGATATTGATTGCATTTTATGTATCGTTGATCTCATTGAAAATATTTCGAAAAGCATCACGAACAGTTCGAAGTCAAGCTATCTACAGTAACATCAGCATGGAACTGTTGCCCATCAGTGATGAAGACGAATGCAATGACAAACGAATGGTCAGAACAATTCACGCAATTAGCATTTTATTTTTCATCTCTTGGATTCCTTACCTTTTAAGTTTTATTCCTAATCGAAACATTGATCCAAACCATAATACAAATCATGAAAGTTACATGTTTCTACTAGGATTTCTCAGATCAGTTTTTAATCCATTTATTTGTTTTTGCGTAAACCCAGAATTTCGAGTTCTTTTTAATAATTTGCGTGTTAAATGAAAATATCATTTTAAAAGAGATTGAATATTTATAATTCCTGAGAAAGAAATGAGAATCAAATAGAAAGACTCAATTTATTTAAGTTGTCAATAATTTAAAGTAACAAATATCTTTTCTTTTATTAATATCAAAAAAAAGTAAATATATACAACGACAAAAGAGAATTGCTTAACAGAAATTAAATAAATGTTAGCTTAAAATTAATTGATGAAAGCTGTCAATATTTTTATGCACCGAGAAAGAACTTTTTAAATTATTTAGTTTCACATTTTGTATACTAAGATTTTCTATGCTTTGATATTCATTCCTATTTAATTAACATAATCTTGTTCATTTATAAAAATAATGAAATGAAAGAAAGCTAAATTAATATTTAAGCCTTATCAGCGATCAAAGGAAACTCTAAGCAAATTAAAATGCTTGCAATAATGACCAGAGAACATTTAAACATATCAAGAAGCATATCATGCATACATTCCTTCATTGTAAATAACTAAATTTCGTCATTATCAAAGTGACAATTTTCATTTTTTTTGATTAGTTTTTTTTTTCATTATCTGCTCTAATAAAAGTTGCAAAATTTTGCGCTTCAAAAAAGATTATTTTTTTTCTGTTGTCGTATTGTAAATGTTAAGCCATTATAAAAGTTATTAATATAAGTTATTATTCTTATCAGTTCGACATTTGATGCTGCTCTAGTTAAGTAGGTATTTCGAAATTGTTTTCTAAAACCACACGTGTTTATTATTGTTCAGCACCGGTTGACTCGTGTGTGAAGTTTGAATCTAAACTCGCACAATCTGAGTTATCTTGATCAGGATTTTCACTTGCTGCTGCTTGTTGTAACATGTGAAGCATGTTTAACAAAGGATCTGAATCCATATTACCCGATGCTCCAGGATCTAAGCCAACATCATCAGCAGTGATTTGTCGTAATGTTGGAACAGTTGTTGGTGTTATCTTCCAAGGATAAGTTTCTCGAACATACAAACATGGATCAGTCCATGAATTTCCACGTCTTCCATACAACTGCACGCCTTCTTTAATCGCATCAACTAGATAAGGCGCCAATTGATGATTCCACAAGTCAACAAACCACTTTTGCGACTCTTCTTCATCCAATGGACATCGAAGAAAGAGTTGGGGTCCTATTGTGACGTCACTTGAACTATGATTCTCCAAGAAAGTATTTGTATGAAGCCAAACACTTGGGAGCCATTTAAACACTTTTTCCATCTGCACTTGAGATGAACCAGTTTGCAATTCAAAGTGAAATAAGCGACGTCTTAAATATCTTCCTAGAAAACCTTTCACCGGTTCCATGTGGTTTGCAGTTAAAACCTGAAAAATAGAATTAAAAATTTTATTTCAATTTAATCAATTATCTAATTTATTTAATTTTTTACCCATCGGAAGTTGTGATGTAATTGTAAATTTGTAGTATTGCAAGTTGCTTGTGACATTGTCCCGATGATGCATGGAAGTTTAGCTGCTGGGCCGGCACTCAAAAGACATGAGAAAACATCACCAAGAGCAGATGCATGATGTAAGTTATCCAAGATTATCACCAAGGGTAGTTCTTCAGCTGATCCATTCATTGTCGCTTGTTCAGCTATTGTTCCCAAATATTGTTGAAGGTTTGAAGACTTATTGTCGACACTACAAATTATGTTAATTAATAAATAAAAAAAAACTTTCTTAATCATCATTTAACATACTTAAACGTGGCAATGGATTCTGCTGGGCTTCGATTTGATTTTGCAACTAAAAACTCTGCAAGTTTTCTCGCTAAATAACTTTTTCCAGTTCCACTTGGTCCGCAAAGTATTAATCGACGATGTTCTGTCAATAAATTTATATAACGATGAACAATTGATCGAGGAATGAGACTGTCAAATGCCAGACTTCCAACTCCTTGTAAACAAATGTAAAGCGTCTTGACATGACCAATGATATAACCACAAGGAAGAAGTTCAGGAAATCCCATCTCTGGACCACGTTTTGCTTCACCGAGATGATAATCTGAGATGGAATCCGTGTTTAGACCTAAATTAGTTCCTGGATCGATTCGTGATAAATAATCTTTGAAAGTCTTCCGAACAATGTAATCGAGATTCTGCCACGTTGTTTTTCCTGAGATGTAAGTAAATGCAATAATAGTTTCCAATACATTAGAAGCTCCTTGTCCATTTCCATTAGTTTTTGGTTGATGCTTCAAGTCAATGTCACTCAACTCATCAGCATATTTGGGAAATGCATCGGATTGACCCAAAAACACTGCAATTGCAATTTTCTTTCCATCAACTGGATCGGCAACATCTTCGGCAGGCGTTGAAAGAACTTCATTTGAAATTGAAATGCGTTCTAATGCTGGTGACAAATCAGCAATAATTGCAGGTGATAAAGGTGCAGGTGGTGGATCAGGAGCTGGTGCTGGTGGCACATTATCTTCTTCTTCTGTCTCATCGAGATTTTGTGGAAGATCTAAAGGTGCACGTGGCATTCCTGAGTCAGTAGCGAGACTATAACGTCGTGACTCTCCCATTGATCCACTAGGACTAGCCGGACAACCAAGTGAAACTTCAGAACCAGCTAATGATCGTGTGGTTACCATTCGCTGAAGTCTTTCGTTGTTATGCTTGAGATTCAACATTTCTTGTCGCATTGTTCTGACAGTTTCTTTGAGTGTTTCCATTTGTGAAGCTTGAGTTAAAGCTTCAAGTCGAATATCAGTTAGTACCATGTCTTTCTCTCTTAACTGTTTCTTGAGATCTTCGCCCATCGGGTGACTGTCAATTTCGACAGAGTCAACTGGTTTGGCATTTTCAACGATAGGAATGTAACGATGTGGACTACTCTTACTGGGTGATCGAGGTGTTTGATTTTTCTGTGGTGTGGGTGGAAGGGAAGACTTGGAATCTGAGTGATTCGTCGTGAGACTCGATTGGCGATTAGTTTTCATAATTTTGGCATTACGTGAGAAAGCTTTCGTGAAGGAAGTTCGAAGCTGTGGATTGTAAATAAATTTAATTTAATTGTAGAAATGCTTAAATAATGCAAATAAGAAACTCACCCATCCTTTCTTCTTTTTCTTATCTTGAGAAGATCCATTGGATCCAATAGAATTGATTGAACACATTGAGTCAGTGCTGTGATGTCTTTGCATTGATCCATTTTGACCATTCTGTTCATGTTGTCCGTTAGTAGTTTTTGTTGGACTTTCATTTGATTTGGTGCCATTGACATTCACTTGAACTCCCATGCTTTGCATATGCGCTGATGTTAGTCCCGCTTGAATTGATTGTTTTCTTAAGAGTTCAATTGTTTGACGCATTTCTGTTATTTCTGATTCCTGTTAAAAAGTCAAAGAAAAGAAAAATATTTAAATCGTGGAAAGAGAAAGAAAAGTTTTAAGAATCGTTTCGATAATCGTACGTGAGAGTTCATTCATCTGGTTAATAATAACAGTAAGTGAACTATTAACAACATGAAACAAAAATGGAAATTCTGAAATAATTTAATTTTCTACACTTGATAGCTTTTCAATAGCAAAACATTTCAAATGATAACGATCTGAGTTTTATGTTCCGACAATACCTTCTTCTCTGTCGTAGCTGTCAGTTGTTGGAGTCTGTTGGTCATATTTTGTAAGCTCTGCTCGAAGGCATTCACAACATGGGCCTATAATTAATAAATTAAAAGTTTTTTGTTTTCGTTTATAAACAATTTGTTATCAACAAAGTTAATCTGCATTAAAATGGAAAAAAATTCGTGGCATGTTACAAGAAAAATTCTGTGATTCTTTCTGTCATGTTTTTAGCAACGTTTGTAGTTTTTTGAAAGCCTATTTGCAATTCAAAATGTTTCTTTCTCTTCTTGAAATGCTTTGAAAATAGTAAACAATTGAATTTCAAATCTTTTTATGTAAACAAAAATTTTTAAATGAATTTCCCGCCCTATTGAGAAGTTAAAGAAATTTTATTCTTTTAGGAAACAATAACCTCGCACTAACTTGCAAGAATGAAATGTTATTCATCCATTAAATGTAAAACCATCATCATTAGAACAAGTGGAAGTAGCATAAAGAATGGGAAACAGGATTTAGCCAATGAATGATGAAAAGAATATCCAAGATTTATGTTTTTATATCTTGGGAATTTTCTCTGCTTTCACAAGTGTTGTTGAACTTGATGAGTTGAAAATGGTTTTAAAAAATTAACACATTTTGTAAATTGAGTCATTACGTTGAGAAACTGTTTGCATTGTAATTATTATAAATATAAGTTTTACTTTTTTTATATTCGTTTGAATTGGATCGCACGATTACATTGTAAGTATTTGTGATTTAAAAATGAAATAATCATCGATGATTCACTTAGCGACACTCGTAATTATTTCCATTGCTTACGATAGACGTAGAAAAGAAATATTAATGAGAGTAGATTGTAGACAAGCTCGTTTATGAACTTTCAAAGAATATTAATATCAACAGTGACCAGTGCATAACAACGACACACAGCATTTGTTACAATCGCTTAGTTTCAACTTCTTGCTCGAATCAAACTGATTTATGAACAAAAATTTATATTGACACAAATTTTTGTTTTCTCAATCAAACGAACATTAATAATTTTTTAGTGAGAATAAAAATTGTGGAAACAATTTAATTGAATGAAAAGAACTAGATAATCAGCCTACGCTAAAAATGTTATGGTAGAAAGTTATGATTTTATGTTTCTCCTTATTTGTGCAAAAAGGTATGAAAAATCATTCAACTTATCAACCAACATGAAAACAAGCTAATTCCAACAACATTAATAGAAGCTTGAGATTGATCATAAACATGAATTTGGCACTACACGAATAATTGATTTCTTTCTCTTCTTGTTTCAACAATCATAAATTCAAATGTTTTCTCATAAATAATTAACATCCAACCGAACAATTGCTCCGAGTGAAATGATTCTTTGAAAGTTGTTGAATTGGAAATCTTTCTTTAGTGTCATTGAATTAAGCGTGAAGAGTAGATTTGTTATAGTTCGAGTATCCAGATTTAACGAATGGGATTCTTAAGATAAAGCATATGGCCAGCCATAAGCAAAAGCATAGAAATTCAACTCACGCAACATTAATCGATGACTAAAAAGCTTAGCACAACGGGATGCAATGTTACATGATATTTGATAGTTTCATGGCTGTTTAGTCGATACGGCCTTGAATGGAATGTTTTCTATGTGAGTGTCGTACTTTGTAAAATATCTAAATTGTAGTCTACAATGATGGATTGCATGTCAAGTCGTTGATATAAATGAATTAAATAATTAAGTTTTTACAGCTGAATCTAATTAATGGAAATATTTAAAATTATATTTTTCTGTTTTCAGCAACCCTCAAACAATAGAAAAAATGTTAATATTTATTTTCAATCATTTCGAATCATCGTTTGTTCCGCAAAATAGATTTTATGTATGGTTGTAAAATGTTCCATAATTGCGTAGTATAACATGGGGAGGATGAAAGAGCGAGATCGTTAAATTATGAATGTCGTGAATTGATGAAATCAAATCGAGCATTTCCAGTCTTTAACGCCTTTCGATAAAAGTCAGCGAAAAGCATTTCATTGAAATGCGAAGAGGCAATAAAATTGAAGACAATAAATGGAAATTACTGTGACATTTACATAAAAATATCATTCTAATCTATATTTACTTGACGAGTTGTTCAGCCTTTCCACTTGAATACAAGAATCGACACGAATCGTACAAACAACGATGATAAGTAAAACTCATTGACAGTTCAATGCAATGAGCTTGTTAAAAAATGCTGGGGACACCATGAAAATGCATAATTTGTGTTGCATTAACTTTTACTTTGTTGCTTAATTAAGAAGGCAAATCAAAAGAGTCACAAATTGTTATTAATCGTATGATGTCTTAATCTTGTTTGTGAATATCTCCGATTATTTCTCACTCATTAAATGTCATATGATCAGATTTGTCAAGCTTCCTGTTAATGCTGATTTTCTCACATCGATAAGAGAAAATTTAATAAATAATGAATGCATAATTAATAAAGCTGGCCGGTTTATAAGTATAAGCATTTTCGTTCCTAGGCAGAAGAGATTAAATAAAACTTGCGACGTTCAAGATCGTTTGTGGCAACGCCAGTTAGGATCAAAAATTCATCGTGATAAACAAGAAATTCCTTAGATATTAAAACCCAGTTTGTCGTCAATCAAATTTAATTCCAAGCCCATATCATAATCATCCATCATTAGCCTAATTATGTTGCTACAGTTTGAATCTGTTGGTAGCTTTTAATTGTACATATGCTTGGAATAAGAACAGAAAAGCCTACACGCATGCCGATGTCTTCTCAAAATCATTCAAATTAATCTTCATATTTATTGTTATTAATCGTGGAAGGCAGCGACAGAAAATCAATCAAATTCATTCATGTTGACTGCACGAATGCTTTTAACAGTCCATTTAGGGATTTTTACGATAAATGACGCCTTTCCACTAGCCGGATCGAAAGAGAAATTTCTTTTCTTTCTAATTTCCTTCCGCTCCTTTATAACAACAAAATAAAACTTCTCAGACACACGAACTGCTCGTTTTACGACATGATAAGTTGTTCGATGAAAGAAATTGATTTTGATACTTCTTCTCTCAACTGCCTGCCTTCATTTATTAAAAAATTGTGATGAAAGGCAGCTTGAGATGTTTGTTCAATTTTCTTTTGTTTTAATTTGCGAGGGTTTAACAGCAGTTTACTACATTTATTGAGTGAGTGATTACATGAAATCTCATGAAATCAAATTATCTATTCGATACGTGATTTTAAAAGTGAAAAATAAAAAATTATAATTCAGTAAATGTTTTTACAAATTCTTCGACTCATTCAATCAAAGAGAATTACGAGAAAACAAGTGTAATGCTAATTACTGATTGCATTAGTGATATTTTAATGTAGTTTTGAATGCTTTGAATATTAAAAGCTATGATTAAACAAAACATAGTAGTTTTAATATACATTTATTAAAAACATTGCCAATGTGACTCGAGTTGATAAGCAGTCATTATATATTTTTTCAACTCATATTCAAACGCTTTTGAAATACCCTCAAGGCTCATTCGAGTGTCAGCGGTTTAATAATGCATCACCAAGAATATGTAGATAAACATTTTACTTATGTTACTCATTACAAGACGAAATCTCATCCATGTTACTATGAAAATATCGCCGTTATTTATTTTCATCCATTCTCACATGCTTATTGTTATGATTTCAATGTTAATGCACATAAACATTAATTAAGTAAACAAACAAAGTTCTATTTCTTCGTACTGTGAACAACGTGGAAAGGGTTTGTAATAATGATACGTCTGATAGGTTTATGACTGTTTGTATTAAGCCATCAACGCTTCGTTGTGAATTATGGATAAGGTTTAATGATAAATCCAAGATAATGAGAGGTTTATAGGAACCAATTTGAAAGTCATTGTCCGCCTAACAATCATTTGTGTTAACTTAATTTAAGCTTAAAACGAATTGTATGTTTATATTGTTTCTGTTGATTTGATATTTCTCAACAAATCTCAACTTAAGATGTAACTAAGTGCGTAGAAACCTCTTTGATATCTTTCTCATTTTTTGAATAAATATCAATCGAGAGAATGCCGCAACACAAATGATAAATAAACATAATCGTATAAGCCGTCAATAAAAAACACATTTGGATCAAAGCAGCATAAATCATAAATTGACAACATAGTGGTCACGGTTTTATTTCTCTTTTTTTTTGTGATCATGTAATAGTTAATGCCAATTTATGTTGAAATAAATATGCAATGCTGCTAGCAATGAAGCATAATGTTCAATTAAGCTAACAACAGGTAGCAGAGTTTGAGAGTGAAATGAAGCACATGGTTCGATTGATTCAAGTTGTGGGACGCACAAAAAAAAGTATTGCGCAAGTTCAACTTTCATTGAAGATTTCATGTTCATGTTATACGAACGATCTCTCAATTAATGTTAATTAAATTCTCAATTAAAGTTTATGAGTAGAAATTACGTCATTATTGTAATTTGCTACCCTTTACGTTCAACTGATTATCAGCATTATCATAAATTTCACATTTTTCTCCTTTCTAAATCCGTGATGTAATTCCTTACAGTTTTATTGTGTCTTTTGGGAGTGACTAAAGCCCCAAACATCGCGTGCTAAACAATAATTCCATTCGAGGAACATAAAATTTAAATTAACGTGTCAAGAATTCTTTTTTTTATAAAAGTTTTACGACTCTCGAGACGACGGTCATCTTGTAATATTTTTTTGTCGTTGTTTCCTAAGCCAAGTCAACACGACTCCGAATTCCGCGATTGAAATTCATCATTGATTGCATCATCTTTGAACCGGAAATTCTGTGTGATTTCTTTGGAAAACCACAAAGTTCTAATAATTCTTTCTTTAACGCGTGTAGGCAGATGAAAAACGATGACGTTGACGATCTTTGTGACATTTACTATTAGATGAACAAGTTGCAAGTTTGTGTGATGAAAAGGCATTTAATATCGAGAAACTTTTTACTTCTTGCTTTAATTTTATAAATATCGTACATGCATTAAATTCAACCTTGATTTATTATTGCATCAATTGAAATAAATGTGAGCATCAATGTTGTTATTTAAATGGGATACCCACAGCGTAGTTGAGTTATTGTGACTTCCAATCCAACTACAAAGATTGTGGAGATTTACAACTGTTAGACGTCCATTCATTCATCTGTCATTTTTTCATCAACGATGTTCCTTCATTGACCTTCAATTCTAATGAAATTTGATAGTTTTTTTTCTCTTTTCCTTCGTAACAAACGATCTGATGTTCTGTTGGATGAACATGAAAGATTGACGATGAGAATCGATTTGAACGAGAAACACGAAGTGTCAATTTGCTTGAAATCAATTTTCTTCCATACAATGGACACACACCTGGAAGGGAAAGTCGATTTTCTGCCTGCCAGCCACTTCTTTCTTCCTCGTCATAAACACACAATTTTTTCTTACATTTTACTTCATCTAATTGTTCAACAATTGTTCGCTTTCTTAGTCACAAGAAAGAAGAAAAAACTTCCTCGATTTATTGATTGAAGTGGACGACAGCAAAAAGTAATTTTAAGAAAAAAAATTTCGTCGTTCTGCTTTAAAACGGTTTCATTCAACTTCAACAAAAAAAATATTTGAAAATAAGAAGAGAATGCTGAAAAACAAAATCATCTTAAGACTTGACATTCCGGAGAAATCACGTTGATGAACAATTTAAAGAATCTGGTTTTGGGAGTAACTAAAAGAGACGCCATCAGTACCAAACTTATAACATTACTAATGATCCAAACGAAGCGAATTATCTCAACACTTCTCATGTACATAAATGTCAAGTGTTGACTTTTTTCAAAGCTTTTAACGAATGATCATCTCATCATGATCTTGAGAAATGATTCAATAATCGAATATCCAAAGGTGTCAAAAATCAATAAAAAAAAAAGTTTCCGAACTCGTTTACTTTTAACGACAAACCGTTCGCAAATATTCGCTTATGTTACGATCATCGCAAACTTCTTGAAATTCAAAAGTAAACAAAATGTGCTTGTTGAGTGAATCCCAGCGTGGAAGAAAATATTCTCACCAACAAAGCAGTTGACGATCACTGTGAGAATAAAGACGTTGATAACGTTAACATGTCGCACTATGTTTACATCAGATTGTAGATATTTAGATACATTCATTCTCTAGTGAAAGCTTCCCAATTCAACCACACATGGTATCAAGATGGAAACGTTTCTCTCTTCTCAGCGCTTGCTTTTGACATTAATTTAATGCTTTCTTTTATCATATTTCGTAAATCTTCTTCGTTTCGCAAGATCTTTTTCTTTTCTCTAAACAAGATTTTTTATCGCTTTCAATCATACAAATTATCATTCCTTGACGATTTGGCTTGAAATGTGGCAAAAGCAACGAAAATATGATAAAAGCCATGATATGTGTAAAATAATTTCACGTTAGGTTTCTACAAAATTTCGACCATCAAGAGAGAGAAAGAACTGGTTGTAGCATCGAATTAATAAATAATAATAAGAAATGAACGATCATCGAAACGAGGATTGAGAATTGAATTGAAATTGTGATAATAATAACCTGAAGTGGAGGACAGCTTTGACGAAATTCCTTCTTAATTGCCAGTTCGTACCAAGGCACTGGTGGTTTTGTTCTTAATGTGGTTTGTGAGCCAATCTTACAGCTCAAAATTGGATCCCAATGAATTAAATCTCCCAATGACGATGCTAATTTATTGTCGTTTTCAAAATGTTGCTTTTCTTTGGGATGGGCAAGTGTTGCAAAGCGTCGATGTTGAACATGAGAAAGCAACGATGGGCTGTAAAGTGACTTTGTCATAGTAAGCGATGATTGCATTGAACATCGATTTATTTGCTCGGAGCTGTCATCAATATTATTACTGACCAATCTTCCATTGCCATTTCCATTGAAATGACTAAACGATTTCCTATAATTGAGATTAGTGGCTTTAAGAGGTGGATGCTTTCTTGCATGTGGTTGAACATTAATTAAAATCACATTTTCATCTTCGCCTTGTTGGCGATTTGTTGTCGATGGGAGATGTAGCGATTGAGTCATTGATGCATGTTGAAAAGCTGCGTGATGATTGGAAGAATAAGTGGATGAGTTCGAAGACGAATTATCCATGCTATCAGCTGATGGCGATGTTGACCGATGATGGTATAAAATTTTGCCATATTTCGGACTTTCAGGACGGGAATAAAGCGGAAATTGTCGCGTAACTCCATCAACTGTTGATTTTGATCTCATCGCATTTAGCTGATTTATGTATTGAGGTGATTTCAATGGTGACATGATAATGTCGTAAGGCAATGATTGGAAGCATTCATTTGATTGTTGCAGATCTTTGTCACTGCCATCGTCTCCACTTTCAATTGAATTTCGGGGCTTGAATGTCTCAAATGTTGTGCGTTTGTTGATTGAATCAGAAAATTGACTCATCCCATCAGCGTCGCTCTCGAAACCATTAAGAACGTCTTCATCTAATTCAATCGACTCATCAAATACTTCGTTAAGCTTTTTCGCGTACATAATTTCCGAATCAAAAGTTCGCTTTATTGACTTTCGTCTTGGACTCAATTCGGTCATTTCAATCGATGATGTTGACGACGTGCGAAGCTTATGCTTGTGATCATTACGGCCTTTACTTCGCCGTATCGTGGCGTAACCTTCAGGCAAAGTTTGCTGATGAAGCATTGGCATAACAATTGTTTCTTAATTTTATTTAATCATGTGATTGTGTCACACAGAGCAATGACATTCAACTTTCTTTTCTCATTAAATCTTTTTTTTTATCTTTTTGTTAAGCACTTCAAACTTTTTATTCTTTCTTTTTGTTTGTTTCTCTCGAATCACTCAAACACAAAGTAAATCCACTGATAATGTCTTTTTGTTTCATTCATTTAATGACATAGACACTGCAACTATACAGAGTGATTACATAAATATTTGATACACGACGATGGTTTGATGATAATAATGATTTGGCGAAGAGAAAATGTCGATATTGATAAGACGATTGCATTTGTGATCACGTTTTTGATTACATTTTGACATTTTAATTTTGTTACGTTTTTCATTTCCGCAATCGTGAAGGGATTTCAAAACACTTAAACGAAATTAGAATTCTTGAAAAAATCTTATCAGCGATAAATTAACAAGCGGCTTTTAAGCTTTCTAATCAAGTGAATAAAACGGGTGTGTTGATAAAAAGAAGTCGCAAAAAAATTGAAATGCTAAATTGACGTTAAATAAAACAACGTCACACTAAAAGCAATAAGTTGTGATTACTTTATAATCACTCTAATTCTCCATTGGACAATAACGTGCTAAAAGAAAAGCGTCGGAGATTCGCTGGTTTGCGGATCATTTAACTCTTGAACAGAGCGGCTTAACTTCAATTTAATAACAAAAGAATGCTAAAGTAAATAAAATCTGCTTTTGCTCTTAAAGTACTTTATTTTTACGAGCATGAAATTATATTAATTTCTCAGGGATGTGGTCGACACTCTTTAGCGTATTTTCAGCAGAGTGTGAGAGTTTTCGCGGAAAGACTTTTATTATCTCATCACATTATTTTACGCATTTTAATTTCACATTTTAACTTAAAATATTTATAGGCCCATTGACTTGAAGGTGTTTAATGACTCAGGGGAATTGAAGATTTAAAGGGCGGTTCTTTGAAGAAGTTTGGGGTTCTCGAAGTTGGTCGTTAATTAACAGATTTTACTTAAACTCGATTAAAATTACCTAAAAAGAAATGCGAATGAAGGAGGCGAGAACGAAACGATGACCAATTAATTTCAATTATCCATAAAGTAGAACCGTACTTGGCAACCATAAAAATCATTGAAGATTATCTTGAGAAACTTTGTTGGCGAGAGAAGATTATGTCATTCTGAGGCTCAATCTATTGGCCAATTTGTCGCAAATAAAATGAGGTTGGAAGAAATCTTAAAGCGAAATGAAAAAAAGGGTGTAAAGTTAAATATTTTATGACATCATAAGTTTTCAGATCTTTAACTGAAGTAAAGAGAGATTACATGGTCGAGTAGCAAAGGTAGTTATTTTATTTAAAGCAATCTCTCCTTCACTTTAAGATTTAACGATTAAATGTGTTCAAAGTCAAAGGTGAATAACACAGTTTAAGATTTAATGCGACAGCTGACCAATAAAAGGCGGCAATTGTTAACGTCGATAATTAATTATCCGACTTCTCTTTGTATGTAATTATTCAAGAAGTTAAATGTGTGATTACCAAGGTGGTATTCATTTCAAGAGAACGATATTATTAAGATGCTAATTGCTTCACGCTACAGAATAAAAAGACGTGAGAAACATTGACATGGTTTTATATTCTTCAATCGTTACTTCAACAGCTTTATTGACGTTATAATGTTGAACGCCATTCAAATCATGTCAGTTTTAATCGATTCTCAATTGTAGATCAATAAACAATCTTCTCATGCAATTAACAGCGAAGTAAAGAAGAACTTTACGATTGTCACAAATTGTGATAAAAAGCCATAACAAACAGTGTTGTAAATTTTGCACGCAAACTACTTACAAGCTTAAAAGCTTAGAATATCGTAATAAATTTTAAGCTTTTCAGGAATTGCTGGTGAACAAGTTTCTTTCAGAATTTTCAACTAATAAATTGTTCCTCTGTTTCCCAGACACAAAGACAAAAATTTTTGCAAAGTATAATAACAATTTATCACAATAAAGAACAGAAAAGTTCATGTGATAGTGTGTTCAGCTGCCATTTATCAAATATTTAATTTTCTTAAAACTATTTTGTGCTTAGCAATTCAAATGTTTCGCTTTCGAGATCATTACGAGGGCAAAAACAAAAATGGATCAGAAAGAAAAATCAGCAAACGACAGTTGGCGGAAGTAGAAACGTACGAACAAGATCATAACAGACACAATCAATATTTATTACTGATGATTCTTTTTAGATATCTGCTTAGAAAAATTCTTTGTTATGATCTCAATTCCTGTGTTCGTCACAATTTGCTTTATTGTAGTTAACGACTTATGTGGAAACGGAAAAAAGCGACACGTAAATGGCAAAAAATAAAGAATGTCGCCTTGTATTATTTATCGAGCGTGGATCAAATAATGTTTGTCGCTATAAATTTATATCCTCATGTACATTCTTTCCCATTCACGAGAATCAAGACAAAAATCTATCAAAGAGCGACATTGCGTCTTTATATTAAAAAATCGTAATAAGAATTAGAAGAAAAAAGTCGTTGCTTTGAGAACATTTTATTCGTTAATCATCATGAATGATCCAACAGACTTTGAAAAGTTTTTTTTGCAACACTTAGGACTGACAAAGCTTGAATGCCACGCTCTTAATGAACTTTGTGGTTGTTGTTGCTGCTACTCGATGACTTTGAGAAAACGCAGATGTTACATTAGTTTTATTCTGAGATCACTTCGAGTGACGATAAATATCTAAATATTTATTCCTCGATGCAGAAAAATAAATGTTTCTCATAGAAAAGTCTTTCTGGAGTGATTATTTTAATTCGTGATAATTTATGTGGTTGAGAAATAAATGCTTCTAAAACATCAACGATATGGTTTTAATTAAATTGCTTAGAAAGATGAAAATAACATAAGCAAGATTAACGATCCACTCTCCCAATCATTAAAATTATTTATCATAAAAACGTTTCTGTTTCCTAATCGCCAGTCAAACAGCGCAACTTAATTTGCATTGATGAATAATTAATCGATGACTTTTTTCTCGCACGTTTTTTCATTTTTCGTTGATAAAAGAAATCAATACAAACAATAAAATGATCAAATGATTTTATTGATTGTGTTTCTTTATTCACTGATTGAAAAATTAAAAACATTTCTTAATTTATCAACAAGAAATGAATTGAAATTTCATGTCGGCCTCCAGAGGCGATTGGTTGTTCATTACAATTACTTCAATATTTTCTCGTTCATTGACGATGAAATGTGAATAGAATATTGCGACGTTACTAATGTCTCATAAACTCAACCACGCACCACACGCCGTTGTGAATGGGGACACCGACGACGATAACGGACTAGAAATGGAATCAATTATTACTTCTCGAGAATCTCTTTCGCGTTTCCATTTCAATTTTCTTTCATTATTCTTGGGATCAATCAACGCTTTTCCCTTGCGCTTTAGGAAATGTGAAAATGCAATCAAAATAAAACATAAAATCTTTTCCATGTTGCATGCTTTTTTCTCAAACTTTGTGCTAATGAAATGCACATACATCGCTCGTCAGATCATCATTATCATCAATCGTGTGTATCAAAAATACGAAAACCAACCCAGCATTAAATTAATTCACTTTTCTCCCTTTGATGTTAATCACGTTTTCTTTTTTTTGCTTTAATCATCAGTCAGTCGTTGCCTTCTTTAGCTTGTTGTTACACTTTGTTATGTCGGATGTGTTGATTTTAAAGGCAGCACTTATGACACTAAACTAATTTCCATTTCAACGGGACCACATTAATATCCAATAAGCTGATTAAATGCATCGTTAAAATGCAAACAACACGACTTAAACAGTCCTCAGAATGTATTTCTTTTGCCTCATGTCACATGTCATCAATGTTGATAGTTTGACAATAAAAAAGGCATATGCTTAATTAACTAAACTGATAATAAAAATCTCTGTTCGCGTTACGAATCATACAACAAGCACAACCGAAATAATCTCTCAATTAAAACGCTATCGAATCGAATCAAACCGCTAAACAAAAATAATAAACTTTACTTCAGAACAGAAACAAACCGAGACAACCGTCGCGTTTAATTCTTTTTCTCGAACTGAAGCTCTTGAATGTTTTCATTTTATTTTCTCACAATTTTGTTGACTTGAGAGCGCGCTCACGATTGTATGTTTAGTTTTGCTTTCGCTTATTTCAGTTGTTATTATATTTTTTTTCTTTCTTCCCCTCTCTAGTTAAAAGATGAGAAGAAAAAATTACGACGCTGTTATAAGACGAAACTAAAGGAACAACATAAAACTTAATACATTCAAGAATGCAGGGCTGCGAATGAGAGTTCAAGTTGAACTTCTTTCCTTTATGACAATTATTTCATTTTTTCGTTGCCTCTTTCTAAACTTTTACGAAGGCGTCATAAAAGACGAGTGATTTCAATCGCCCTACTGAAAGTATCCAAGTCAATTTAATTTAATGAAACTGCTTGCTTTAATATGCGGAAAATATCTCACCAAGCAGAAAGTATAAGAAATTTAGGAGAGACTTTGCAGCAGTGTATGTTGATGTTGATGTTTAACATAAATATGGATGTATGTGATATCATAAAGATAAAAGATTTGTTGTTTATGCTTTTTATGTTGACTTGTGTCCTAAGCAGTACTTGCTCTCTGCAATCGATAGTGTTGTTAAATAATCAGAAATTTTCCCCACAATAACATGACTCGTCCTGTTTCATTTGTTATTCTAAAGTCATTTGTTTGATATCTTTGAGGTTTGTCTTTGTTTTCTTTTATTTTTTGCTTCGTGCGGCTAGCTTGAGTTATTTATGTTTTTTATGCTTATTCTGACATTAGTTTTTCATACAACAATTCCAAGGGATTCCCTTTCAAATGGAATAAAAGTTTTCTTGTTGGGGGGAACAAGCGGAGTCATCAGAAATAGGCTCAAGAACCTAATTAATTAAATTGGGGAAGGAAAAAAAGGGAAAATCATGACTTTTATTTTTATTTTCGCTCTTGTGATTTTCAGCATAAAAGGGGTGAGTAAAATAAAGTTTCATAATCCATCATGCATCCGCAAAGTCTTTTCTTCCTTTTTCTTTTGGATCTTTTGTTTGTCGACGAAGGAAAAGCGTCTGTCTGGGCCGTGATAAATTTTCCACAACAGCTTTTAATAAGCGAGGGAAGGAAAGTTAAAACTACGAGCAATTCCTTTGTAGCTTTCTCACTGAATATTCTGATACATTACAAAATCTACAACTGTGCTCTTTAAAAGTAAAGAAGATAAAAAGGAGAAGCAAAAAATATTCAATAAATTCATTTCAGGTGTTGAGCGTTTAAGTTTCATATCAAAATTTCGCAATCAAAGTTTGTCTCAGTTTAAATTCGAGAATAAAGTGAAGAAAAATATTATTCGTGATCTTCAAACTGCTTTGAGATTCAACATCTTTTCAAGTCTGAATGGTTCTTTATGAATATTTTTTCGCCTTCTCATTCGGTTGCTTGAATCTTACGAGCATTTATTCTTTTTTTTATAAATACGAACCTCTAAATGAATGTTTTTTATCTCTTATTTTTGGGTGTTTTGTCGCTGCCTTCTTCAGGTTCTTTCAAATCATTGACGCTTCTCCCAAGTTTCACGTTTTTATTCAAACAGTTAATTTAAAATGAAGAATGACGAATTTTAAAGTTATTGAGTGATAATTGGAGTTGGGCATGAAGTTGTAGTTTGCTTTAATTATTAGTTATGACATTAAATCTCAAGACAAAAAAAAATATTATTCAAGTTTTTTGTTCATTAAGGAAATTATGGAAGTTTTGTTTGAGAAATATTTCCAAATTATAATAGAAGGAGACGGCTTAACGATTCACGAATTGATCTCAAGCACTTAGGTCAAGGTTGTGAGAATGTTTGTAATAAAACCAGAAAAGCAAACTTTTAAAGAAGCACTTCAAGTTTTAAGTATTTGTGTATGTAGATTTCTTCCTCAATGTTTAAAGAAATTAATATTCCCTTCTGAACGTTATGATCTCTTATTAATTATGTAATCTATCATCATCAAAACTTCAAAAAGCCGTACGATCATGAAACGGAAGAATGCTATTAAGACTCATCATTAATAAAAATATTCTTCATATCATCATTCAATGTTTTATCTTGAAAAGTTAAAAGAAGATTTGAGAAGAAACTGGAAGATTAATCGTCGTTTTCTTATGAATGACCAATTTATTAGACCGATCATTGATTTGACGAGATGAGCTGGCTTTGTTGCAAATCATTTGCTTTTATGATAAAAGATTGTCTTCAATCATTTATTTGACGAATGAAAAGCAATCACTTGTGAAGAAATTGAATATTGAAATTGCATTTGATAAGTTTTTACTTTTTTTTCTCTTGACGTCAAGCAACTTAAAAAGCAGAACGAAAAAAAAATGATTGAAAGAAACGTTCGCTAGTGCATTAAAAATAGTTATTTTGCAATTATAAATCCACTTTACTGCCTATTAGAGTGGAATTTCTTTTACACTGATGAATGCTTTTTTCTCAGAATTTATGACCTGCAGACTGCATATTGAAGTTGCGATCGAAAAGTGCCAAGTTTAAGTGTTTACAGTTCTTAATTCTATTTCTAAGCATGGCGATATCGTCAAAAATATACAAAACAGAACATTGTTATCCCAATTATTACATTAAGTATAATAATTGACTTCAATTGCCGGACTTTGTTTGTTTTCTCTTTAATGTCTTTATCCCTCAATTTATCTCATGATTCATACATTAATAATAATGCTGGAAAGAAGGAAAGACTGAAATAAGATGAAATAAATAGAAGCACTTGAAGATGAAGAAAATATTAAGTGGAAATATGATTAAAACGTTCCAATGCGGTTCGACAAGAAACGAGTATGACATTGAACTTGTGCGAGTTGCTTGAATTAAAAAGTTTCTATTTCTTTTCTTCATACTTATCCATAAACTTGATCAGACTTATAAGTGTTATAAATCTACAGATAAGTTTGTTAAATTAAAGAAAATATGTCAGATGAAAGAAATTAATTTGTCGCCATTTAAAAATCTTTTAAATTGAATTTAAAGAATTTTATTTGCAGTTATTTTTCACATTTTTTTTTCGAATCAACCATAAACACACACAACACCGGTTGAAGGTAACAGCGTGTGGCAACATTAACTGAAGTAAATCTCCTCTTCATCTTCTTCATGTTGTGATAGCGCATGAAAGAAGTTGAAGTTGAAATATGACTGCCAAGGCACGATTGTGCAATACATTTTTTGTTAAGGCGAACGCAGTTTGGGGCCATAAAAGGCATCGCTTTTGATTAAGACCAAGATCTTAATGCACTTTTTATTTTTATTTACATTTCTCGCGAATTTCTTTGGTTTGGGAAAGTTAAGTTTTAATATGCAGCTGCATAACTGGCAGCTGATAAATTGCGTTTTAATCAAACACACAAGCCACGAAATTTCCATCAATTTGCTTCCTTCTTTCATTCTTTCTTTCCTTCTTAACGAGAAATATTTTGCATTGTTTCCTCATGTTCGATTGCCTTTTATGAAAATGTTACAATAATAACGGAGGAGTTTCTTCTCGCAGCAAATTTACGAGGTTTTTCAAAAAAAAATAAAATAAAAGAAACAAGACCGGAATGTGTTGGATTGTGTTTTGGAATATTTCTCATAGCATTTGAGAAGTGAGTGAAACAAGTGAACAAAAAAGTGCTTAGAGCTTAGGTAGTTGCGATAAAAGCGTAAGAAAAAAAAGCGTGTGGGTAGCGATAAAAGAATTAACAAACAATTGAACATTACGCAAGCTCTAATTTCTCTTCCACTGATGTCATCACTTTTAGAAGATAACTTAAGGCAATCTGCATTTCTTAATTGTTCAATTAAACTCTTAGTTTAACTCCACTTAAGATTCATTTCAGTCTGCCTTTGAATAAACTTTGTTGTAGCTTGAACACAATAACATCAGATGTATCTGATAAGAAAATTGAATAGCAACAAGCAAAATCAATGACCTTGATCGATTATTCATTTACGGCTGGTCAAGTGTTGTGTTTCTTTAAATTATGATCGAACACAAGTTAAGGCGAATGAAGTCATAAATCATTTTTGTTTAATCGCTTGATTAGTTCCTTGGTTGAAGCCGTCGTTGACGATTCGAAAGGACAAATCCGATTAAAAGTCAAATTTACAATGCTCGCAAATGTATGTAAGTTATTTTTATTGTTTTTCGTTGTTTTTTTCTTTTGCAAATCTGTTCATATTTTTTGTATTTTATTATTCACAAGGTCTTGGCACAGCGTCGGGACTATGACGAACGCATTGTGGTGACCAATTGGCAGCATCTTCACATCTTTGGAGGTTGGTGTAGAAGAATGTCATGCATTGACATGGCCTTTCAACTGCCATCCAAACATCACCTCGGGGAACGCATTGGAAGAAAGCACTTGGATTGTTGTGTGGAAACAGCAAATTACGATTAGCCACGACATTACAATCAGGTGGAGCGCACTGAATTTGCTGCGCCATTGCTGGTGCAAGGATCATTGCCACCAAAACAAAAGACAAAATCACGAAAATTTTCATCTTAAACTTTCCTTTTTTAATGTATCAAAAATATTTTTTGAACTGACTTGAAATTGAATAAATTTCTGCTCTTATAAGATTTTGTTATCAGTGTCGCTTGTTGTTTATAAAAAGCAGCTTCCGATAACGTTTTATCTAAAGTCTAATGGGATTTTGATAAATTGATTTATTTATGGTCAAACGACTTGAGCTCTGTTTTGAAAGAGATTACAAAGATTTAACTGTGAATGTTATCAAAAATATCTTTCGATGACTGCATTAGCTTTAAATAGTTTCCATGATACGCCTTCTTCCTTGGAGATATTCTCGTTACACGTCAAACTTTATCATCATAGCCAGGAAGTATTTTAATCTAATCTGTCACAAAATTAATCTAAAATTTTCTTTTCTTTTTAACTACACAATTTTTTTTATTCATTTTGTATTTTATGGTCTTGGATCGCATGGCGTTGGTATTGAACCAGGATCATGTCCAATGCATTGCGGTGTCCAATCTTCAGGAAAGTCGCATCTTTGACGAGCTGTATAGAATAAAGTCAAGCACTGACACCTCAATTCAAAAGGAATCCAAGTTCCCATAGGCCCTGGAGCACATTGATAGAACAAATTTGGATCGTTATGTGGGAATAAAAGAGCTCGATTAACGAAGTCACAGTTGGGCGGTGCACATTGTATTTGTCCACTAACGGGATCAAAGATAATTGCAACAACGAGCAGACTTAAAATCAAAACACTTTTCATTGGTTTTGTTATTAATCAGTCGACTGTCTCAATGAAACTGAAAATTTATACTAAAAGCTTTCATAAGTACTAAAATTTATCAGTGGAATTAATTGGGGCAGGATCTTTCGATAACATTTATCAAAGGTAATCTAGAAAATTGATATCAATTTGTATTTCCGGACGTAGGTGTTGGTAACACTTTATAAGCTTTTAAGGTCTTATTTTAATTGAAGTGAAAGCTAAACAAACTAACCGATAGCATTTAAAATTTAAACACTTAAACTTGAAACACTATTAAGAATTTTATTGCAGTTCTTCTTAGTTCCGTGCAACATTTCTTACACATAAAATACTGACGTCCATTAAGTAGGTGGTGGACATGACGTTCACTGGGATTATTTTCAATGCATTGCGATGTCCAATCTGCAGGAAAACGAAACTGGGCCAATCTTGAACTAAAAGCTTTGATCAAGTTCTAAAGCTTATCAGTGCAGTGGTCGAATCGATTATGAAAGAAACTTTCGATAACGTTTGAAAGAAAAAACTTTACTTGCAAAAAAGATAACGACTTGGATTTCTTGATGTGGGTGTTATCAACATTAATTGAGTTTTAAAATGTATCACTGTACGTGAAATGTAAATTAAATAAAATCCGAATAAACTTCAATCACTTTTAATAATTTTATTGAAGTTCTTCATGTAAACATATAAAAATTAATGTTCATTATCAGGTGGAGGTGGACATGGTCTTGGCACTGCGTTGGGATCAGTTCCAATGCATTGTCGAGTCCAATTAAAAGGAAATTCACATCTCTGAAGGTTTGTGTAAAAGAAAGTTAAACACTGACACGGTCTTTCAACAGGAATCCAGCCTTGAACACCCGGAGAGCATTGCCAGAAAAGTGTTGGATCATCATGTGGAAATAACAAAGCACGATTAGCGGCAATTGCACAGTTTGGTGGAGCACATTGAATTTGAGCACTCGCTGGTGCTAACACGATCGATACGATAATACACAAAATAAGAAAACCTTTCATTATCAAAGTTAGAATGTCACTCGTTGATGGAAACTGAAATAAATGTGCAAATTTTTTTGCAATTTATATAAAAAGTTGAAAGCTTTAACTAGACGAAAATCAACTTCGTTATCATTCGGAACGTCAAAACTTCTTGAAAGCTAATGGCTGATAAACGTTATCGATTTAATTAGTACTTAAACTTTTCTTGGAAAAAATTAACTTTCAAGATTATTTAATATTTCAAATGAAAAGCCTAAGATTTTTTCATAATCTTCAGTACAATCACTTTCGGGTATTTTTAGCAAATTTCCTGATTAGATAATTGCAAATTTTAAATGTTTGTAGCTGAACATGGTGACAGAACATGACGAAGAATAAATAATGAAGATTTCTTGAACCGAAATTAAATATATAAAACTAATTAGTTTAATTATCAAGTCAACATTATTTCCATAATTCAAGATATTCATCAACAACATGGAGAGAAAAAAATTAGTTCTCTTGCAAGTAATTCTTTTTTCTCATTTAAATTATGTTTTCAAAGATTTTAATCTTTCGAAATCTTTACAAATCAAATGCGAATTCATCTGTGCTTCCTTTTCTTAAAGCATATAACCGAAAAAACTGTTAATGTTTTGTTTCCAGACTATTTTAAAAGTTCACATGATATTCTTGTTTCATAAAACAACAACTTGATTAATGAGCTCAGTTTTAATTACTCAACCAGCATAAATGCGTTCATGTACTGTAAGTAAGTATTTATATACATCTTTGTACTCTTTTCTTCACTCTTTAGATTCTTTTTTCTTTCTCCTTCCGAGTCGTTCATCATTTGTTTGGAAGTAAAACATTAACAAATATGAACCTCATTATGATCTTTAGAAAGCATCATCAATTTTTCTATTTTAATTAGATATTTAGAAATATATAATTTTTTTCTTTTTGCTTTAAGAAATGAATGATAAATGGCAAAAGAAATATTTATTTATGAAGATATCGTTAGTCTGCATTAGAAAGCAAATGATAACAATTTCAGTTGAACAATTTCGCACATTTTTTGTGTTGTTTTAAATCAAACAAATGTCAAAACTTGTATTCAATAATTATTAAGTTTCTTTTACGCAAACTTGAACTTCAGCTGCGTAAATAAACATAACAAGACATTAAAAATTTTGTTTTTGCAAAATTTATGTCGATACAGACGGAATTCGATTTAAATATCTTCAACTTCTCGATGATTAATGTCTCGAGAAATTTCTTCTATCTTTCACTTCATCGTTGACGTTCATCGTTGACGTTCATCGTCGTTGTCTTACTATTTTGGCGCAAATGACCTCCTTTTACATCTCCATTCACTCTTGATAATAATAATAATAATAATGTGAAAGAAGAAAAAAAATTAATCAAAATTGAAACTGAATGCGAGAGCACGTTTAAAAGAAAAACAATGCGCCAATGCCCATAAATTGCCATATTGAAGCATGCTATGTGGAAGCGATTAGATGACATAGAAATTTATCTCATCATTAATGTCAAGTGTTGAAGTGCTTTAAAAAAAAAAGTCTTAGAAAAGTCGAGAAATTATAGAATAATTAAATATTTACGTGTCGTATTGCAGCAGTGTCTGCAACAATTCTAGCGCTTCAAATAGTTAAATCTAAGAATCATTCCATCCTCTAATGGACTTTTCTACTCGTCATTCCATTTATAGTGCGATCTTCTCGAACGTTCATGCAATCATTTTGCACATACACAAACTGCATATAAGTTTGCTCTCTTAAAAAGAATTGCTGATTCACTAAACATAGAAATTGAAACTGTATGGAATATAAAATTTCACTTCAACCAGCATCGACTATCGATTCAACTTTTAAAAGAAGAAAATAAGGAAAATCGTGTCAAAGGTTTTACGATTGAACGCAAATAAAACTTTCATGGGAACGAATCAAATAAAGATTTGACCAATTTGTGGTAATTTCATCATTTCGTTCTAGAAATCTTAATTCAAGTCTTCATGAGATGTTAGAAAACTTCAAACGACGAGTAGATAAAGTAAGTCGTCGTCGTTGTCACATTGAACACTCACTGAATTTTAATGACACTGCGTAAGGTTTGGGAAGAAAAGTAACATTGAGAAAGGAAATCAGACAACGTGGATATCATAAAACGAAACTAATTCCACAAACTAATAAATAATTTATCAAACGAGTCTCAAAGAAGCCGAGCTAAAGGGGTTTGCTTCAGGTCAGCTGTCAAATCATCGGACTTATAATTCCTTCTTGATTACCGTTCCCACCCATTCATGACATTCATGAAATTTAGTGAAAGCCACCAAATCGTCAAAACAAACGACATTTGACATATTGCAATGCCAATCATCGTTGTTCACTCGTCATTCATCATTTTTTTTGCATATGAAGCGAAAGTTAAAGCTCAATTACACGAGTTTTTGCTTAAACAAGAAGAAGTCCCTTTAATAATCATTGGCAGCACATAAATTAGTCGACAATACAATTTCAAGCGTTACAAATTATTTATCTAGTCAATTGGAAAGAAATTTGACAGATGAAATTGATCCGATACTTAACAAAGCAAGAAGAAGAAATAATTTTTGTTGTCGCCGAATTTCGTAAACTTACTCGACAACAGATTAGCGACACCTTGTCGTCATTGAAGACGAAAATGTAGAAATTTTGTTGAAGGAAGTTGCAAAAAAACATGACGAAGAAAGAAAGACAAAAGTTTCATAACAAGCCAAGCCCGTTGGTTATTAATTAATCTCTAAATCCCCAAACATGCGAAAAACAAATATTTTCACTTACGTTAGTTGACAGTTGACTTGAGAGACTCATCACTTGTTCGCGAGCGTCATGCAGCTCACGTTTAAGTCTTCGTACTTCATTCACTTGTCTCTGTTCTTCTGTAGTCGAACCATACATGGAGGAACCACCTGACATGAGCGATATTTGACTTCCATGAACTAAACAGCAAAGACGAGACAAAGAATTATTTGAGTGAAGGAAAGAACAGCGCAGTAATGCTTGATAACGAAACAAATAATTACCTTCGTCATTCTTCTTCGGATATGTAAGACGATGACTTGAGTTGTGCGTTGGAGAAAGTAAACCAGTGAAACCACGTGATGGTGGAGTTGGACTTGTCGGTTGACTCCATGTGACAGCACCTTGTGTACTTACAGGCAGACAATAGTACGGTTCCGTTTCTATGTCGGGACCACGACTTAGCATTGATGGGTACATCTTCTCTGACTTTGTCGACCTTAAAGAGAATTTTGTGAAGAGTTGATGAGTTTGATGTTTAGAAGGTGAAACTTTCTACTAATATAAATTCTAACTACGCACAAACTTCAACAACTAATTAATCAATTCGTTGAACTTTTTCTAATCAATCAAGCATTAAGTTATGAAAGAAACCTAAAGTTTCTTTTCTACTGAAACTTTATGAACTAAAAATGCAACGAATCATGATGAAAATTATAAATTTTGATGCCTATCATTGACATTTATCATTCGCGCGTGCTATGTCTGCGACAACTTTTTATGATCACATTAAGCAGAAGCCGAAAAGGTCAGTGAAAAATAACCATTTAAGCAGAACATAAAGGCAAGAATGGCGTGAAATCTTTGCAAGAAGCGTAACAATGAATTACATTGGATACAGCACAAGACACATAAAAGCTTCTCTCAAGTCCTAATCGTAAAATTTATGTACCTTGGATAAGTCCGATCTTGCAGCTGATAGCTGGAGTGTTTGTCATTTTCATTTATTACGATCCAAAAAAAAGTATTCAAACAAAGTCACAAAAAAGTTAATTTAAGAATTTTCAAAGAAACACAAAGATGGAAAAAAATGAAAGAAAAAGTCGCAAGTTTTTTATGATAAAGTTTGAATTAAAAGAAATTTAAATAACGACACTAACTTGGACGAATAAAAAAAAGATTTAAAATCTAAAATTTGCATTCAAAAGAGAGAAAAAAGAGATTATGAATGACATTAAATGTACCTGATGCTGTTACTTCTGTTCAATCGAGAGTTTTGGCCTTGCTGTTGTTGCTGCTGTTGCTGTTGTGATGAAGGCACAGAATCTCTCGAATGAATAAGTTTTGAGTTTCTTGACATCGCTGATGTTGAAACAATTGAAACACTTTCCAATGAATCGCCTTCTGATAATCGATTTGCTGGAGATCCAGTTTGTTTCAACCACATTGTGTATGTGTTAAATTCAGGTTTAACATCTGAATAAGATTGCGTGTCTGAGAGACTTCCATCGTTCATTTTACCAGAATTTCGATTTGCCATGCTGAAAATTTTATTAGAATTTTAAATCACGAAAAAGAAACAAAATTAAAGAAACACAAACCGTTGTTGAAAAGAATGCATGTCGATAGCACCTTTTGGTAGACTATGAGTACCCGAACCGAAACGTTCTTTAACTGACTGACTCAACTGTGCAGCCCCCGGACCCGTCAATGAAAAACTCCGATATTGCGCATTTTGTTGAATTTCTAAAACACAAAATTTCATCATCAATCATGATTATCTTCTGTTATTTATGACAAATTGATTCTAATTTACTCTGTTGGAAGTCAGCGGTGGTTGTTTGCGTTCCACCAGACACTTTAAGTTTATTAGATCGCGGTACTGCTGAGACATGTGCCGTCCGACCTCCCGCAAGCATTGCATTTGTCTGCATTTCTGTCGCTGTTGAGCTTCCATTAGTTCGCTTAATGTAGCCAAAGTTTTGAGGAACTCCTTTTGTTCGACTTGAAGACGATTTTGCAGACGGCGTGCTTCGTCTCGAGTGATTTGGAGAAGACGTCTTATCCTTACGACTTGATGTGGGACTTGGTGCCTGAAACAAAACATTTTCCAGTTCAATATACTTTCAATTTCATTAAAATATTGTTCTAATCACCTGTTGACTTCCCCAATAGTCACGACTATGAGAATTCTTGCTGCTATTTGATTCCATATCTGCACTATCTAAATTTCCCTCGCGACTACTTTGACATCTGCGAGATGAAATAAGAGAAAAAAAAATAAATTAACATTTCATTTTTATCAAGAAAAATACTTTTAATTAAAATTAAAAATTTTCTGTCTAACTTCGTTTCAACTTCAACTTTGAATTTTGGAGAAAAACAAATTTGAAAAAAGCTTCGAAAGCTTCCATGCTTGACTTCAATAGCTTCTCTGAAGGATCAAACGTGACATTTATTACGAAAGTGTCTGCTCAACATGAAAGCTCACTTAACCCGCTTAGATACTTGTGTCTCATTTTTTTTTTGCTTTTTGCTTTCCTTACTTGATATGATAATTCAACGACCTTATACCCTGTCAAATAAACTACCATAAAGCACGATGACGTGACCCATTTACATTCCATGACTGACATCCACCAAGGAGTTGGAGACAAAGTTGATCTATTTTACTCCATGAATTTTTATTTAATATTTATACCTAACTAACAGCAGTTGAACACGAAATAAAAGGGAAAAGAACTTTCATTTTGCTGTCAAAGAACTGTTGAAGCATTCCCTTCCATTATGTAGGAAATAAAATATTGAAAAGCATGAAATTGGGACAACTTTGAAAGATTTTAGTTCATAATGTTTCAATATTTTTGTGGTTGATATAAAATTTCAAAATGTCAGATTTCCTGAAAATATTTTTCTAGACTAAACACAAAAGAATTTTTATTACCGTCTGACAATGCGCTGAAGTTATTCATGAAGAAGAAATGTTATCATAACAAAATTCTGCAGTTGTGAACTGAGAAGCATTTAAAGTTCTGTTTTCATATCAGTAAGTGCAGGAATTTGTAACTGGGTGGAAAATTCGATTAGATAGTGCCATGATGGGAAAACTTCAATTTCAAATTTCTTTTCTTATTGCATTTCTACTACAAATCATTCAGTTTGATTCATGAACGATGAGAAAGCTTGATAAAAAATATTTTTATCGATTCTTTTCGTTATCAGAAGAATTTCAGGTCGCACATGACTGACATACCAATTACGACTAACGTCAAAAGCTTAATTTATGGAAAACCAGAAATCAATATCGAATGCAATTTCATTTCATCATTTCATTAAATTTGAAAGTCTAACATTGATTGGAGGTTTTTTATGAGAGCATCTGCTTTTGCTGGTTTCCGTAAGCTATTAAAAATTGAAACTACCAGTTGAATGTTTCAAATAGAAAAACAAATTGAGGGTAACTTTATGCACATGAAGGTTTTTCTTTTTATTTTTTATGAAATAGATAAATTGGGGTGAACGAAAGTTCAAACATCAACGAGAAAGAATTTCCATTGCATTTAGCTTCAACTTTAACGTCATTATGGGTGAAATAAAGCAATTAGAAGAAAAGAGTTTGAAGTAGACAAGCGGAAGATGAGAATGACATTAGGCGGAATGAGGAAACTTGATATGATTCAATTATTAAACTAATTAAGGAAGAGCTAGATTCAGAACTGCTTTATTGTTCAATTCTTATTTGTTAGCAAGATTCTCTTTACAAAGTTAGAAAAAGATTTTTCCGCATATTGTCGCATGATTGAAACTAAACGGAAAGTATCGATGATTGGCATTATAGGATATTGGAAAGTTTTATCACTTTTTCAGCCTTGGGGTAGTGCCAAAGATAATAATTGTCAGAGATAAACTCTGATCCTAATTCTAAAGGAAAGGATCTAAAACGATTCCGGAAACATTCGATAAATGACACAAGAAGTGAATTTTCTCTTCTTTTTTAATCTTTCTTTTTGCGGGATAGAAAAAAGGGAAGTAATTTGTTATAATGGAAAATTCTTATACTTAATCGGCTTTCATATGAAGCTCTTTTCTAAATATAAACTTTTCCTAAAAGTAGAAATTTTAAATCTTAAGGGATTGGAAGGAAAAGAAATATGAGAAATTTATGCTTCACTTGAGAATTTTGATCTTAATCAGTGAAAAATAACTCAATTATTATTTTATATAACGAAGATTCTGTTATGCTTTGAACATCTTTAGCAGTTTCTTAAGCTCTCAGGCCTGTCATTAATTACGGCGTTAACGATGCCAAAAGCAAATCTTTATTAAGCTTCTTTGACATATTATTATGTGTTATGTTCATTCCCGACAGATTCAAGTTGATGAAAGCTTTTCAAGCTAATTCAAAGCTTTTTAAGAGACTTATCTCGACATAAATTTTCCAAGCTATTAGAAGAATCATTGAGCAAAGAACAAAAGTTCTGTTATTGGAATTAAATTCTTTTATTCTTATTATAAATATTGATTTCAATACTGTTAAAGTTCAACTCCTTATGATGCTTCACGTCTTTCATGTTCAACATTGGAAATTCCATTTAAATTGCTTCTATTTGTTTTCAAAGCCAAATTTCATATTTTATGATTTTATGCAGCATAAGTAAAAATGGAAAATAGCTTTTGGACAATTTTAGTATAAAATTTTCATACTATTTGAAGTAAAAAGCTTAAATCAGTCGGTTTATGAATATCCCTTGGTTGAATGAAATTGCATTTGACATCTCATGAATATTGTCTGCAACATAAATTTATGCAACCTTTCTAAGACAGTTTAACTTATTTGTCTACAAATTTCAAAAGCTTTATCAAAAAAAAATTTAGATAAGAATTCATCAAAGTTCAATGGCTGTGAAGGGTCAACAACTTGCAACAAATAAATTGATTTCAATGTCAATTTATATCACAGACTCAAACGACAATGTTAACGTGACAGTGCAAACATAAATCTATTGGAAAACAGTTCAACAAAGTTAGAATTGAAGATATATTGAAGAGAATTGTTTTGCAACTTTAAGAACATAAATTTGGTTGTATGTAATCATTCATTTTACAAGTCAAAGCAATTTTCGTAAATTCAAAACGTTTTTCTAATATCAGAAGAAAAAAATCGAATGAAAGAAAATTTCAATCATCAACTTTAAGTTTATTTATTAATAGAAAAGCTGAAAATAAATTTGATGTAATTTCTTTCTCGATTGCTTAATTTTTTCGTCTGAAGAATTCAATAATGAGAAAAAAGTAAGAAAATGGAATGAACAGAAATTTCTCCGAAAGACAAAGTTGAAGGAATTCTTGTCCTTGAATTGATTGTTCATCTTCTTAAATAGAAGCACAAACCACCGCACGGAATGGGAAATGTCGAAGAAATAAATTTTCATTTGATATCTTTGTGCTGGTGTAGAATTTCTTGCAATTGTTTTCCTATTTTTCTTTTTCACTTTTCATCAGACAACCGCGAAGGGGTGCATTGTGGCTTTTCTTTTGTCGTTGGTAAATTGTGTGCAAAACGAGGAAAAAAAGTAAAATAACGCTTCTTGTTAGCATACTTTAATATATTTAAATAAATTCTGCTACATATCAAGATAACTGAGACTCTGAATGTTTCCCTCGAGCTTTAAAAACGATCGATATTCAAATAAATATACTGATAGGGCTTCAGTGTCATAAACACATAATGACTTCGCAGCAGGGAAACTAAGTTTATAAGTTAAAGCTTTTAATACTTCTTTACTTAAAGAAAAATTTACAACAAAGAAAACTTACTCACTTGTAACAAATTGTGTTCGATTTTGACTTGAAGAGTAATTAAAAACTCATTAATATTCCAAATATGTATTAAAACCCGTAAATTTACGTCATGGTGACCGATGTTCTTATTAAAAGACACAAATTATTCGCAGACTTCAGCTGTCGACAAATATTTCAGCGCACATAAAGTGCTTGTTGCTTTAATAACAGCAATTTATTTATTTATTGTCCAAATCACAAACACTTAATACACTAGAATTATGGTTACGTAAACGAAGAGGCAGCTAGTAAAAGCTTGTAAGCTTACATTGTGTTATGACAAGACTAACATTGATTCCTTTCCCCACAATTATTTTAATGCACCAAAAACCATACTAGCGGTTTTACACATAATTTAAAGCCATATTTTTTTGCGGTAAGCACATTAATTAAACACAATTTTGGTGTTATATTTCAACAATGTACCTTTCAACATTCACCCTAGAGGCAAGCATTTATTAAATATTAAGGGGTTCAACATTTCATGGAATTTAAGAAAATTAACTCATTTTACAGCGTGAATCACTAATGAAAATTTATGCACGCAATGAAGTCTTGTTGTATTTATTTTCAAACTTTCACTCAATGACGAGAAGTTCATAGGCATAAGTTAGACGAAATTCGATAATATTTAACAACAAAGACAACAACAAATATCCACAATCTTCCCCAATTACTTCTTTAATCTTATAATACGAGGGGGAAAATTTATCGTTTTGGTTCTTTAATTCGACGTAAGTATACATAGATGTATAAAAATATTTTCTGTTTTTGATTCTTCCCGTTCTTTTCACTGTATTGTCTCACTCGATTTTTCACGTTAATCAACACGTCTGACACTAATAACTACGTCACACATAATAAATGAACATTGCTTGGTCCCATAAAGGGACTAAATGAAGTTTTAAAAGTGACAAAAGTCACTTAAATTAATATTTTATAGAAGAGCAAGCGAACGACGAACCTTCCATGTTATCGGTGCGAAAAAATGAAGGAAAAAGCCAACCCCAATTTTTCCGATGTTGAATGTGAAACGACTTTCCCGTCTGCTCTTCCACGAATGAATCATTTCCTTAAAGTGCATCAGCCATGAAACGATCATGAAAGTGAAGTTAGAAGTTTGGAAAAATCATCTGTTCATATGGAACTTATGGAAGTGTGGTGAACATAAATAAGAAAGAGAAACTTTGAGAGTGTGAGAAGTAAAATATGAGAGCGAGTTGAAAAGTTTTGTGAGTGGTGAAATGGAAATTCACCACAAAACATGTTCAGAAGCTTTTTAGCGATTTCATAAAACAAAAATGTCACAAAGTGTCTCACGTACTTTCGCGATGTTCTTTAAAAAACATTTCGCATCTCATTCCATCATTTTATCACCTTTTAAATTTATTATAAAATTTATTTGATTTTTATGCGTTTTTTCATGTGTTTTTCTCAGCACTTGTGCTGTCGTCACTGTGATTTGAGTGGTTTTTATTCTTTTCCTTGCACTATAAATGTACAAGCAGAACGAGCATGTTTAAGAGTTGACGAAAATTTAAATGAAAGTAATAACATTTTCCACTCTCGATAGTGTTACAAAGAAATACGTTTCTTAATCATGCTTCATTGTCATCTCACATTTTACTTTATGTGTTTAAATTAAATTTAATGTTTGTCATAAAGCATAAATTTCACATCCTTCCTGGATATAAATGTAGTAAATCTTTCATCAAAATCCTTTTTTATGTAAAACAAGTAAAGGAAACAGAGAAGAGTTAAGGTTGATGATCCATGGCACCCACCACACAAAGAGATTTGTACAAATTAATTTAATTTTTGGTTAAACGCTTTTATCGAGAGATTTGGTTTAACCCCATTTCACAATGCGTCCCAATTTGTGATCTAATAAGGTTTCCTCTTAATTCCACATTTTCCTAGGGGGCTGAAAGTTTGACTTTCACGATTGTTTGAAGACATCAGTTTCTGTTTCTGTTTCTACCCTCGATTCTTTCGTAATTAAATCCCACGCAATAAAGTGTCGAGAGTAAAACTTTCTGATACAATGTAACGAATTAAAATTCTTGGTATTGTGCAGCTCAATCTCTTTCCCTGAAGCTATGGATGATGATAAGGAGGGTTAATACGGTATTGTGTTGTGTAAAACCACAATATTTACAAACACTCTCATTTCCCAAACATCTAACTCAGCTTTCTCCACTTACAAATGCCATCATAAAAGCAGCTACAAAATTTAAATATTTATGAGGTTTTCTAGTGCGCATTCTTCTCATGAATTGAGACACGAGATAAATTTTCCACTTCAAAATGATCCCCTGGATTGTAGATGATTTCGAAAATATGCCTATCATGTCACAACCCTAAACTGCACTTGATGTTACCAAATCCATTCCGATAAAAAGCTGTTTAAACTTTTACTTCTAAATTTAATTTATGTTGATACATTTTTTGTGTGTTTTGTTTTGTTACTTATTTCGAAACGATGAGAAAGGGTAAGAAATGAAATTTTTTTGTTGCATCAGATGCCCTGAAGGCTTTAATTCCACTCTTGCCTCCCCTCATTCAATTCGATGATGTTTTTCTGTTCGCTTTTACTCCAACAGGCACAAACAAAAAAGTAAACACTTTATTACATTTCTGCGTAGTTGTTTATGTATTGTTTGTTGTTATATGTTTTATCGCAAGCAAGGCAAAGAAGTTTTTTAACATTTCTTTTCGTTGAAAACAGAGGAGCAAGGAAAGAAGCTGATTCTGTGTTTTTAATCTTACCCTTTTTTCGGAAATTTCTCTTCTTTTTCTGTACACAAAACGAGAATTGAGGTAGAACATTTGTCGAGTTTTCATTTTTTTTTCGCAGCTTTTTATGACGTTGAAGAATGGATCAAAAATGTAACAATGAGCGTGAAGGGTGAGTTTATTTGTCTGTCAAGTAAAATGAGCTTAAATGCTGTTGTTGAGAGGCTTAAGCTTCTTCTTCTTATTAAGCTTGAGCTATAAATTGTTTGGTAAAATTTTAAATCAATGACAAAGGAAGGAAACCTGCTTGCCTGCCTTTCAACCCTTTCTTTCATAAGCTTCATCGTTAGAAGCTTTCAAACAGGAAAAAAAATTCTTTCTCGACTACGACAGTCGTTAGAAGCATTTAAATCGTTTACTGAGAGAAATCATTTGAACCCTTGTGCTCTTAATCTTTCACAATGGTCTGTTTTAAAAGGATCTTAGAGCTTATGTTTCTCGTGTAACATAAAAAAACGAAAAAGAAAGAAAAACGAGTGAAAATGAGATTTAAGTCGCTTTCTACTTCATCCTCGTTGTTCGAAAGAAAGGAAAATCGCTCAGGTAGCACACGTATCCTTGTGATTATTTCACTCTCGTATCGTATTCCTTAATAGAATTCTAACAGATTCAGTCGATTTACATTACACTTAGGGTGACTACAAACAAAGCAAAGCATTCCAGAAGCATCAGCGACCTGTTATCGCTGTCAAATTAAAAATGACTTTTTGTCTTCTACATTTCCTTCCACTTTGTCTCATCTTTCTTTCTTCCTTTTGAATAGCAAGCAACGCAAGTTCCTTTGAGCGAAGAAAAATTAAATTAAATGTTTAATGGCGTGTAACAAAAGTCAATATTTATCTGCATTTGTGACCCATTTTCCGACTTCCGGGAGGGTAAAAATAGAAAGCTTTTTGAGGAACCATCTTGATTAAAATCATCCTTCGTTTCATTCCAAACATCCATTAAATGACACGAAAAATTCTTCTTTCATTTTATGTCCAAGAAAATTCATTAATTTAAATTGTATTAAAAAAGGTATAACTCTTAGGGTGACGAGGCTGATACAATAATGAAATATCAGCGTTGGTTGGTAGTTTACGATTCTTCTCTAATGACAAAAGCATCCAGCTAGGAAAAAAAATATCAACGACAAAATAAATGTTTCCGGGGAAGTTAATGGCTCTAAAATGCTATCCAGAACTCATTTCTTACGTACGAGATGCTCCGACTGAACCTCATTACAAGCTTCTTTTGATCGGTGAAGTGAGAAATTACAGGAATCATGGGAGCTTGTAATTGTCATTATGAAATGTAGAATTCCTAGGTATTAATCATCAATGGAAATTCTTCCAGGCTGCTTGGAGATTTTAAATTTATTCAAGATTCAATTCCGCTATGACTTAAAATTTAGCTTCTCTTACAGTTTTGAATTTACAATTCTCTCGAGATTCGGAAGATATTTAATCACGAGGATAATAACAAAATTATGACGAAAATTTTAATTAATCAAAAATTCCATCATGATTTCGACATTCAGCATCTGGTTTAAAATTTATTTCAATTAATCGAAAATGTGAAAAATGATATCGCAGTTGGTGGCCGGAATTTTAGTTTAAAGGATACTGACGATGGTAGTGGCATTGAAAATGTTGAACGACGAAGGGAGGTTTTTGAAAGGAATTTTAGAAATTTGATAATTCATTTTTAATTTGAGAAACTTTCCTCAAAGTCATAAAAGTTTTTTTGTTCACCATCATGGCTCGTGAGTCGTAAAAGTATTTAGAGAAAATTAAATTGCGTTTTGGTTGAGTTTTACCAACTTTTAATTCCTTTGAGTGGATTTTTTTACATCTCATTCTTCTCTTGGACAAAACGGGAAGTTGGATCAAGGAAATTTGATTGTTGGAAAAGAAAAGTTTTCGAACTTTCCCCCAGGAATTAAAATTCTTAATCTTCTTCCTCAGATTCACGTGACTGCCCTTCTTTGAGATTCAATGTCTTCGTCATCCAACACATCATCGAATTAGCATAAATTTAATCTTCACTCCCCGTAAAAGTTTCCTAATTTGATTTTGTGAAGATGTTCAACATCTTCTCTCTAACTGACTACTTAACACCCTCGCTTATTACATACAACAACTAATCGAAAATAATTTTCATCGTCTGAGAGAAGTTTTCAATTTATGATTTATTCATCCATCGAGTCACAAACTATCACAAGCTTCTTCGTCTATTAGAAAATCATTAAAACCTCAAAACATAATCGAGTTTTCATAAACAAAAATAAAAGATGAAGAAAAAAGTTTTGAAGGATTTTCTTGTACTAAAATTTCGTTTCAGAAAATTCAATTTAAAAGTTGATCAAACATTATTAAAATTCATGGTGAAACTTTAGGATCAAACGATGTGATGTGCATGTGGGAAAGAGTGAGAACTTTGTTCCAATAAATATTTCATCTTTAGTCGAGGATAAAAGAAGATTTGATACCAAACTTCCTTCAGGTCTTTCAAAAAAGTTTCAGGAAATTTAATTTTCACAAAAAAAAAAAAAATTAAAAGTGAATAGAAATTTTCCTAAACTTTTACTTTGAATAAAATTTTCTGGTTGAATCTTTGTTCAAAATCCGGAAGGAAAAGAAAGAAGAAAACCAGTCAAAGTATTCAATGAAAATTCACCCTTCTATTCATCTAATAAAATTCCTTTTCATCTTATTCTAAACACTCAACATTATCAATTATGCATCATCATAAAGTGGAGAAGCGAGCATAAAGGGAGCACAATTTAACATTAAAATCACAGCTGACGCATTCATAATTCGCTTTACAATTCAAGTAAAGTATGTAAACAAAAAGCAGCGAATGAAGTAAAATGCTTTAATGGATCTCTTGTTTGTTTGTTCCCTTTTCAAATCCGCATAATCAGCACTTCGCTGATATTTTATGTGTTTTGCATGAGTCGAGTGTTTCACTTCCTTCTTGGGGAGAGGATTTTTAAGGGTTCTTATGATTGTATAGACATTTTAAAGACTTCTTGTAATGGAATTTCGCATTAAATGCATTTACGGGCATTCATAAGAAAAAAATAAATAAATAAGTTCTGAATAAAGAAAAATCTTCACAAAGCTGTTAAAGAGCTTTTGGTGATGTCAAGTGCTTTCCATCTTTCATTCAAATCGATTTTGTTCTCTGACTTCTGAAGAGTCTCTCGAAACTAGGCTATGACTTTTATGCATGTGTTGTGTTAACAATTCAGTTTAATCGAGAATAATCTTTCAGTTATGCATAAATAAAGCAGAGAGGGTGGAAAAACCATAAATAACATTTCGATTTGAATTGAGAAAATATTTAAACTTTTAAGCATTATTTTGCGAATAAAGAAGAGAATATCTACTTTGAAGTATGATTTCGGACTTGAAGGGGAATCGAAGCGCATATTTATGGATATTATTGCCGACATTATGAACGATATCGAATATTTCATCGGTAAACATATAAATTTTGTCATTCAATTTTGTATTCTGCATCGTTCCTTCTTCCATCTTTATTCAAGAGTCGATTATGTTGAAAATAATATCTTGGGGTGAATGGCAATTGGAGCGCGACTTAAAGATTCCCAACTTCTCTGTTGAAGACAGAAGGCAGGTCCCCTGCTTCGCATCTTTCAACAATGGATATATCAACGCTAACATTCATATCGTAAAGATCCATTCAGACATTGTGATGTTGCTTCCTTAGTTCATTTTACAGAATCAACATGAACATTCCGCACAACACCCATGGAAGAAGACAACAAACAAAATAAGAAAATGTTTCGACTTTCTTTCAGCTGATGAAATTTATTTTTATGGTTTTATAGTCGTGTTTTATGCTGGCATTTATTCGAACTCGTATGTGGAGTTTTGTTGCTGTCGAACACACACTCGAGACTTATAAGGATCTCACTACAATGTACAATCGATCAGTTGATTTGAAATGAAATTTCTTGATTAGAAATAAAGAAAATTATTTTGGTTTAATTATGTTCAAATAGAACTTGAAGGAATGCTTGTGACAGCAAATGTGAATGACCCGTTAAGCCTTTCTCAGTCAAACGTTCCTTCCTATTTCATATTCTTCTTCTGCTTGTGATGTATTTACAATGAGGGAGAAAAATGTTTAACGATAGTTGAGAAACGAACGCATTTTCCATCTCAAGACCATAAATGCCGGATATAAAAAGTGCTTTCAAGGATTTGTGCGTAAACAGATAAGATTACTTTTCCCCCTTTTTATAATCATAAGCCGAGTCGATTTCATGTCTTTTTTTTCTTCGCACCGGAAAAGGAATCATCAAGCAATGTTGATCCCATCTGATGGAAACATTCTCTTCGTTTCTCTCTCTAAAAGATTACAGACATTTTCTACTTATCCTTAATTTACACACACATACACTTCGATGACAAACGGAACACATCTTGAATTTAATTTTAAGATTAACCGAAAGAAAATAAGTAAAAGATTTATAAATACAGAAGGGGAGACGACAATGTTGTTGAAAAAAGTTTCCTTTAGGTCTCTCCTTCTGATGGTTGGAGCGTGAAATTACAGCGTAAACGACAATCCTCTTGTAATTGAAAATAAATTAAATGCCCTTCCGAAGAAATGTGTCCATCAAAAGGTTTTAACAAGAAAACTCAACTTAGGGGGATCCTCATTGAAATGTGCATTGAGAATCGCTAATGAAAATTGAAGCAGAAAATATCTTTTAATTAAGAAGATAAATTTGAAGAAGAATTCAATGTAATCTGTTGAAAAGTGAGTATTAAAATTCAACGAAGCATGAGGTTCATCATTTAAGTTAAAGCTTTCATTGAATTTCAATTCAGTCATGAATAGTTTGCAAGTTGCAACAAAGTAGAAAGTGAAATATTTGTCTGATGGATCATCTCATTGTATGTTTTATGGAAATTGATAAAAAAAAGGAAATCTCACAGGATTCATGGAAAAATGAACTTCCGACATGCATTACCATCACATGCTGTTTGAAATTTCATTTTCTCGATGTCAACATTAATTTTGATTTATGTCCAACGATGAGAATGCACAATTTTTCATGACTTTGTACACAAATTGTGTGTGTTAGGTGCACATTTTATTTACTTTTAAATAAATATCTCAACTTTCCGCACCATACAAAACAAGTGAGTCGAGTGTAAAGTGAAATAAACGAGACACTCGTAATAACGTAGAGCGCAGTATGAAGCCAATCTAATTATGTCACAACATCAACAATCAACTTTCTGCATGCAGACACAATTTATAAAAATTATTGACGCTAAATTGTAAACTTTTTGTTGAATTTTCTTAATGTGAGAAATTATTGATGGCAGTGAAGTTGAACGACAAGAAAAGCTTTTAAATTATGAAAAGAAGTTTAATTAAGCTTACCTTTCTTCAGCAATTGTTGATGGAAGTTGCGGACGATTATTACGAAGTATGCTTAAGAAGTGCGGACCTTCAGAGAGATAACCGTTTTCAATGTCAGAGTATCTGATTGAAGCCTTACGTAATGCATCACCATCACTGCAGTAGCCTTGCCCACCTTCATCGTAATAACCGTTACTAATGCGACTGGAGCGTAACGGGCTTGTTGTGCAACTGCTGTAGCCACTTCGCATGATCGAACGCATCGGAACAAGAGTCGACACATCCTTATCTTCCTCAAATATCGTCGTTGCTATTGATGCTTGAACCATTCCATTCACTTTCGTCGACATTGTGTTGAATTTATTGCCATTGATTGGTAGCGGATCATTGAAATTTTCCAATTTACGATTTGGAATAGGATTCGTTTGTGATTTCATTTGATAAATGTCAGCATTGACATCAGCTGTTGGACGATAAACGACACTCGATTCACTTGAATTTGAATGATTATTTGTAGATGTCGAATGAAGACTTTCACTCATATTGTTGTTGTTTGTTGTGTTCAACAATTGATTATGCAATGGACTCATTGATAATGGATTGACAATCTGCGTCTTCTGCACGCCACTTATCAATTCATTGCCGCCATTTCCTTTCACTTTCTCAACTTTTATCACATTGCTATCAGTTAAAATTTTCGCGTCACTACCAGCACCACTTCCACCATCATCAGCAAGTGTTTGTTTTGTTGTGCCTTTGATTGCAGCCATTGGCTTCGGAATGTTAGTTCCAACTGATGATGTATTCTGTTGCTTTGACTGCTGCTGTAAATGTGACGACAAACCAGTTTTTGTTGTCGTTGAGAGCGTTTCGGGTTTACGGCCCACTTGCACTTGCAATTTGGCTTGCGGAATTTTGTGTTGTGCTTTCGTAGGCGGCGTTATGTCTCCATTATTACCGTTGCTCTCCAATTGACTCTTATCTTTCTTGTCGCCTTTCGATGCACTCTTTGTTGGCGCTGGAACTTTCGATGATGTTTTACTCGTCGTCATCTTTGTAGTCGTTTCAGATTTCTTTGAGTTACTTTTTGTGCTCGATGTCGATGTCGTTTGCGATGAGGGAAGATTTGAATCGTTGTTTAAACTGATACTCGAGTCACTTCTTTCACTACGAGCTGATGAGAAACCGCTGCTTGAACTCGTTCGTTTTGACAACTGAGTCTTTGGTATTTCAGTTTTTTCTTTACTGAACAACTTGAGCTTTCCAAGCATTGATTGCTTTGCTGGTGGTTGCTGTTGTTGCTGCTGCTGCTGCTGCTGTTGTTGAAGGTTGTCTTTTGACAATATTGATCCATTATTTTGTGAATATGGACTTGTAGGAATTTTGCAATTTGATCTGTAAGACAAACATGAGTATTCTTAATTAAACATTGAACGACATGTGACAAATATATTGAAGACATTCGGAATTTCCGAGTAAATTGATGGATATATTTAGAAATCTTGCGAAGTTTCTCGAAAATAAATTACGAATGAATATGAAAGTTGCTTAAAAATTCTATTAATTTTAAAGTCCACATCATAAATAATAAAGACGAGAATTTATTCAAAGTTCATAATGGAGTTGATGTATTCACACAACAATAGAAAAAAATAAAATTTAACTCTTTTATTCAATGAAATGCATTTGATAACATCAATTTAGATGCATAACGCATTGCAGATTATGTTGAGTTTCTAAATATTCAGAGAAAGATTTTTTTATGAAGCAAATGCAAACAACAAAAGCACAACTGACTGTTGCAAAGTTGATCTGTCTGGAATATTTAATTAAGTTATCATGGGTTGAGAATTTCATCGTCGAGTTAAATCTGTTCAAGTCTCATCTCACTCTCAATCGAGTTGTTTATAAGCGAGCAATATTTATGCAAGTACAAGAAAAAAGAGAGAGAAATAATTAACTTTTTTGTTGTTCATTTCATGACAGGGAGTGGAAACAGATTTGAGATTCTAAAGCGATTTAAATTTTCAGAATAATTTAATTAACATCTTTAAACAGCGGGGGCGTTAAAGAGTTTACTTGTTTAGTTCTTCCGGGTTTGTTTTGCTATTCAGAATGAAAAAAGGTTAAATTAGCAGCTCAGCTTCCGGTCACCACCCCCGCATAACTTCTGCAAATATTCCCTCATGTTGTTTCGTATTCTAATTGAATTTCTTTTAAAGTAAGCAAATCCACGTTGTTGTTTAATTAATCACATTTTAAATCGCGGAAAGAAAAACTTTACGACGTTTCATTTGAACGATAAAAACAATAAACTTGCTTTAGTTGACATCAAGCTAAACAAGCAAACAACTGAGGTAAATAAACGTTAATTAGCTTACAATTTCATATCACTTCAGGGTAAAATTACAATTCGTAGAAATAATGTTTGCAATCGATAAATGAAATTCGTTATTTAAATTCCAAGAATTTATTGCACTTTTATGAGCAAAGCTGAATTTTATTATTTTATCATTTACCTTGTTCCTGGACTGCCCGGTTGACTACTCTCATTCGATGAAGACTTCGTCAATGGAATTGCTGAAATGGAAATGAATTTATATCATTTGATGTTGTCGGTTCAATTGAGCTCATAACTTACATGATTGATGATTTGGTGTGGGTGGAAGTGGTCGAATTTTGTCAGGGGGACATCGTCTGGTAACAAGAACTGTTGCAGGCAAGGGAATTGCCGTTGCCCCATTTGCTGTTTTTGTGTAAATTGGTAATTGTCTGGAATGAGTTGAGAACAACAAAAGTGGAAATTTAGAATATTTGAAGTAAAGTTTAAAGCTGAAATTACATTCGGTTGTTAATATCAACCAACTGATAATAATTAATGAGATTATCGTAGCGTATTGATTTTACAGAATAATGAGATTTGAAAATTAATTGATTCATATTAAAATGGAGAGACAAGTCAATGCAAGAGATTTCTGATGAATTAATTGAGCTCAACTCTACTTTGATTTGTTAAAAATTTCGATTGGATTGCAGTAGAAACTTTGTTTTACATAAATTAATTATCCGACAAAGACAATGGAATGCCACAAATTGCAGAGTAAAGCTTTAAATTGTTCGGTTCGGAATCATTTTCTTGTTCTGCAGTTTTTTATCTAGCTTTGTAGATGTTTGGCTTGTTTGTTGCAATATGCTCAACATCTGTTTGTTCACGAACAACAACCGAAAATATTCCAAGCCATAACACAATCAATTAACAACAGTAAAAGGACAATGATATTCCCATGCGTTGTTTAGTTCATAAATTTAAAAAGATTAGTCGAAAAATTTCTGTGCTACATCACAAAAAATATTGAAAGCAAAGCAAAAACCGATTTTTATTAAAAAAGAAATCAATTTGCATATTGCAGTTTCTCGTTCTTCATCGTTTTCTGTCGTGTTTATTAGCAAACATTTATTATTTATGAATCGCTCGTTTATCCGCAGACATATTTCGATTGGAGTTCGTTTTCGTTTGAAATGGGAACGAGCATGATAAAATTAAAAACATTCTAATGAAAATATTTCAAGTTCCCAGTTCTCTGTTCATAAGGCATGAAATTTCTAATCTAAATTAATTTCTAATCTGTTGATGATGGTCGCGTTATTAAAAACTAAAATTTATGATTCATCATAAAAAATATTTCACAGATAATTTAATTCTGTCGTTCTCTTCAGTCTTCTTTCTATTTTCTGTCGTCATTTTATAACTTTAAAGACTAATAAACTGCAAAAGTCGTGCGAGAAGTTGTCCCGCTTTCAATCGATTTATTTAAAGCCGGTTTAAAGCTGCAATGTTGAAATTAATATATCTAATCCAACAAATGACACGATTTTTCCTCGCGTCGTGTGAAAGTTTTTTATGTTCCGCTATAAATCACAAGTAAATCTAATAATTACTCACAATTTGTCATAACAATACTCTCGCTACCGTTTTGCTTACTTATCGGTCGTCCGAACATTACTTGCATAACTCTCTTCCTCCCACGCCCATTAATAAATGAATTTCTGATTTATGTCCATCGAAAATTCGTTTTAATTACCGACCAAACATAAAATGAAGGTTTATACAGGTCTGGGAAAATTTTAGCGGAAAACATTAGAGAGGTAGCAAGTAGATAAATAAAAGTCAACATCGTGACCGCCCTGAAGTAAATATTTTTCCAACAATTTTAACAGTAGAAAATATCCTTTAAAGTCGCCACAACATTTTATGTCTAATGGATGAGTGCGTTTGTTACCTCTGTTTAATGGCCGGCGAGTTGGGCAGACTTCGGCATTTTCTGCCCTTCTCACGCTTCGAAGATGAATTTCCCATTGTTTCTCTCTTTAGTCCTTATTTTGGATGATTCACTTCATAGCACAAACAATGGCACTGCTAACGTTTTGATTTTATTTTTTTTCCTTCAACTTCTTTTAGAACTTTTCTGACATTATTTTGTGTTTCTTTCTTTTCAAAGTTTGTTTTTAAAATTATCTCTACCTCAGCATGTGCTGTAAAGCTCTCTTTTTTCTAACTTCACTTAAACACTGTAAGCATTATGAGATTTTCTTCTTCCTTTCTGCTTTTTTTCGATGAATAAGAAGAAAATTTAATTAATGAAGCCTTACGGAAATATTAAACAATATTATAACATGCGCCGCAGTCGAAATGTGAAATGAAACCCTTTTCAACCTTTCATTGTCTGCCTACATAATTTAAAATTACACAAAAGCCTTGTTGGCTGCCATAAGGTTGTGTAATCATCCGAACGAGAAAAATTAGACAAACATTGAAAGTATCCGACAGAAGGAATGTGATTCATGGGAGCAAAATTCAGCAATTTGAATCTTTTTCATTCTAGATTAAAATTTAAGGAAGAAGGTAAAAGTTGAATGCAAGTTGCAAGCAATCATGGAGCGCATGTGATTAATCAGCTGGTGTGACTTGTTTATAGTTTTCCATCGTTTTCTTGTTATCTTCAAGCAACCAAACGATCTTCTTTTTTTTTCTTCTACTTTTTCATTCAAACAAGATGAATTTAAGAAGAGTTCTGAAAGAATAAAATATCTACAGCATTCGAAGAAAGATGAGAAAACGAAGTTTTCTTTTTTGTTGATGTAGAAAAGCATTTTTCACCGTCATGAAAGTGTAAAACTAATAAATATTTACGACTTGTTTAAAGGCTGCTGAATTATTACTTGGTGTTTCCTAATAGTTCTCTCGTCTGATGTACTTGCGTGGGAGTCTAAGAGAATGCCATTAGTTTCTACTCTAACTTCATTTTGAGAGTCGAGTGAGAAGTTTATTAGAAATTTTTCAACTTTTTTTTCTTTTGCATTGTTTTGTGGAAATGAAAATATAATCAGACATTAAGAAAAGTTTTAGAAAATTTAATTTAAAGTTGATACAAGTAGAAATTTTTACTCCAAAATTTGAAACTGATGGAGACGAAAATTTCACATTTAAATTCTTATTGAGCAATTTAAAAGCAAAGTTAATTAAAAATTTTATCCATCGACATCTGTTGACGCATTTATTCGATAAAATGAAAAGTAGTAAAGAACAAGAATTAGTAAGAAGAGACGACGATGAACGATAATGAGAAACTATTTGAATGTGTTGAATAATTTACATTCATAATGCTCTAACAACATATGGGAGACTTGGAAGGGGGAAAGGTGATGAGTTCAAACGCATTTGAGAACTAGATTGAAATGGATTTTATTCGCTTAAAAGTTGATGAGGGTGTTTCATGTTAAGAAGCAATATTAAGACTGCGATCACTTCACAAACGACAATGTTTATGATCATTTCAGAAAGAGAATTACATTGAAAGCGGACGACTTTTAACCTTTCTGCTGTTAAATAAACCATAAATCAGTCGAACGAGAGAATAGAAAAACGCTTTATGATAATTGCGCTTTCGCATTAAGGGTAACGAGAAGAGCCATAGAAACGATGAGCTTATGTTGCAATCGTTCGTTATTTTTCTTTTTTTTCGTAATTCCCCGTATGTGAAAAAGGATTTGCGTTCATTCACTCAATCCTAGGGAATTTAATACAAGAAAATCGTGCTATTCTGTTTGATCACTTTAATGTGATTTCACTTAAGAATCTTGAGAAAATTCAAAACGAAACATTGTCGAAGCTAATCAAAGACAAAAGAATTGAATATAAAAGAACAAGTGGTAGTTTGTTTTATGTTTAATTTAGGAATATTCTTGAAAGCTTAACAATTCAATCTAAAAAGTAAATTAAAGGATTCTAAAAGAAGTTTAAGCTAACAATGAAAAATGATTTAAGACAATTGGACAGTGCAAACTCAGATGAAAGATTCATGTTCAAAATGTCATTCAAATAGTTTTTCTTCACTTTCATTCACAGATTTTTTATATTCTCATATTTGAGCCACAGAATTAATGTATTTTTGCGGTGGAGTTAGCTTAGCTTCGAAGGAAATGCTAAAAGTGATTTATTGTTTTTCTTTTTCACGTTTCTTGGTATCGAGTTTTCCTTTCCATTTTCCATTTCTAGTTTTGTTTGTGAAAAAAGATTCGAAGCAGAAGAAGAAGAATGAAAGTAAATTTAATTGGATAAATACTTGTTTTTGCAACTAAGTAAACTTGTCATTTTTTTCCTTTTTCCTTTTTCATTGTTATCGTGCCTTGAGCGGAAGTTCTTAAGAAACTTTCTGCAAATCACTCGACTTTACTGTCTTATATAGTTGCTGTTGTCTTAAAGCATGTTGGAAAGAAATGAAAACTATTAATGTGAGTTATGACTAAAACTTGACTATTTCTTGTCAAGGCTTGTACTTTAACGGGATAATTACTGCCGCAAGTATTTCAAAGCTTCACTCAAACTCTTTCCTTCTTCCAACTAAGTGAATGCAACGACAAGCACTTTAATTAAATTCCATTAATTTTTAAGCGGTTGTTAAAGCTTCTCATAAAATATCTTTATATGTTTGGGAGAAGTTTTAGCTGTCGTTGGAAGCCAAGATTTTTTTCTTAAAAGAGAGTTTGAAGCATTTCAAGAATAAAGACGTTTAAACTTTCTTCGAAAAGAAGAAAACTTTTTAAAGTTTTTTGATTCTTCATTTCTTTAAAGATGAATCTTACGAAGCGAACTCGGGGGACGTTTGGAAATTTCAAAGCAGCGATTTCAACGGTACAAAAATTTGTCCTTCGTGCAATTCAAATGATTTTCATGATCTCTTCAAGGGACCCTTCAGTGATTCTTTTTTTTCTTTCCGTTTTGTTCTGGTTCTTGAAATAATAAAAAGAAAACCAACAAGTCATTTTACTTCATTCAAATATTGTCGGAAGATCCATGAAACAGAAATTAACTTAATTATTCATTGCTTTTTACAAACAAGTGGGAGTAAATCTTTTCACGACACATTTTCAACTTCCAACCCTCGATTCACGTCGACAAGGCGCATAATTGAAGCACTTTTGCATGGAAAATGTTGCGAATATGAGGAGTGAAAGAAATCTTAATTTTCATTAGCATATCAGCACATTATATTCAAGCTTTGAAGCATTTCTTTCTTTAAAGAGAGGAAGGAAAAGCTTTGACATTCTTCAGCATAATGAGAGACATTTCTCATTTAATTTTCATAAACGTTTTTCTCTGTTTGCGTAGTGAAAGCATCGTTTTGCTCTTGAATGTATAAAGATTTATTTTGTGACATTTTTAAGATTATGCCTAACATTCTTAACTGTTCAGGGAAATTATCTTAGGAAGAACGTTTTAAATGTTTCTGAGAAATAAAAAGATTTACAAGGATTTCTAATTTTTCCATCTCATCATTCCCTTCATTAAATTCTGCACGTTTTCACTCCACTTCATCTAACTCATCAAGGAAATGTTTCCAATTAAAGAAATGTTTTTTCCTGCAAATGCATTCAATAATGTTGCGAAAGCTTCTTTTAAATGACTCCACAAACTAAATCAAATCCATTTAAATTCTTTTTAAGCTTTTGAATCGTTCTAACTTATTTCTCTTATTGTTTCGCTTTTTTTTCCTTGTTGACAATTAATTTTGTTCACTGCTTCAGCGGATACATTATCATCAGCTGCTATCAACAAACACACGTAAACACACATGGATAATCCGTGACTGAAACTTCTGCTGAATCACAAGTAAAAGAAACAATTCTATGCTTTATCCCAATGCGGATGGAAGGAAAGAAAAAGTTTTATTTTTTGCTTTCACATTGATATCGCTGTTGCTTTTTGTCTTCTTCATGTTTCCTTCTGTCGTCTCATATTGTCGTGTTCACTTTGCAAATGAGGTGTAAAAAAGGCTTTTTCAATGCTTAGATAAAGTCTTCTAGGCGTAACGAGGACAACAGACACAAAAAGAAGGTAGAAAGGAGAAGATACGAATGTAAAGAGATAGAATGTCTACACAGAACTAAGCTAACCAGTCACCACGAACAAAAACCGTTAGCAATGAAAAATGATGGGAAATTTGACAAAATAATTTTCCATCATCTGATATTTAATACATTTTTTTCCTCTTTCCATCTTATGCTGTAATAATATTCTACAATAACTAGAACTGTAATAATATCACAGCGCGTGCAAAACGAAAACGTTTGTTGTTCTTGACATTTGCGAAAAAAAAATTCTCTGCTTTCTCAAGACGAAGCAAGCAGAAAAATGTTATTATTACGAAATGGCATCCAAGATTAGTATTTAACAGTTCGACAGCGCGTTTACATCATTTCAGAATATTTTCCGCAAGTATACTTCATCGTAATAAAATAAAATGATATGCCATCTATTTCACGAATGTTACTGTTTCACTTAATTTGCACATGATATTATTTTTTTACTTTAATCTCCGTTTTAACACACACACACACATAAATACAATTCAATTTTCCTTATCATTTCTTCATTTTCTATAATGCGAGAGCTTTCTTAATTTTTCTTTCCCGCCTTCGAAACGACTTTTACGGAATGAAAGCTTTTTACGCTCCTTTAATCACTCGAGCGAACACAACTCATAAATAATCCACATTGTGAATAATGATTTAGCAATCCGTTCTTGCTTTATAAGAAATTGTTCTCACAATAATGGAAGTGCTGTTAAAAATCATGGGAGAATTTATTTCCGAATCACCGAATAAAGTGTTTTGTCTTTTAAAAAGTTTTCTAAAGAGTTTTTTCCTCGCGACTTAACTTTCGATAACGAACCTGTTTACCGAACAGAACAAAGTATACTGAAGCAAACGTGAACAAAATCTATCAAGAATTGCATCGAAAACATTCCAAAACATTGAAACATTGTCGCTTGAACATTGAGTCTCCTAGCAACGCTTGCAACACAACATGTCACGTGTTGCTTATGATATTGAGGCGACACGAGCATTTTGATGATGAGTTGAAACATAAATTCAATGTTTAGTGATTTACTCATCCTATGTTTTTATGGTTGCATTGTGCTAGTGAGATTGCGAGAATTGGTACTACAGACGTTATGTGTTAACTGCACATTCCCTTCCGCATTGTTTTGATCCGCAAAACGTGTGTTTGTGAAAACTTCCTAATTTTGTTACGACAAATTTACATAAGCAAGCATTATTCACTTTCACTTCCCTTGACGTACGGGAATTTATTATTCCATAAGGAAACGAACATCGTTTGTGAGCGATTGTATATAAACCCTGAGTTATACAATAATTTCCTAAATAATAAAATTCAGTTTCAATTTTAAACTTTCTCTGTTTCCAAAAATTTGCATCAAATTTAAACCGGCGTTTAGATTTTATTTAGAGAGAAATGCGAAATCAAGAGTCTTGATTACATTTAAGGATTTTCGGCTTTGTTAACCAATTTTTCGGCTTGGCGCGCGCCTGGGAATGGGAAGCTGAAAGTAAATGAAAATTAATTTATGAACGTTTTTCCTTCCGTTGTTACACTCTTTTCACTTTGAATTCGAGTATCGCATTTAGTTGTCCATGCAGTAAAAAACTTTATCGTTGAGCAAATGAATACCGAAAACATAAAAAACTTTTCTCGCCTCAGAAATTGTTTAGCTATTCAAACATAGGAACTTTGTAAATAGCGAACACGGATAGAACAGAATTATTTCCTCAGCTCATGCAACAATTTTCCTTTTGAAAATGTGTAAACAAAGAGCATGTTAGAAAAAAATGTATCAGAGAATAAGCTTTAAGAAGGACGACCAGAAAACAGAAGGAAAATCGTTGATTTCATACAAGCTACGCTAATAGAATGTTCACCATCTGAACAAATCGGAGAAAATGAATTCAGAAAAAGAAGAAAATGAAATTGTTAACATGTAAATCGGCATGAATGGAAGTTTTTCTATTGATTTTCCCTTGCTTACTTTTCCTTTCATATTTTCCTTCCGATTTCTGATGCTTGCATGCATTTGAAGGGATTTCCTATCAAAGATGAATGTCTACATCAACCATCATTGATTTCGATTTTGATGGTTCCATTGCTGACTTGAATGGATTTTTATTCTTTTCTTCTGTTGATTATATCGAAAGTTGAATTTGACATTCAACAACAGAGGCAGCAAAATAATGCCTTTATCCTCTACAAATCTTCATTCTTTAAAGTCGTACACATTCCACTTGAAAATGAAAACATTTTTCAATTTTCACTTTCATTTTTCTTTTTTTAAAATAAAGAAGAAAAAGTTAAAGTTTGACGGAATTTCCGCGTGAAGAAATTCTTTCACATTCAAACTTGTTCATTCGTTTTGGCCCCAAACAACTGTTTAATACACTTCTTTGGTTCTTTTAAACATTCCCAAACACGCAAATAACCGAATTTCACTTTCTGTTGATTGGATTTTTAAAGGAGAACAAATGATTTTCCATCAGCGAGTGTTTCCTGATGTAACTTGATTCTCCTACCACAACGAGTCCCATCTGGCAACTTCATGCCTCGACTTGCAACATGTCGCATGAATTATTGCTTCTTCCTTGTTCCCCTCGATTGTGTATTGTGTGTAATCATGATATGCGAGGGTGGCGAGAGCCGAATTTGTATTTACAATTTCTTTCCGTTTTTACAAAGCCGAATGAATGCAATGAATGTTGAAGGAAGGGAAACATTTTCAGTAAGGGATCGAAGACGGAAAAACTAAGATATGCATTTGAGTGTGTGTGTATGTGTGTGAATATCTGACATAAATAGAATCTCTGGGAAAAGCCATAACAAGGCATATCGCTGTGCAATTGATGTGAGAGATTGAGAGGGAAATTGGAAATTTATTGAAGCATTACTCGTTAAATGACTGCGAGATTATGAGCACTTTCAAAACTTCATAATTTTCCAAGTCCCCTCCATTGGTAGTCACAGACACCGACTGGATTTGGTTGGGTGTTTATGCTCTCACATAATTGCTATTCGTTTCGCACAAACATGTCATAAAAATCATGAAACGTGGCAAATCGTTTCGCCCCCACTCAATGTTTGCACATCATGAAAATTATTTCGTTCCGGTAAACGATGAACAACATGCAAACACCCGAAAAACGATTGCCAATTAAATCTACATTAATGGACCAGATTTTACTCTTTAATTAATCATATGAATGGCTTCTGCATTTTCTCGATTGCCCTTCAAACACACCGGAGTAAATAAACGACAATTTAATTATAGTTTTGTGTCGATTCTCTGTCTCGTTGCTGAGATGAGACAGAGCCCACAAATGAACACGATGGAAAATCAGAAAGGCAATCAGTGACAAACGAATATTTACTGAATTCAATTAACACACCCTTTTCATCGTCCGTCTGACGACGATGCTCCTTTTTTCTGACAGTGAATTTTAAATAATTCGTGGCAATGACAAGCGAGAAACAAAACACCATTTCGAGCTACTGAAAGTATTTTTTGAATAAAGAATATTCGATTCTTCGATTTGATAAGATTTTGTTACTTAAATGCTGCGTCATTATACAGAGACAAGTCATTCAAAGATTCATGAACTTTCCCATTCAACTTAACCACAAGACTGTTGTTGCATCTTCGTCTTAATTACAATAACAATGCGCTCATAAATCATCGTGAGACCAACAATATTTCCTTACTTAATCAAACCGGTTTATTGTCGTTCTTTGTTGTTATTCATTTGTTTGATGTTTGACGTTAAAAAAGTGCGTGGGCGGATGAAATAAAATATAAAATAAAAAAAAACAAAGTAAGAAAGTAGCGGAATGAATTAAGAAATTAGAAGAGGAGAATTGTTGGAGTTCATTTGATTAAACATGAAGCTCATTAATTAGTGTTTCATTAATTTCAACGATTAACGAAATGATAAGCAACAAACGACGCTTGTTTCTTTGAACTTTTTCTTTTCCTGCTTCGAATAATTATTTTCATCTGCGATAAGAATCTTTAGGATGGAGACAAAAAATGTGAAAAAAGAAATCAATTCTGTTTCTATGAACAACCGACAGAAATCGATAACACTCGACAGTTGAAAGTTGCAACAGTTCAGAAGAACGAGAAACTTGGATTGTCGCAGCGTGGGCGATAGAAACAAACAACAGTTATGTAGCTTCAGATTGACTTAATCATTCTTTCTTTCTCTTCATATCATTCGTTTTATATCTCATAAGAACGAATCTGTTGCATGCTGTTGATGATTCAACATTCCACTCACACACATTCTCGTTCAATCAACTCTCGAGGTTCAGTCGATTGGAAGTCGAATCTTTCATTTGCCAGCATTTAAAATATCAGATTTGCGTTCTTTTTCAATTCAATGGTTTATCCATTCCATTTCTTTGTACACAACTCTCCCGCGATGTTTTCGATTCTGTAATTCTGTTACTGGCTGCTGGTACGTATCGAAGCAAATGTTCATTCAATTAAAAGAAAAACAGAAAAAAGGAGAAGCACATTCGGTCCCGAATTGTTCACATTCCTAACATGAAATCAGAGCTGCTTGTATCGAATGTGATTCTTGCTTTTATGTCTCCTTCAACTCACCCTCATCAATTGCGTCACGACATGATGTCACTAATGGATGGCATTACTTAAAATTTCAATCATAATAATTTTTGGCAACTGAGAAGAGAAGAAGAAAAAAAAGCAAAGGAGAGGTGAGAGGGGGAGGAGAAGCTGTCGAATGAAACTGAAGCGAGGGTAGCTCGTGTTATGTGTGTGTTCAGTTCATATTAATTTTCCACAGTTCTCGATTGTTATGATCTGCTAAATTGATAAAACAAGAAGGGTCGAAAGAGCGACATCGCAGCGTGTTTTTGTTGTTTCAGAAAAGATAAATAAATTTTCTTTCTACATGAGTCGTATGAAGCCTTTTGGGAACTGGAGCACTCATCGTTTGCTGTTCGTCTTTCTTTCTTTCTTTGGTGGCAATCGTTTGCTTCGTAGGATGGCGACATAAAACATCCATTTACATTATGATTATGTAAACTCTATGATAATTACAGTAGTCTTATTGTTGAGTCTATTTTTAGGAGCTAATCGAATATTCTTCAACATAAAACTGTATGAAGAAGGAAATACGAAATAGAAACCTAAAAATATCATTATTTTGTCGTTGGGTTAATCCTCTGAGAGGCTTTCAAACATGAAACCGTAAATAAATAAATGAATCAATGTTTTTGCCCCGGTTGTGACTTTAAGCAGATGAAATTGAAGGGAGAGATTCTGAGGTTTAATTTAAGCTTTGAATGTACTGAATTTTTGATAGTGAATGTGACATTTTGAACTCCCACAATCCGGATTTTCTTTCAAGGTTTCCCTGAATCACCTTCATAATTTTTTCCTTGTTCATTCAAAAATAAATGTTTCGTAATCTTCTCTAAATTTCTTTCTATAATGTTCTTTTACTGCTGTCTAATATGAGACAAATGACGTGAATAATTTAATAAAGATTTACCGAAAAAAAAAACATGAAAAGGGAAGATATAAACAACAAAAGGAAGCACTTGAACCTGTCGTGTGTCATATCACTTCGATCTTCCTTTATTTCCCTGCCGGCAAACTTTTTTTTACAGAACATTTATCTTTCCGAAAAATTGGCCCCTAAATAGGTTGATGGGGAAGATTTTCATGTTTGCATTATTTTGATTGGATCATTTATCTTATGCAATTTTCCATTCGGAGTAAACTTTTCTTCTTTATCTTCCACGTTTTGAACATTGAAAATAAACTTTGTTAACAAAATGATAAATTTACTCGCATTAAGATCGTTAAATCATTGATAAACTTCTATAGTTGCGTTCTTTTTGTATTATAGAATTTTCTTTAGTATTAAGAATTTTACAAAATGAATGATTGACGAAGTTGTTGATTGATTTGACAGCAAAAAAGAACTTTCAACAAAATCTTTTTAAACTTCTGTGAGTGGAGATATTTACGTTGGCTTATAACAAATTTAAAATTGGAAATTGATCGGGAATTTATAAATTGATTAATGTATTCGCGGTTTGAATACTTTTATAACTTGTTTCTTGAACAATTTCCTTGTAACTTTAAGCTGAACAGCGAGCGCCATTAATTTTTAAATTCAATAGTCAGTCCAGTGAGTAGGAAATCGCTAGTGAAATCTACAGCGCACCATGTGGGCAAAAATGAAAGCCTAACTTTTCTCAGCTACTCAAAAAATCTAGTGTAACGCTATTGAGTAGATCATATATGAGAGTGATAACAGATGGCGTTGCTTTCTATTCAAGAACATTAACAATTTTCAATTGTTTTCACTTACCTTTCTTTCGTTAACATCATTTCTGAAGTTGATTGATATATCTGCGATTGTGGCCTTACACTTGGTGCTTTCAATTGTCTATATTTACTTAATCCAAAGAAAAGTGATAAAACGGCTTTTAATCGACCACCAATGATATCATTGGCCGTGATACTGTCTGTGCCCGGTACTGAGTGCTGTCGTAATATGTTGAGACAAGCTTCAACATTATCAAACTGCAAATGAAATAAAATAAAACTTCAATGAGATAAAGCAAATGAACTAAATGTGTTAAATAATTATTCAAGGTTGTTTTTGCACATTCTTTAGACATAAAAAATAGGAAATTGAAAGCAATTTTGCCTACGTTTTGACTGTTTTTTTTATGATTATTGTATAGAATGGTATTAAATCACATACTGTGATTATCCACACAGAACGAAAAGCAACAAAAATTTTATGACTCTCATTATGAATTTTCAAATAATTCTCAACATCCGATTAACTTCAATGATGTCTTAACATGTGAACATGAACTCTTTTGTGAGTTAAAATACGAAAAGACAAAACAAAACAAACTTAAGTATAGTTATAAATTTTGCTATCTCATCCAACATTACACATATAGCGTGAAATCTATAAGTCACAAGTCGTAAGAGTTTCACACAAACTGGGTGTAGAAGAGAATGTTTACAATTTCCTCGAAACGCTCGACGTTATGACAGATCGACGTCATTCTATTTTTATGCAACATGAAAGGAACGATTGCTGCGAAAAACTCAAACTGAGCCTCAAGGTAGATTCTCAAATGAATGATATTCAATCTTTTACTCATGTTTCACGATTCATTTTCTCTTCTATCTTGTCAATAATTGCGTTTTATAACAGCTGTTCACGTTTAGCGTAAATCGATTAAAGATTATCCCATAAAAGCTCGAACTTGTTCGCTTCAAATGCATTTCACAAGTCGTAAAACAACGGAGCAAAAATAATGCAATAAAATTCATATTATGGGAATATTTTATGATTTATGTTTCAATTTCTTCTTTCATTCCTTCAAAGAACTGTAATGATGTGAAGTTGAATTCTAAATACAAATAAGAAATTAAAATATTTTGCACTTCCTTTATTTTTAAACTTTTTCGTCTTCCACAAAAAAAATGTTTTAATGTCTTAAAAAACTTTAAACGTGATTGTCAATCAATTTTTTTGATTGACTCGAAGATGGCATCCAAGATTTCAAACTGTTTTGATTCATAAGTTCGACGACATCCAGAAAATTTCCACTTTCATAGTAATCAAATGTCAATCCACCAACTACGTCTTTTGACAAGAAATCGAAGTCATAAATGCAGAAATGCTTCTTGATCAGAATGTCAGCTATCAACGAATCTCTTCCTGGTCGTTTCATTGACATATAAAATGATGAGTCTTTAGGATTCTTTCTAAATATGCAAACTTCAATTTTCTTTGTGTGGCACCTGTGGAAAGAAACTTTTGCATTCTCGCTCCAAATTCCATTCGTTGGTTGAACAAACGACAAAACTCCACGCTTCAAACTGCACGGAAGTTGCAAAAAATCATTCATCAAATAACAAATTCTGTTAAGCGGCACATCTTCGACAGTACCAAAGTCGGTGTAAAAGATTCGAGCAATGTCTGGTGACTTTAATTTAAGGATTCGTCCACGATGCCACAAACTACAATAAAGAACCGCCACATGCAGTCCCGACTGTAAATCTTTTTGATCAACTTTCAAATGATCTCTTGCTTCGTAATAATTTTTCATTTCTTTCATCAATTCGTTAATTTTCTTAAAATCGTCATAAAAAGTAAACCAAAATCGATGTGGATTAACAATTTCCATTAAACAAATTGTCATCATTTTCGGATATTCCCAACTATCAGATGCAGTGCATGAAGGAATTTGTACATCAATACTTTTAACGTGTGATATCTGTTCGCTTGCAACAATAAAATCATCAGAATCGTCCTTGTCCTCACCACTGTCGTCAAATTCAATATAACTGTTGTAGGTATTTAAATTAATAATTTTTTGATTATTTCTTCACTTCTTACTTACTAGTCTTGGAAATTATCTGAGAAAGCAAATATGTCGGAATGATTTGAGTGACGTCTTGTGTTATGATTGTTCCACTGAGTATTATTAATCTTAAACCCACGATAGTTTTTACTTTTACTGCCAGAGTTTCTATAAACAAGCATTTTTAATAAAACAGAAACATAAAGAAAAAAAGTTTTACTTTGAATATTTTGCCATTTCTGAAATATGATTGAGTTCGAGAGCTTGCACTTCAGAATATATTCCACTACCATTGAAAATAAAGTCATCCCATGTACGAATCATATCTCCAATAGTGAAAAATCCTAAATCGTTTGCAAACTTTTTCAATGATGTGCCAATGTTTGCCTTAAAGATCTTTTCAAGCTCTATAAGTGGCATCTTTCCGTGTGGGTTTCTTCTCACGAAACTTAATACTAGTCGTTTGACTTCCGATGGTGTTGAATTATCCATTTTTTTAATTATTTTGTTTTAAGTTAAATTTGTCAAATTTAACCTCTTGATGTACTAAAACATTTTTGTGCAGGGTTGAACATTTTCTTCAATTAATGACAGGTGGGGCATTAAACTAAATTTAATCCCGATTTAAATCTAAACTTAGATTTAACGAATTAAGAATTGATTTGACATTAAAATTTTTGTAAAAAAACACATTTATTATGAGTAAAAAACTTATTTCCATTGACCTTTTAACATCTTAATTTTTTATAAATTGGAAACATGAGCAGCTGATTGTTCATCTAATAGCCAATAAACTTTTTCAATCGCTTTGACCCTTCCAGCAGGTAGATCAACTTTATCACCAAAGATACTTTTAATGATCGCAGCTTTTCCATTACCAGGAACGGCAAATATACTATTACGAGCATTATTGATGAGAGTGTATGTCATTGTTATCCTTTGAGGAGGCGGCTTAGGAGAATCGTTGATGTAAGCGATGAGGCGATCAGTGACTGTTAATAACTCATGATCAGGAAACAGTGAAGCAGTGTGACCATCCGGGCCAATTCCAAGAAGCAACAAATCAAATGAAGGAACTCCATCTGGCATTTTAAACTCTTCACGAATTCTTTTCTCATAATCAGCTGCTACTTTTTCAATTGGATCTTTAACATTAATTGTAACAAATTGTTGTTCAGTGAGAGGAACTTTGGGTAACAGATTCTGCTTGTAAAACCTATAAGGTTGAAAAATTCTAGAAACTTTCATCCTTGAAGCAAATATTTTGAAAGTTCTCACCCGAAGGTCGAGTCAGAATCATTTTCAGCAACATAACGCTCATCACAAAAGAAAACAATCCATTTGCTCCAATCAGTTTTAATTTTCGGCAAACATTTGCATAGATATTTTCCCAATGATCCTCCTACAAGAAATAATAAAAGTATTAAATTTATGAGTTGTTTCTAATTAGAATTATTTAATTCTTACCAGAAAATCCTATAAAAAATCTGCCTCGTTTTTTAATCGCTTCATTTGCTTTCTCTTCTATCAACTTTTGTAATTCAGAAATAACTTCTTGTTCATTCTTATAAACCGAGAACATTTTTCTAACTTGTTAAATTAAAATGATTTAAATGAAAAACTAAATTAAACACACAACCACTTGTTGCAATTTTTGCAATGTTATGATTTTACCTTGAGCAACATTGGAATGTCAATGGAACGATTTAAAATTATAAAAACCGTTGGAAATAGTTAAAATGACTAAATTATAATTTATAAACAGCGTAAGATTATAAATGGACTCAATTGATAACGAAACACATTTCAGATCTTCGATATTGATTATAAGAATTTTTAAGATAAATTTTAATTTGTAGGAATGCACAGCTGATGAATTTTGTTCCTCAAATGAAATATTTGCATCTTCAAAAGCCAATAAATTCTCAAAATTAATTATAATACCAAAATTGGTAACTCTTTGTCTGGTATTTATACTTGATACTTTTTTCTTCGAATACCTTTTATTCGTAAGTTGATTCAGATGCTAGTGATTTGATGGCATGAAAGAAAACGAAGGGCGTGAGTGTTTATTGCCCCTAAAACGAACAAAGCTGATTAAAATTATGCATCTTGAGATTTCTCTATGGAATTTTCAGGAAGACTTTCTTCATCTACATGCAAGTTTATTTTCACGTTAAATTGAATCAATTTTTCATCAGTGACTTTCTCAATCCAATTAATTTTAGTGCGAGTTTAAAGTCAAAGCAGATCGTTTTTGATGATACGAATTGAAAAACTGATTCTGATTATTTTATGTTCATTCGAAAAATTTGATTAGATGAACAGAAGGCAACTTGTTAATCTTCGCTTGCGTCTCTTTGGCTAACAACATTCAACGTGACGAAATTTTGATCCAAATTCGTATTTCCGTTCCAAATCTTCTGAATAATTAGTTAAATTATCTTCTGCTCTAAAATCTACAATCTATCGCTCTACGCAATGATTTATTAGTTAATTTTCTTATGTCTCAATCGTTTTACCGAACCATCCAATAACTTTTTTCGTGTGTTGTCGTTTAAAATTCAATATTTCTTGTCACACTTAATTCTCATATGAATATTCAAGGCTGGAGCATCTGCGTAGACAATATAAAGAAATTCCCCGATACATTTTGGGATCACACAATGCTAAGCTGATGGTCAAAGATTTTTCTCATTTCGGGGAGATTTAAAATCATTTTTTCAACGCTTCATTAAGCCATTTAGAATTGTTTTCTTCTTAGTGTCATTTTTTTCTTCTTTCTCTTTGACAATAAAATAAATGAGATCGTTGACTTCGAATGCCGGTCAGTAATTCTTCTTTATCTTTTCTTTTTCACTCATTTTACTCATCATTTTTCGCTTCTGTTTACTCAATGTTTATTGAATTTTGAATAAATATGTAATATCCATCAGCTAATTGAATCGATAATGTAAACTTAACGCCTCTTAATGTTTATATTTGCAAAAGAGATTTACGTCCTTGACCTACAATTTAAGCGAATACATCGGAATGTACGGAGTGCAATAACCACAACAAATTTTGTGTTGAAATGTAAACTTTAAATGAAAACGCTATTCATCAATTCAATTGGAGATTAAGTTTCATGTGCGCACACGAGTAGTGTTGACTCTTGAGTAGTGGAATGAAAGATTATTAAAGAGAATGACACGCGAATTAAGCGAACAAAACTATCTTTGCTTATTTTTTTTCTTTGTTAATTAAAGTCTTCGTTATGTTCAACTTATCGTTAAATTGTATGATAAAAAATGGACTAAACTACCTAGTGAATCGCAACTGCTGTTGTGATATATTGTAGAGCTTCAGGTTATAGAGAGATAAGAAACCTCGTTGCAATTCCGAACGAAGGCTTCACTATAATGCTAACCGATGTTGTGCAAGTTCCCAAATATGGAAATGAGTTCGCTTTTAAACTCGTTCTTATGTCTGGATGGTGCTTTTATGTAAATCAATAACAATAACAAAAAAAAAGAGTTTACAATGCTTAAATGAAAACGACAGTGCAACTAACGAGTTATCCGAATTAAATTGTATCTTCAATTTTGATTTACTGTGTCGCATGTTGCTACTAAGCACTTCGATTAACAAATAACAGTACAATTCTCTTAACATAATATTTTTCAACTCTTTTTTATCGCCTACAAAACTATACAAAATAATCAGTTTCATCCCATAATTTTATGATAATGAGCGAGCTCATTTGTCAATAATTTAAATCATGCGACGTATGTTTATTAGTGACCGTTAGCACAACGTTTCACCCTAAAATGTATGAATTTATGAAAGTCTAATTGAGTCTAATAAACATCCTGATCAATAAATTAAAGCTATCTAAAGATAATTACTTATTGATATTCAAATTGAACATAAAATATTGCGCTTGATATTTTTAATTTTTGTAACAGAAGCAATTGATGGATTTTAATTCGATTAATGTCTCATTAATGTTGAGGCATTTTCATGGTAAGGAAATTCAAAAGCTTTCAATTTAACAGCAACGTCAATGCATTAAAGTAGCCTCGGAGCTGCATAATCTTTGGACTATTAAACTCTCTATTCAGCTATTTAGTTTCGATCAGCATGAACATGAATATCGAGGATAAAAATTAGCACAATGTCAACATTAATTTGCATCTGTGCAAGCAAATGACAATATAAGTGTCTTACTCTCAATAATTTCTGTGCAAATACGAATCGTGCTATGCTGGGTGAAAGTTTTCCGATTGTTCTCCTTACAGCAGACGTTGGACAATTTATGTAAGCACATGACGACAAATGCTAATTAATTAACTTCAAAAGCAAACACACGAGCTGACTGAATAAGAAACGATTGTCTAAACAATCTGAATGAATTCTCATTATGTTTAGCAAAATAAAATGAAGCAAACGAGTCTAAGATTACAAAAAGGTGATAAACAAGAATTTATTTTCTTAGAAAAGTGAAAAACACATATGAGACATCAAAGAAGTTCCGAATAATTGAAAGCTATTTATCAATTTGACTATCGAATTGCTATTGACTTTGCTACTTCTTCATGTGCTTAAATAAATCTCGGCAAGTGCCAATCAACTTGTTACTTTCAATTTATTTCACACTCGATGTGAGATGGTTGAAGATATCTAAACATCAAAATAAAGTTTTCGTGATTACACTTGCTAACTCATTAATTTCTTCTTCTTCTTCTCATCATGCTTAACTCCGAACAAATTCAATAACTTTCTTCTTCTTATTATGCTATCAACAACATGACAAAAGAATTTTTGCAAAATATTAACGAGAACTTCTCGACTTCTCCCATCACGATAAAGTTAATGATTGTGTGTCAAACAACGATTAATCATCAATTGTTTAATTACATTTTTACTTGTTCTCGTCGTCAAGAATGATAAATGAATGATTCAATATTTTCAACGACATAACTAAATTATTCGGAAGTTAAAAATGATGTTCTTATTTTCGTAAGAATTTGTGTTGGATGAATGATTGTAGGTTGAAGATAAACGTTTCAATGAATAAAAAAGCTTTCTTTGTAGCTTATGAAAAATTAGCATTAAAAACTGTTTAAGTGGAATATTTTGTCACTAAATGTTTAGAATCAACTCTGAATTTCAAGCTCATAAAATGTTTATATCCGTAATCTCTTGGAAGAAATGTTAAACTTGTCGGCTAAGCATAAAGTTGAGAAACCACTTTGCATTAGAAATGCAATGAAAAAAGAGAAAAAGCTTTAAATGATGATAGATGGACATTTAGAATTCTTTTTGTTAAGACTTTGATGAAGCGTTTATTACAGTTATGTTAATGTTGTGTAATATGTTTCGATATGATCCAAACGACGACGAAAGTCATTTCTTAAAATGACTCATAACATTCCAATTCATTGCAACTGTTACATCGCGGAGCATTCTTCGTTTTTATATCGATTCTTGCAAGTCAATTATTCAATTGATATCAAAGTCAATATTTAACACTTAATCATTTACTTATCTAATCACACCACATGATGTATGATAATTACGATAGCAAACACAACTTTTATCTACAAACTCCAACATTGACTTTCCTTTTGCTTGTAACGTTAACTAAGTTGTTGGCACTGTCGTGTCGGAAGCTTACTGGTAATTTAGGCTTTTTTTCTTGAGAAATATTTTCACATTTATGTCGTGTAAATGGTTTCTTAATGAACGTGATAAATTAGGCGGCCCATAAAGTAACTAAAGTCATGTGTTAATGCCTTAATATGTTGAAACAAATTGTAAAATATTTACGAAGAGAGCTACCGACTAATGGCTTCATTGTTTTTATGAAACATGAGATTTAAAGGATATGAAGCACCCCTATGGAGACTATGAAGCTTCTTGAAAGATTTCATGCCAACTTTAAGTTTCTTTAGTCATGTTTTTGTTTTGTAAGAGACACCAGAATAAACTGAATTGTTTTTTATTCAACTTGAACGTGATTTAAGCGAAAGCAAGACATTCAGCTGAGAAGAACAAAAGACGAAGCTGAATTTTTTTTGATTTTATAACATTGATAAGAAGAAAAATTGCACTCATAAATTGCACAATTTTTATGTGCGACTTAAAGAGAAACGTTACATGAGATGAAACTATGGAAAGTCTGCATTGTTTGCTGGTACGAGTTCGAGTAACCAGTAAAGAGGACGACGACAATAAGGGAATGGGACTTGCCATCGCAATTGATATTTCAATGCTTTTTATCGCTCTTTAATAAAGGAACTTAAGTTATACAGAGCACGACTCATGATGATCTCAGAAACCTAATAGAATAATTGAATAAATTTCTCTTCACTGAATTCATCCGATAATAAGCTCGTTGTGCGAAATGCATTTTGAAGGAAAATGTTGGAAATATTTTCTCTCGTTACGAAATGAAAATTGGTTGAGAAAATATTTTTTAACGAACATAGTAAGTTACTAACATAATTTTCCATGATGACTTCAAGTCTCGTTTAAAGATTTTATTCAAAAGCGATTCATTTCGAAGTGTTGTTGGAAGAAATATTACGATAACGACAGAAAAGTAACATCATTAGTGTCCAATAGACGATTCTATCTAGAATCTTTCAAGTTGTCGCTTTTCTTACACTCAATAATTTGTCAACATAATTGTTGTAGAGAAATTTGATACGTTTCAACATTTCTAAGCTTTTTCGTATGATCAAGCATTATGGGAAAGATTCATTAATATTTAGCACGTCGTTTTCAAAACGACAGTCAATTAGCAAGTTTGAAGGAGACATATGAGACTCTGTCAGTGGATGATGTGGGTGTGATAAGTCTTTGAACTTAAGAGATAACCGAGGAACTTCCTTGAATTCTCTTCTTCAAGTTTTTGTCTCGACTTCTCGTCCCCAAAAAAATTATTCACATTCCATTGGAATTTCCGAGACCAATTGAAGTGTTTTAGGTGTTTTTATATTTAGACGAAGACGTTCAACTGTTTTCGATTTCTCAGAGGACATTCAACTGAATGTCGATTGTCCCGATATCTAATTGTTTATTTACACAAATTCAAATTCAAGCTTCTCATTTACATTGTTCTCGTCTGAGTCAGCTGTCGCATATCTGGACGTGTTATTTTTTTAGAGGAAACTGAAGTCATTATCATATCAATGAGAAAAACTTTCCCAATTGCGCGACAATTTTTGCACGCCTCAACTTAATTTGCGTCCGAAATTGGTGCGACTATGACATTATACGGCTATTCGGTCATTGCGTTTGCGGTTTACGTTGAAGAAGAAAATATCTAATTCAATTAAATCCAATAAGCAATTTTCTATTCAAATGAGATTGAAACAAATATTTACGAGTTGATACTTAGTTAACAGTAAAAGCGAGCATAACGAATTGAAATGTCTAATGAAATTAAATTTAAAACGTTTCAAAGAATCATTGCAATGAAATTAATCGACTTTAATCTCTTAGATACAAAGTGATTTCATCCGGTTTAATCTTTAAACAACAAAACGAGCAAAGACTTACTTTTGAAATAACTGAACAACAAACAAAATATTGTTTAAGTGTCAACAAAGTCTCGTGTATAGAATTACAATTGAGAGTGTTTTGTAACGAATGCCACCCAAGACAAATTGCTTCACAGCAGTGCTTGAGATTATCGATTTTATTCGATAATTTGTTATTCTTACGATCAACCTTTGGATTCTATGAATTCTACAAAGCATCGTGAGACTCGAGAGAAGCATAAAAGAATTTATAACGTGGAGGTATCTTTAAAGGAAAAATGCAACTGATAGATAAATTTGATTTTTATTGCTTTGATGTAAATGAACAATTGGAGTCAAACAGATTGCAACCAGCATAATTTGTATATGTCATTCGTCAAACATATTCTCATAAAGATTGCGCGACGCTTCATTGAATTCAATCTAAATGCTATGAATCATTTTCATTAATTTAAGTCTTTAATTTTCTTCCACTTTTCTCGAGTGACACATTTCAAAATAGTGAGAAAGCTTTTCGGAAGTGCTTGTGATAAATTAACGAGAGAATGGGATGACAGATTTATGCAACAAAAACATTGCATGGCGAGAAAATGCTGAGAACTTTTTCTTATTCTTAAATTCATAATTAATAAAACTGAGTGACAGAAACTAAAGAATTCACTTTTATTTAAATAACTGCTTCATGCTTCCATTAAAAACTATTTGATGTTTTATTATTAAAGTTAAACCAACCTTTTCTTTTAATTTATTTAATTGAAAACTTCTTTTTTATTTCTCTCTGAATGTTGTGAAATAAATTTTCACACAAGTTTTCTTTTATCTACTCAATAAAAATTCTTTTGACACTTTAACGAATATTCAAATATTTTTTTGACACTTTAACATAACAAATTAATGTCGATTAAAATCAAAACACCCGCATGTGAGATGCACGATAATTGTCAGAACATAAACAACAAGTTAAACTACTTGACACGAACGAAGCAAAACATAATAAAAAAATATTTCACGTTGTCGCAATGAAATTTAAATCTTTCGAACCGAAGCGATCAGAAGCACGTTTTAGACTGAAACTGAACAATATTTTTAACACAATCGTTTCTTGTTTGACTCGATCACTTTTTTTTGGATTCTTTTTTCTTCTCGTGCATTGTTTTCGTTTGTTTCATGGAAGCCGCGAAAAGCAATGCTGCAAAACAATAATAAAACAATGCAATCGACACTGGAAGTGTTGAAAACATTGAAACAACATAAAAATCAAACATTGAACCAATAGGTTTAATGTTTTGCTATATGAAGTAAATTAAATTATAACGAACAAACATCTGACTTCGATTAAGGCAGTTTTGTTGTATGTTAAAGCCTGAAGCCGCCTATCTAAGCGACTCCAACGTCTCGTATCGAAAAGAAACGAAAGATCAAAAGAAGTCTTGGGAAAATTTAGTCGCGTCTCGCGGTAAAGAACAACAGAATGCAATGGAAAATCTAGAACACGCTCTATTCCGATAGTAAATTGAAAAACAAACAAATAATTTAGAAAAAAGTAAACATAGATAATTCAATAAATCGATAAATCATTAATCATTAGTTCTTTCTTATTCTTTGCTTTGGGTTTTCTTTTCCTGTTGGCGGCAAAAATGTCTTAATCTTAAAGAAATCAGAGAAGACTTTTTAAGTTGTTTCCATCTTTAAAATATCTCAAGCTAAGAAAGTAAAAGTAAATAAATGTTACAGTAGAATGAAATTATTTACAAAATAGGCCAGCGTAAGATTGCATAAAAATGTTCTGACTTTAAATTGAAGTTAAGTGATAATTGTTTTGATAAAAAAATATTTCATAATATATCGTAAAACTATTTCGATTGAACACAAATTACGCAATATGACATCATCACAATTAATGTGAAAATTGAGTTCCGTGTCGTTGCTTCTAAAAATTTAAGAAATATTTCGAATGAAACTTCATTTGTGGCTTTTGCGGTCGAAACTTCAGCTTTGCATTTCATGGAAGAAATATTTTCGTGTTGTGTTGTCGAATATGTTAATAAATCGAAAGATTAATAAACCGCAGTCATCAGTTGATACTTAAATAAGTAACAAAGATCAAGCGCTTGAGTCTCTGGAGAACAATTTACAATGCGGTAGATCACGTCTAAAAAGCAATACATTTTATGTTAATTCTCATTGCTCTCGACATAGCGATGCTTTAGTTCGTAGTTCGTAAGATTCTAAACATGTTTCAAGCCATCAAAAAGACGGAAGAAGATTCCAAATGTTGCTGCATAAATTTTGTTCTTTTTTTTCTTTCGCGAAGCGCAACATCTGTTTCAGTTTTTCCAATTTACGTTCGTTCTTTAACTTGCTAGCAATTGCGAAGCTCACACATGAGCCACAGCATGAAACAGAATCGTTAATTGAAAATACTAACGGAACAGCCGAGCAATAAATTAAGAATCGATTGAAATTGGAATTTTAATTTGATGAATGTAAAGTTTTGAGTAATGTAATAATGATGATGTAATATGCTTGTTTAACTTATGTTTGTTGGTGATTTCGATCTTTTGAACACTCAATTTAATTAAAATGAGGCTATTTATATGTTCAACATAAATAATTTTTCGGAAAAACCGCCCGCCTCCCGTTTTTTAACATACACCGACAGATCAATTCGGTGCTTACACATGTTTCGATTTCCCCACTTACGAGAATTTAATCGCCATAAATCTCGATTCTGTCTTATATTTCGAAATAAATTCGTAGTTAAAAACGTTAAAAAATGCTGATGTTTCTTTGATTTATTTATCATTTAAACTCCAACATTCTTTCAATTTTTATTTGTCTCCCGATTCTCGTGCGACCACTTTCGATGATGTAAAGTTTTCATTTTTATTACCAATTAATCTTTTTACCGCAGTTCTAAAATTAACTCATCGAGTGAATCAAGAAACTAGGCCAACACACTAAGACTGTGTGATGAGACAGAACAAGTAGCATGAAATTTAATTCTTTCAGGTACAATATTAAAGATTTTTAGCAAACTTTAAATTAAATGAAAATATATTGAAAGCAGAAGATGAAAACCGTAGATCTAAGGGACAAGTAAATAAACAGAAACGAGAAGAAATCGTTCAACATTGACGACCATGTTTGTCCGGAAGCTCTTCACAATGATTCATTCTTTCCTTTCACATGAAAATATTTTCTTGATTTGAGACATTTTGCTAACTTCCTTTCAAATCTTTCGTCTTTGTAGAATCTTTTCTTTCTCTATTGATCTTTCATATTTGTCTTCATTAAACGAAGGCTGACAATAATTTGAAGTGTTGTCTTTGTCTGAGATTTCTCTTCTTTCTACTTAATAAGTATTCAGCCTATCAGTCTCATCAATATCTTCATTTCATAAAGCTCAATGACATTTATTTGACAATCAAATGAAAGTTGAATCAATTTGATTGATTGCTTTTAGATCAAAATTTAGATCAAACATAAACTCACCGTTTGTTGTTGTGTTTTAGGCTTTTTTATTAAGTTCGGAACTTTAACTTTTGTGACAGCTTCGATAATTTCGGCTAGGAGTAATCCATCACGTGCATCAACTGATAAGTCGGTTATCTTTCGCTTGGATTTATGTTGTTCGAGATAATAATTTGCCCAATCGGTGTAGATCTGAAAGAAAAGTAAAGTTTAAATGGAATCGTTCAATCATGCGAGAAAATGCCATTTCGTTGATCCACTGAGATGGGTCAAAAGGTCTTTCATCCCAATTTTGACCCACAAATGTAAGAAACGTAAAGAGATTTGCAGAAAAATATTTCATGTAGAGAGCATTTGTCAGAATAAATTAAATTTCTCGAGCGTTCACCTGAATCATGTGTTTGATTTCTTCGCATGATCCTTGACCACCACTGTTTATGCTAGCACATTTATTCAGCATTTTCTGTTTTATTCAATTTTGCTGTTTCATGAATTTTTGTTTTTTTTTTGAATAGCTTTGAAACATTAAAATTTTAGTGAAAGAATCTCGTTTGTTTACAGCATCACGTACTGACTAAAAAGTTTGAATCACAAAAAAACTTTTCACGACACTTTAATTTTTGCTGTTATTTAATTCACAATCGATTCAACAACAAGCTAAATAGCATTTCATTCATCGCTTTGATGTTGAAGAGATTCAATGAGACGAGAAAAGATGAACAAGAAACGTAGACGAAAAATATTAAAAATTTTGCGATATTTTTGATATTTTTTATTTCCCTTTTGTGTTTTGTTTTGTTTTTAGAAACCAAAGCACTCCCACGCAAACAATGAACGATGTCGAGGAAACATTTTCTAATTTGAATTTATCTCTTCCCCCGAGATATATTTGTTAGTCAACTCCTTTTTCCTCTCTTGTCCCGAAAAAAAAAACAGAATCAGAAAATTTGCCTAGAAGCGAACATCAAAAAAGGTCGAAACACTTTTTCTCGAACAGAAAACTTTGCGTGTATCAAACGAATTCATCATGTTCGGTCGTCATAAATAACAAAGCAGCACTTTAAAGTCATGTAAATACTTTACTGGAAATAAGGAAATATCTTTCATCTATTTGGAACTTTAATTGTCGACTGCACGCAGACAGTTCGGGTAGACTCACGTACTGTGAAAATTTTATTGGATAATTGCCAGTTTGTAGATGGAGATTACCATGAGCATGCAGAGAAACGCGAAATTAATTGACAACAAATAATAACGATAAAAATGAAACAAAATATCATAATTATCGTTTATCAAGATTTTTCATTTCAACACGAAAACAGCTCTCGCGATTTATTTATGTTGCATTCGTTACATTGTTCACCATCGATGCATCACACTGTGAAGTAAATAAACAAACAAGCAACCGATTGACCTCTTCTGAAATGCATTCAACATTTTCATAAACTTGTCAACGACTTTAAGTTGAAACAAATTGTTGCAGGAGGCTCGTAATTATTTAAGTCTCTCTGTCACTGATTTTATTCACACATGAAAGGAAGTTTAAAAAGTGCTTCTCGGGGTGAAAGGAAAAAAGAATTTAAACGAGATTGCTATCATTTGTTAATTGCTCCCCTAACGTTAATGAAAACATCAGAAATGTTTTCGTGATGAATATTATGGAGAGTGACGAATAGTAAACGCATTTTATCGCCCTTTTGAGAGTGAGACAGATTCCATTTTTATTCTAATTTAAGAAAAGAATTTTAATGTAGGAAAGAAGTCGTGTTGGATAGGAAAATGTCAATGTGACATAAACGCTCTTCATCAGCATGAGTCGGAAATGCTTCAAATTGAAAACAAAAAAGTAAGAAAAATGAAATCCTAACAAAATATTTATGATAAATCGAAGTTTTCTCAATAGACTTTTATGTTTTGATTTTAATAGATATGCAGAGAGATTGTTTGAAAAGTGATGTAACATTGATAGATAATAAAAATAAAATTAAAATATCAATTTAAAAAGAAAGCAGCATAACTGCTCGTCGATCCCATAACAAGCATAAATATTCGAAAGGGTTAAGTATTTCTAACATTTATTCGATGTTTGCCTCTTTTTTGTGTGCAATCTAAATCATCCCCAAGAATATCTAATCATTATACAATAAAATTTTATGTTGATTTTATGTTCAGACTTCAACCTCTCCAAACTCAACGCAAGTTCAAACATTAAATAAATATTTAAATGCTTTCAATTCCAATGCAGTCTTTAAAACAATATTTTCTTCATAAATCAAAATATTTATGTCTGGCGATAAAATATCAAACTTCTTTTTGACAAATAACTGCTCGGATGAAATAATCATCGTGAGTTTTCCTTCACTTTTCCGCGCCATCGTTTTCTCGTCTCGTTATTTTCGTAACATGTTCAGTTACAAAGATTATCGACGGAAATTCTTGAAACTCGCACATCAACGATCATCAATGTCCAACCTTATGACAAAGAACATTAAGAAGATTTACTTAGTTGAAAATGTTTTAAGACTTCAAGGCCAAAAATCTTGAGATTTTCCACTTAGACAGATGAAGCAACAGTTTTCCACGCATATTAATAAATTTCCCTCTGACTTCTTATTGGTTTTGGAACTAATTCAACAACAATATTGTGAGAGATTTTCTTAATTAATTGCTTTAATAAAAGCGTGTAAACACAGAAATGATGATGATTGAGTTTGTGGTCACGACCGCGACTTTTAAATGGAAAGAGAAAACAATTAAAACACGCACGCAACTAACTTCAGTTTTTCACGCAACTTCAGACGAGTGCTAATAGAATAACCGCAAGTAAACGACTGAAAAAAGCCACAGAAAACAAGAGAAATAATCTAAAATTTATCTGAATATCGTTGAGTTGTGTGTTTGAGAGAAAATGTGGTAGAAGGAAAGTCTCATTTTCAATTTTATTTTTAACAAACATTCAAGCACGATGTGATGAGAAATTAATTCATGAAAATGAAATTTTCTTCTCTTTTTTTCACATAACAAGCGACGCATTGAAATGAACATATCGTTGATGCTCAGTTGCCGGCTTTTGTATTTGAGAAAGCTTATTCGATCATGTTGCAATTTAATTTAATTCTCAAAGAATAGTCTTCGATTTCACAAACACTGCGTCACTGCAGATTAATGAACATAAAACATCTATAAAGCCCAGACAGACAAGATCAAATAAATTATTTACTTAAGACGTCTACAATGTAAACCTTTCATGTTAAGACAAAACAAATCCTTCGTCAACATAATAACAGCTCCAAAAAAAGGAAAGAAACCTTTTATTAACAAATTTCACTCTACTAAAAGCTTTTTCTTTATGTTCAACATCAGGAAGAATTCCCTCAAGCCAAATCTGCTCCAAAAAATGTTAATTAAAAAGACTTCGTTCACTTTCGCATAAATTTCGAATGTTCATTTGCACCCGTCGTTCTCTTTGTCGGTTCATTTTTTCCACAGTTAACTTTCCATATTCTTAAGGTTTCCCAGAGAATGTTTGTGGGGATTGAGTGTGAAGGGTAAAGAATGTTGCTGCTAATAGAAACTTTCACTATTCCGTCTGTTGCGCTGTTATTTGTGACGGTACATTCATAATGGGCCACTTTCAAACCAAATAATAAGAAGGGTGATTTCAAAATAAATTATGAAAGTTCAGTTATTTGCAAACTTAATGATTACTTTCTTAAATGGCGTACAACAAATTATTTATAATTTTTTAATAAACATAATGGATAACAAAATCGGTAGTGAACTTTACCCTTCTTTGCGAATATAATTTTCAATTCTACTTCGTTTTGAACTTTCCATTGTATGAGCGACGAAGGTAATCGCAGTGAGTTAAAGCACGCAATGAGCTTCTTTAATCTATTCAATGTTAATCAAAATTCATAATTAATTTCCCTCCTGAAAATATTTTCTGCGATTTAATAAAACATAAATTTATGTTGAATATGTTGTGAATATTTTTAGACGCTTTTTCTATGTTTTCCACACTCCAACTCTATGTAAGCCATTTTTCATTTGATATGCAAATATTTATCTTTCGCTATGTGCTTTTGCTTTCGTCTCTCATCATGCATGAAAAAGTTGAATTCATAATTTAAATTTAATTAGATATTCAATGTTGTCATAATTAAACAGAAAATATAAAAAAACTAACAACGACAAGCGACAAATGGAAACGAAAAATAAATTTTAATGATTAAAATTATTTAGTAAGCAACGTTTGAGAATTAAATTTCCATTTAATTTTTCTCGTTTTTCCCCAGTTACACTTACAATTATTTTCAATTTTCACAGGCAATAAAACTTTGAACTTTTCTTCCTTCGTGTTTTTCTGCTTTTCGTTTTTGTTTAAGCAAGAAAACTTTCAAAGCATAAATCTCAACTTTCTTCCTACTTTTATACTTTTTTGCTTTTATGCAATGGAATGCCGAAAAGTGCTTTAACGATTCCTTTTTTGTTGCAGACAAATAAATGAACATTGCCATTGAATCAGAAATGTGAGGCCAGCAAAAGATGGAAATGGCAGATGGGGTTGCAAATCGGACGGACGCAATTTAGCGTAAAAGATTGTAAATAATAAATAGCAACAAAGAGAGTCATTTTATTTATATTTCATTCTTTTCTCCATTAATGGCAGCTTAATTACCGTTTTCATTCGAGACGTTTTTGAATCTTTCCGCTTCAGCCATTGTTATGCTAATTAATAATTTATGAAAACAATGAAAAATATTCTTCTACCGATAAATTATCATTTCAGCATTTTATTATCCGCTTGACTGTCTCATTAGTTACATTTTTAATTTGCCTAATTCGTTTACTTTTATTCCAGGACAAGTTGAGCCAATGTCTGTTGCTATTAAGAAGCTTTTACCTGACTAAAAAAGCAGAAAAGGGGGAAAAAGAAATAAAATATCAAAGAGTCACTTGCAACGGTTCATTGCATTTACGACTGTGATTTACTGGCTTTTTATTGGCACTTTGAAAAACGCGAGACGGCAGACGAAAAATTTGCGTGGGAGGTAAATAAATTCTTATAAAATATTTATAATGGAAACAAAAAAATGTGCTTCATGAATAACAGAAAATGTCCAACACTCTGAAAGTCACCAGAAATCGTTTTAATTCCTTACAACACGTTTTACATTCGATTTAAACTCACCTCAATCAACTGCTGAACATTTTCGCACTCTTTCAGCATACACGATTCGTTTGTAGCGAGATCTTTGCCAATGGAATTCAAATTAACAATTTGCTTGTTGTCAGCATTCGAAGCATTTTGTGATTGGATCGAAAGAGTTTCATTCGGTGGACTTGGTGTTGTGAATCCTGAATCGAGTGATTCACTCGACATTGGTCGAACGTTTCTTAAATTTCGTTTCAAGTGGATTGTGGTACGATTATTGATTTCAATGTTGTAATCACCATCGGATAATTTCTCTCGTTGCAAAGCGATATTCTGCAGTTGTGGAAGTGAATGACTTGACCGGAGTGGATCGAACAAAACATTTTCACTGCAAAATGCCAAATTGATTTTATTTGATTTTCCTTTAACCATCATTGTTGTAGTTTGCTGTTGATTGGCATTGTTGTCTGTCGATATTTGTAAATTACGTGACATTTGTTTCACAATTCGTTCGAATGGCGGTGATTTCTTCTTCGTTCCTGTTGCTGTCACAACATTGGAAGTTTTCATAACACTCTCACTGCCATCCTTCGTTTGATTAATTGTTTCAAAAACACGACTGTTCAGTTTTGCAACGCAACCGTAACTCGATTTTTCATAAGCATTTGATTCGTTGTCATCTGTCGATTCGATTGTGAAGGTCGATGATGGAGTCGTTTCCAAAACAGAATTAAATTGTGGATAATCACAACTTGATGAACTCGATGACTTCCTTGATAAAGAAGCCTCAGTTAATTTACTTAAAGGATTTGCTTCATTATCATGTCGATCAAATGATGATGCTGCTGCAGCTTCGTCTTGTGCAAGCATTTCAGGATCGATTTCATAGTAATTGTGATGTGAATTGCTTTCCTCAACTTCATTACATTTCAATTGCTGCTTGCACAAGTTTTTCTCTTGAACCACATGAAAGTTGTGAAACTTCTTCGGTGAGAAGTTAAGTGAAGGAAAATATTTTCTCGTTTCTTTTTCATTGCAAAAGTCAACTGATGGATCGAAGAGACAATAATTCTCCATGTGCGGCACTTGACCTTTGCGTGGTCTTACTGGAATATTTTTGAAGAGATTTGCATTGAATTCTGCTTTTGACAGCATCTCACCGCAATTTCCGTCTTTTGCTTTATTTAATTCTGATTGAAAGTTTTCAGAACTTTCCATTTTGGTGGATGATAGTAAAGAACTTATGTCGACGGTCTCATCGCAATTACTTTTCGTGTTGTCATTCAGAACATCCGCTACCACATTCGTAATCAGATTTACTCGCTTCGAACCATTATCATTCTCGTCTTCATCTTCATTTTCATTAAGAATATTGATTTCTTCATAATTCGGAAACGTTTCATTCCCTGTCGTTGTCGTTTCAAGAACTTTTTGTTTCGAATCTTTGGAAAAGTTTTTGCATAAAATTTTAAAATTTGTCTTTGGGTTTAGATTTCGTTTCATCGTATCATCGTCATTTTTATTCAAAGCTGATGGTGAAGTTTTAAAACTGAACGTTGAAATTAACGACGATTTTTTATTTTTCTTGCCTTGGGCAGAACTTTCTTGTTGTTCTGTGCAAGCTGATGAAGAATTCTCTATGGAGATGACATCTCGTTGCCCTTCTTGATTATTTATCTGCTGTTCAAAACCATCACGAATGAATAAATTACTTTGCTGCTCTAATTGTGATAATTTATGGTTGATGGCACTTTTACGACGCAGCTTTGGCGTTAAACTTAAAGCGAATCTTGTCGGACTGATTGATGAAATCTTATTCGATGCTGATTCAGCAGTTCGTTTCAAATCAAAGAAACGTTTCTTGGGTGTATTGATTCTTCCATCAGATTTTTCCCCTTTGGCAACAAGACAATTTCCTTCTGCAATTTCCTGACATGATTCATGCTCCTCTGATGATGATTTTTGCTTATTAATTTTTCCTTTTAAAAGGTTATCAGAATCTTGCAGATTGCCTGATTTTGATGTCGAGGGTTGTTCTACATTTGCTGCACTATTTGCTTGAATTTTCTTCTTTGTCGATGATAACATTTAATCGATAATCATTTTTCAATCGACTTGTGTTATTTCAATCAATAAATCAGAAGTTAATCGAAACATTTATTTTCACTTTCAATATATTTATGATGAATTGTTGAAATATAAATTTCCTATATTCGCTTTATTATGTCTTCAGAGTCTTTAACAGAGTTGTGAAATGTTTTAGATCTAAATGATTGACATGAACGACTCAATTTTGGTTCAAAAATATTTCTGTTGTTGCTGTTTCTGTCGATGATGTTTTAAACTTTTTTAATCAAATAGTTGGGAGGCCAAAGACATCTTTGAAAGATTTATTAATTATAGTAGGAAACAATAAAACGTTCCACGAAAAGGGGAGAAAATATTGACAAGTTGATCCTTTTCTAATGAAATGTTGATTCGTGCTTCAATTCAATGAGAATGGGAGATGCACATGAGAATTGAAACAGAGGGTCACGCATTAGCTCCCTCACAAGTGTAATCTTTATAAGCCGATTACACCTGAAAAATGTTTTTCGATGATGGCAATAAATTGAATGAAGGAATAAAATTGCAATATTTCAATTTATCTTGCTTGAGTTTGGTGGGAATCAAATTCATTTAATGGATGTAAGCTTTGCATGTTATTTTATAAATTGAATATACATGATGTGTCAAATTTATAGCAAAAAATGATATAAAGTGAATGAATGGAAAAAGAAATTAAACAATTTTGTACATTTTGAACAATTTTGAAGCTTTGTTAGTTTTTCTGTTGAAAAATGAAAAGATAATTGTCAGTTTTAGCTGCCATGGTTGACTTGTGACAACTTAATTTATATGATAACAACTCGTGTTGAAGATATCAAGAGAAATTTGAAGACGATTTGTGATTAAATGAAAGAAAAGCAAAGTTTTCTTCTCTTGTTGAATTGTCTTCTTGAGAACATTGACATCTGACGTCATTCACAAAAGATTCCACTTGAAATGGAAATTGGAAAAACCGAATAAATAAACAGCAACTCGTTAAATTAAACTTTTGTTTTGTGTGTTCAAAGTTGAATTTTTTTCTAGGCAAATGAAAATTGTTTCGGATAATTGTTTTTGACGTTTTTTTATATTTTTTTCAGGGAACAACATAACTTCATTGTTTTTTAATCAATTACGGGGGTGAAGTTGAAGTAAATTGTGAACAGATACAAAGTAAAAAATTTTTTTTGGTGAAATTAAAGCCCACAAAAATCTCAACAAACACTTTGCGAGTATGCAACACCGTGATGAAATTGGAAATTCCTTTTTAATAGGATTAAATGAGTACTTAAATTGCTTTTATGTTCCTGTGGCACTTTTAAGCAGATATCGGTAGATAACAACTTTATTTCGAATGAAATCATCGCACATTAAAAATTTGAAACGGTGTTTTGTGTTCAACAGTCGTAGAAGGTGAATTACGAGTGCTGCTTGCGGTGAAGAGTTATTTAGGGGGAGATAAATTTGCTTCTGCAAAAAACATTCATCTATCGCTTCAAGGGGGACTTGATTAAAAGGCAATTATGATACAACATAGGAAAGTTAATCAAAAGTTCGTTTGCTAATGTGGGGGGCGATACAAGCAATTAATTTTTTCTGATTCATAGAAATGGCATTTTAAGGGTTTCTGCTTTTCTCTTTAAAAGGTAGAAAGTAATGACTTTCATACATAATATTTACATTTTGAGATATCCACTTAAATACTTTTACATAAAGATTGCGCAATTAATTTTATTCTTTCTTCTTTTCCCTTATCTTTATCATGTTTTGTTTCTTTTGTTATCATTTACGTGGCTTTCTCTATTTTAAGTTAAACATATATTCTATTGAATGTTCCAGAATACGTGGGTGAAATACGAAAGTAGTGTCAGTCTTGTGGATGTGACTTGTCTCAGACGTTTCTTAAAATATTTTACCAACATTTATTTTCTCCAACAAGACAACTTCCTAGGAATTCGTTTAATTTTTATTTCTTCTTTTTTTATTCTCCTTCATCACTTAGATGAAGCCCAAAAGCATGAAAGGAAAAACCCGCATCCGAGATAAGGTGAAAATCTAATTTATAAAGAAAGAAAATTTTTAATGTTCATCATGTTCATGAATTTCACATTTTACTCAACAACCATCGAATGTGGAAAAGGAAAAAGCAAGAAAAGCTAAGAAGAATGTCAATAAAAATGATAAGTTGGAAAAGATGTAATTTGCGCGTTGTGCTGTTTCTCTTTTCGCAACATAAATAAATTAAAGCGAAATGTTTATTGCGGGTTTTTTGTTGTGATAAACTGGGGACTGTTCATGAATTGTGGGACAATTTAATTTGCACCATTAAATAAGGTAAAAGATTACAATTTTTCTTATCCAAACACTACACAAAAAATTGGTTTTCTCTTTCGGCCCAAAAGCGTCAGGAATGTCTACACACACTGGCAGAATGGCATTGTTTATTAGATTTATACAACGTGATGATGCCATTAAATATTTCAGAGAGTGATTTTCAGTTCCAAGCTGTGTCGTACATATTCGTTTTAATAACCATTAAAACAATGACACTTTTTTGTGCGACATTCAGTAGCAAAGCTCGTATGAAAGATTTTCCAAACGCAATGAAAAATTACTCGCGCTTCAAATAATTTTACGGAAAATAATCGTTAATGCTTTGTGACTCTAAATGTTAAATAAAATCCTAAGCAGATAACAAGGAATTGTTCTCTGGAAAGCTTTGCAAACGTTAAGAATTGTTTAAGCGACAATTTTTTGTCTGGGAGAAATTTCTTTTACGAAGCATGCATGTGGAAATGAAAATAAATCGTTTGTTGTTCTCGGTTGGCAGAATTCTTAAGAAACCTCTTCAGGGATCATTGACTCGAATGTCATTTATGAGTTTTTGAAATTCTTCGCTGAAATTCCATCATATCTTCTGAATGAGTTAACATGTGAGTGCTATTTTTGTGCGAATGAATTGAGTTTTGAAAGCACATAACGAAAAACGCTTCGATATGTTTTCACTTTTGTTTATTAAGGGTTTCCAACCACAACAAAACATCAAACGATAAGATGACTTAAAGCTTCTTCTTGACATTAAAAACACTTTGCACCAGACGAGATGTTAATTCCTTCGAAGACTTTTCATAACAACATTGCATGAGGAAGGATAAATGGAAAGTGAAAGTCGGAAGGGAAGATGCAAGGATGTTGTTTTTGTTTATTTATCATCTTCATAGAATAGAGTTGAGTTGATACAACAGAATGGAGCAAGGAGTATGAGTAGATTCTTTGGACTATGATAAATCATGGAAAACTACATTCAGGGAATTAAATACGTTGCTGAATTTGCATATGAAGCATTCATTCTTCTTTCTCCATTGTTATTAAAAGAACACGCAACGTTCGTTAAATGGAAGAAAATATTTATGGAAATATTAAATCTTAATTTATTTAATAGCTTTCACCAGACGATAAGTGTTAAGCTTCTTTCTCTTGAATTTATTACAATGCAACAGAATCTTGAAAGCTTTCCTACCAACGCAAACATTATTGGAATCAATTAATTGTGCCAATAATTTTCTGATTCCAACATTTTTGGCTTCCTTTGAACTTTGAGTCAAGAAACGAAGAAGTAAATTTTTTTCTTGGATGGAAAACAATTGAAAAATTTTCTGCTTAACTGAATTGAATTTATTTTATCGTTCTTTTTCGTATCTGAACATGTTGGACATAAATTTCCATGAATCATATGTGCATAATGTGTGTGTGTGTGTGTGAGTAATCAGAGAGAATGAAAATTGCCTTTTACAATTCCTGCCTTCTTGATTCAAAGTGCGATAAATATTCTCGAATGCAAACGAAGGCAGAAATTTACGTTTTATCGAAGCTTATGGACACGTTTGGTTGAACTTCTTTCGATAACGAGGAATGCTTTCATGTTAGATGGAACAGGAAAAGGAAAGGCAAGTTTAATTAAAAAGGAAAGTTGAAGTGAGGGAAGATTTCTTTTTGCCAAAGTTTTAATTGTCGGTTTGTTGCCTTCGGGGCTGTTAAAGATTTAACTAGTTGAAGTCGGAAAAAAGGAGTTTTAAAGTCATTATCAACAGCAACAGCAACAACGAAAGACTTTAAGCAAGTAGCACAAGATTTATGCTTTAAATATGTCAACCTTTTTTCATCACTTTATTCAAGTCATAAAGTTTGAAACTTTCACGGAAAAATATAATCCGTGGAAATCTCTGGAAAATGTTTCATTTCATAATATAAAATGTTAATCCACATAGAATGATGTGAGCGGCGTAAAGTAAATCCTTGATAAATGAATCATCCTTGATATGACACATTTCCGCTAACGACTCAGCTTTTTTTAATGAAATGACTTGTTTATATTTCTATTTTTATTAAATTTACGTTTATGCTTCACAATTTTCATATTACTGGCGATCAACAACTTTCGCCTTTTATAGTATCAAAGAAAATTTTCCGCACTAATTATTTCCACCAAAATAATTTCCTTTAACATGAAAAGTATTTTTAACTTTTTATTGTACACAATTTTGGGAAGTTAGAAAAAAGGAAATTTTTTTATTGCGATATGTCACTGATATCCGCTATACAATTTATTATTCACAAAAGAGTTTCCATTCACTTCCTTTATCCATTTTTCGTGTACAATGTGTACACAAGAATCACTGCGAAGAATACCTAACAGAATGAAAATATTGAAAATATCTTCTTTTCTTCTTTGCGATTTTCCATAAACTTTTACCGGAAAACTAACATAAAAATATTTTCACGTACTTTCATTTGAAGACATTTATTGCCAGACACTTCGACGGCAACTGAATGAAGGAAATTTTTAACCGAACAAAATAGAAATAACAACAAACACCTGCGCAGTTGATCCTTGATCGTTTCTCTACAAAACTGACGGGACATTTTTTTTTCTTCCCTTTCACCTCCACTGACTGGCATCAGTTTGTGCAAGCATCTTCTTGTTCTACAACATTTTACGT